ATCTACTCCGACTTACTCTTATTTCCCTATTATTTCGTTAAGGATCCTTTTACTTTTACTAGTTATACTTTTATTTTCTTTATTAGGGAGTCGTTTAGATATTTATTTAAAAGGTAATCCTTACTTTAATAGGTATAATAGGTAAGTTTCTTTCCTATCTTTTTATTAATAGGGTTTCCTCGCCTTTTTAACCTTAAGTCTTTTAGATTTCTTTTTTTAGAGGAGTTTTCGTTTTTATTATATTTTTCGAATTTTCTCTTTTTCTTCTTTATATCTAGGTCTCCCTACCCTAATTCGGTCGCTTTTCGTTTAGGTTTTATTTTCTAGTTTTAAAGCTCCTAAAATTTTAATATAATAGAAACTATCTCCTCTTAAGTTTTTAGAAGAGTTAGATTATATTTATAGATATAGGCTTAGAGTCTATAATTAAGTTTTAAGAAGAAGATAAGGGCTCTTTATTTCTTACTTTATTTTAGAAAATATTTTTCTAAAAGATTTAACTTATAGTAAAAGTCTCTTAGGTCTTAATTATTTCGCTAGATTATTTATTATATTTAGTTAGTAATAGTAGTTTATATATTTATAGAATTTTTTATTAAAGATAAAGTCTATTCCTTAAGATAAGCCTACGAACCCTATACGATTTAGCTTAGAGTCGAGAGTATTTTATCTAAGTAGTTATACTAAAGTTATTAGTAGTTCCTATTTATATAGGATAGGATATTAAAAATCTTTTACTTTTCGGTACTATATTTTTTACTTACTCTTTTAAATTCTAGATATAGCCTAAGTAATTAGTCTTCTCTTTCTTAGATTAAGAATTCTTCTATAAAGTTAGAGTTCTTAAAACGGATTTCCTAACTACGTAGATTTAGGGAATTACTATAGATTTAGCTACGATATATAGGTATTTCGGCTACTCTTTTAAGCTATTTAATCCTTATTATAAGGGCTTAGAAGGTTTCTTTCTTAAGGATTACTTAAGAATTATCCCTATTTCGCTAAGGATTCGGGGTAGTTTCGGAGGGTTATTAGTTATCTCCGCTAGCGGTAGTAGGTGCTTCCGAGAGTCCTAATAAAGATTAGATCTCTCCCTCCTCTATCTTATAGATAGTAGGGTTTTCTTATAGAGATATCTCCTTATTACCCTATCGGGATTATAAACTCTATCTCGTTATTATTTCTTTAGGTAGTTAAAGAAGAAGATTTAGAATTATTAAGGTAACTATTTATTAAGGTAGTACTTATTAACTAGGTAAATAATAATATAAGAGGGATACGTAGTTAGAACGAAGGGTATTCGATTCTATATTAGTTATAAGACTAAATCTTACCTTCCCTTTTCCTATAGGTGTCTTCCTTTTATAATTTAGGTTCCCCGCTTCTCGGGACCGGATCATATTGGTTCTATCCCGATATCGTGGGGTATTCGGAGGGGTCTCCTCCGTCTAAGAAAAAGGGAGCCTAAGGCAAAATAGTATAATAAAGAAATACCGTAATATTCTATAGTAGGAATAGCTTTATTATTCTAAGCCTAGTCGCTAACTAGATCCTCTAGATCCCCTAGTATATCTACCCCCTAACTAGGGGTAGTATAGTGATCCTACGTATAGGGTTCTTATAGCGGTATAATAGGGAGCGGAGGAAGGGGTTTATCCGGAAATATACCTAGCGGTGCTCGGGGTTTATAGATCTTAGGTATTTACTATATAATCGTAGTTTTTAGGGAGGGTAGGACTACTTACTAGTCTACCCCCTAAAGTAGAGTAGTATCTCGCTAACTAACTTCACTAGCTATCTCCCTCTACGGAGAGTTCTACTATATATTCTACTAGTTTTCTTACTAAGATCCTTACTAAGATCCTTAATAAGATCCTTAATAATTATAGTACTAAGTTTCTTATAGATCTCGATAATCTCTCTCTTCTATTTCGCTAGTCTCTTAACTAGCTATCACGCGATCGAGTACCTAGTTAAACTCTTCTATAGTAATTTCCTAAGGTTCTTACTATATTAGTATTAGAATAAGCTAATATCTATTATAATTAGGGGTATATTTATAAGTTTTATTAAATACTATATCCCTAATAGGCTTCACTTTCCTATTATATAGAAACCAGATTTTCTAGATATTTAATACTATATAGCTAACTAAGAATCCGATCTTAGCTCGTAGGTTTATTTTATTAGACTAGACCTATTTATCGATCCTATAGTATACTAAGCTTCTATATAGTTTAATATTTAATAGGTTAATCCTTAGCGCCTATAGTACGAACTCCTTCCGTACCTCCTCCTATAGTATAACCTAGCGGTTTTCGGTAGTAATATACGTCGGCGTACGATTTAGTAATTATACTATAGCGTTAGCGGCCTCTAGCTATAGATCTTTTAGGAGCTTTCCTTTAAGCACGAGTATATATATATAGGTAATAATTATACTACCGGATCTTTCGGTATAACTATTTATTTCGGAATACCCTAGGGGGTTATAATATATAAGGATACTATTAGAAGTAAGACTATATTCCGTAGGTTTTCTAGCTAAGGACTTATTATCGTATTAGAAGGCTTTAATTAGTAGATCCTATTAGTTTCTTACTAGTTCTATAAAACGATTAATCGCTAGCTAATACTTAGGCTTTATTTTATAGGTTATTAGCTAATAAAATCTAGGATCTTCTAGGTAAAAATAAGAGATCTAGCGGTACTTATTTTCTACTAGTAGTAACTAAATAAAATTAAAGTATACTCTTCTAAATCGTCCGAAAGTATATCCTACTACGCGTCTTAATATCTACCTTAGTATACGACCTAGCTAATAAGTCTAGTATAATACCTATATTTTAGTAGACTCCTTTTCTTTATCGTTAAAAATAACTCTATCTACTATAGTAGCGAGTTTTATAACGCTTCGCTAGTTAATATAGGTAAGTCTTCGGTGCTAGATATCTAATAAGGCTTTTAACTACTAAGGTTTTACTAACTTTCTCTCTATAAAATAGGCTTACTAGGGCTATATTTCCTTAGGTCTATCGAAGATCTAAAGGTTAAACTAATCCTAAAGATTTATATAGATAATTAGTCTATTATTAGGGTCTTTAATATAGTTTATACGCTAGTACTATATCCCGCCCTTCTTTTTTAGTATAGAATAGGATATTAGGTTTATATAGAAACTAGAGGAATAGAGGGTATTACTAAATATAATCTCTATTTTACTTTTTACTAGATATCTACCTACTAGTCTAACCTTCCCCTTTCCTAGTACCTAGGTAGTACTATCTCCCGTTATAAGGTCTAAAATCTAGGGTATAAAGTCGATAAAAAGGTCTCTATTATTATAGATATAGGTACTAGATCCTATATTAAGGATCTATCTATCTTTTAAGATAGGTTCTCTATTTTTAGTAAGTAAAAGGGTATATTTACTAGTCCGAGCTACCCCCCCCTACTCTCTAGTATAGGGCTTAAGGGTAGTACTAATATACGGTATAGAGGTAGTAGCGAAGCTTACTTAATTTATAAACTCTTCCTTCTAAGGTTACTAAGTTTACTATACCTTTTCTACCTTCGTTTCTACCTATTTCTTCTAAGTAGGCTCTTTAGCGAGTTTTTACTTAATCCTTTCTAGCTTTCTAGGGTTAATATAGGTCTATTTAGGGCGGCTTTCCTTATTAAGATACTAGTATATTATTATTTTATATAAATAGTAGAGGTTTCTATATAGGTACCTCCTCTTTTTAAATAGGATCGGCTCCTTAGTTTAGGACTAGGTCTAAGACTTTACTTCTTAGTATCCCTACTAAGTTAAGAATACCCCTTTTAGAGGTATAGTAGATAATACCTTTTATACCCCTATTTCTCGATTTATTACGCGGAATAACTCGAGGAGATTATAGGTTTAATAGACTTTCTTATCTATAATAATCTCTTAATACCTTCCTTACTACTAAATAGGTAGGACCTCTTTAATAGTATATAGGAAGTCCCTATTTACGTCTCTATTATTAATACCGAGGCTAATTACTTACTCCCTTAGGGTATTCTACTATTCTAGCTATTATTCGATATCTCTAGTTAGTTTCTAGACTATAAAGACCTTCTATTTTATTCGAACTTCCTCCTTATATACCGTCGATCGAGAGAAGCGATCTCTTAGGTATACTAGTCTATTATATAGGGTTTAATAGTTAATAATAGCGAGATAATAGGTTAGGTCTAGGAAGGTATAGATATATTTATTTATATTAGATAGTCCTTTTGCCTCTTTTTCCTAAATCGACCGGTCTAGTTTAAAGATATCTATCTTATCTCTCTAGTCTCTTTTATCGGAGTTAGTCCCTCCGTAGGGGTATATAGGCCTAATAGACTCTTTTTGCCTAACCGGTCTCTCTATTAGGGGAATATCTAGGTTATAGTGCTCCTAGACTTACTTTTATATCGTATATAGCTTCACCCGGGCGAACTAGGTGCGCTATTAGGGCGAATCCTTTAGTTTTTCGCCTTTTATGGCGGAGAGAATTATTAATACTTCTATTGTTAGGGTTAGGTGCTATATAGCCTTAGCGGGCTACTATATAGCTTTAGAGGTTTTTAGGTGCTAATGGGCTCTATATCTTGTGAATAGCGGCCTTATTTCGTGCGAACCGGGCTCATAACTGTCAACTGACGTGGTATTTAGTATAGTAGGGGTCCAATCAAGGGAGTTGAAATCTCTATATTTCTGTATCCACTATTCTAGCAGGAAATATGACTATCTGACTAATATCAAAAATACTGCGTGGATAGGATAAACTAAACTTCCGGTATGCCGATCTCATTCTCCGACATATGCCAAGCGCCTTGATGCCAATAATCTCTTTTTTCAGTGGAAGGCTTGAGGTGAACCTATTCTTTTTGATTCCACTGCCTCAACCAGTGGCTGGGGCGTAATATTTCATCTATATTCATAATCGGTGTCATAAATATCTCCTAAACGCCGTGTAAACTCTGCTGGGCTATGAATCGCGAGTCAGAAGCCCCTGGGCCTCTTGGTAATACTCAGCGGGGCCAGCGTGGGACTTGCCCAGGGTGTCAGCTATAGCCAACGCTTCCCGACGACCCTTGTCTGCATTAACCATCCACACGAGTGGAATCGGTAGAAGAATCAAAATCGCGATGAAGAAGAAGCCACTCCGGACTTGCCCGGTCGCATCGACCAGTAGGCCCACAATAGCTGGCCCAATAAATGAGCTCCCCTTGTCTGTAGCAGCATAGAGAGCGTAGAAGGCGGCCTCACTGCCGGGAGGAATCATGAGTCCGAAGAAAGATCGGCAGTATGATGCAAGACCTCCTGACACTACTCCGTGAACGATGGCTAGCGGGAAGATTTCCCACGGTCGTTGTAAACCGATGACACCCCAATTTTTGATGAAGGGGATGTAGGCAAGCAAACCGTACAACGGAATCATCTCAAACAGGAACATGCAGACCATGATGGTGTGGTTGGACTGTAGGCGAAAGTAGCGAGACACGTGTGGCCATAGGAACGCGCCCATCATCCCGGACAACGTGGCAGTAATTGAAAGCAGTCCGACGAGTGGTGTACTGAGTTTGAGTTCTGTACGGGCGAAAAGAATCGCAGTGGCAGAGACTGTAGCCATTGCGTCTGATATCAGGAACCAGGCTACCAGGAAGATCAGTACTTCGCGCAGCTTTCTGACTACCTTGACTGTCCCCCACAGCGATTTCCAGGCGAATCCGACCAGCTGCAACCAAGCTCGCCAACGTGCAATTCCTCTAGTAGAGCCTGTGTCTAGAGGAGGCCCCGGCCGAGTCTTCAGCAAATTACGAGTAACAAGTGTGAATGCCGCCCACCAGATGCCAACCAGGAGTAGCACGAAGCGCATAGGAAGAGTGCCGGAGAATTTGGCGAGGGAGGTCTTGGATAGGGTGATGAGCATGATGATGCTGATGATTTGTACAAAGACTGCTGCACAATATCCGAGACCGATGCCTCTCGACGAGATTTTGGTGGAGAGCTGCAGCTCGGGCGTGGACGACGACGGGATGTTGAAACCCTTTCCATCTTCTGGGGAAGTTTGCGGTTGCCCTGACGGCTGAAGTCCATCCAAACTGTCCGTGTCATTATCATCGTTATCCCAAGCATTCCAGTCCGAGTTATCGTCGTCCATATTGAAGGTCGACATTTCTGCCCCATCGTTCGCCTTTGGATCCTGGAGAGATGGGTCGTTGGCGACAAGAACAGGTAGATAAGAGTTGAGAATGACAAAGGAAGATCCGAGACATGTCACCCCGACGACTACCAATATGGCACCGAGAATAAACACAGGCGGTGCAATGAACACAAACAACATGCTGGCGAGCGCACCGGCGAATCCAAACACCATAAGCAATGTCTTACGGTTGTTCTCTATACATCCGATCGGATAAAACTATCGTTAACCCTCGTGTCCCCATTGAATTTTGGCACTGTATACTGCCAAGTTCGGCTTTGCAATCATACCGTAATCCGCCAGTGCACTGAACGATATGAGTGTCAGTGCCTGGATAAGTACTGCCAGCGAAAATGTGTACATGGCGAAGCTGGCTGTGTTGATTTCGAGGCCGAAGACCGGAACCACGCATTGCCCATCTGCATTGCTTGTGCTGTTTCCTGCGGAAGGTCCAACGCAGGGAAGGCGACTGGTCTGTAGGGTGCCGCGCTCTCGGGCTAACTGTTCCAAGGTGAGGGGCAGGAAAGAACCTAGAGGTTCAATGAGTATTTTGAATTCTTCTGTGCTGTATGATATGGAGCTCTTTCACGAACCTACGCCACAGACCGCGAACACTTCGGCCGCGATTCCATATGAATACCAACCAAGGATTTCTCGGCGGCTTGTTGGTGTGGTATCTTCGCCGGCATACCGTGGTGGTCGCTGCTGTACGCCTTCCGCAGGCGACGGGGCCTGGAAGGCAGCAGATATTGAGGAAAACATGGGGAATGTTGTTCAAAGGTTCCCAGCCACGGAGAAAATGTAGCAATCCAGGTACGACGGATGCGGGCGGAACCCAACGCGGCTAGGCGGCAGGCATTGTTGGTGATGTCATAAGATCGACATGATCTGCGCCTCTTTGGGAACATCCTTATCTGGAGATCTATAAGCTGTGCGCAAGTACATGGTTATACAGATGAGGTGTCAGAAGAATAGCGGTAAACGATCTATGCGGAAATCCACAAGCTTGGACCAGCAGTAATATCACCAACAAACTATACACAGAAAAACCACCTCATGTCTGACATTTTCGCCGCCAGTTACGTCCCACAAACCTCCCGCCTCATCGCGATGCTATTATGTTATTGAGTGACCATTTATGGTCTCTTTTTACCCAATCGCCAAGCTTATAACAATTTCATATTAGTCTATGCATATTGCACCTGGGCAGGCGAGACGTGACTAATCGTATCGACGTCAACATGTAGTCACACCTGTTGGAACAGACTTCAAGCGGAGTGCGCATTGCGTTCAGATCAATTCAGCATTTGAGTCAATGCCTACGGAATGCCTGGTTCCGTTTTTCTGCTTGGTCCTGGCTTTATCGGCGGAGAGATTATCGACCTCCTCCTTACATCGGACTATACTGTAACAACACTTGTTCGTCGAGAATCGGCCGTTCCAGATTATGCCAATTTAGGTGTCAAGTCAGTGGTTGGCAATCTGGACGATGCATCAATAATCAGGGAACAAGTGACTATTAATGACATTATTTTCCACACTGCGACTGCAGACCACTTGCCTTCCGTACAAGCCATCATCGATGGCATCAGACAACGAGCAGCGCAAGGCCTGGAAACAATCTACATCCATAACAGCGGAGCATCCCTCCTTTCCGATACTGCCAATGGGGCTTACAAGAGTGAGACTATATTTGATGATGAGAACCCCGAGCAGATTGATGCACTGCCTGATTCCGCCTCGCATCGCCAAATCGACCTGGTCATCATCCGAGCACGCCAGGAACTAGCATCTCATGCGAAAATGGCCATAATGATTCCTCCTCTCATCTACGGGGTGACTACAAGGGAGAAGCGTCTCTCGATTCAATTACCCACCCTCATTCGATACTCGATCAAACATGGCTATGCCGGTCAGATCGGGAAGGGTCTGTCACTCTGGAATCAGATTCATGTTAAGGACCTTGCCCGGGGATATATGGTTCTGCTGCATTGGATGGAGCGTACGCCCATAAAGGAGGCTGCCCAAAATCCATATTTCTTTTGTGAAAATGGCCAAGAGTTATCGTGGGGTGAATGCGCCGCTGAGATTGGCCGAATACTGAAGAGCAAAGGACGCATTGATCAAGCAACACCGCAGACTGTTCCGGAGGATCACTGGTGTGATTTGTTCGGGGGTCACTCTGGGATTATGGTCGGATCAAATGCACGCAATAGGGCTAGTCGACTGAGGAAGATGGGATGGGCACCCTTGGAGAAGGGAACCCTGGCCTCACTGGCTGAAGATGAAATTCCAATCATTTTGGAGGACACTGGAGAGTTCAATGGTTATGCCAGCGTCGTTGCTTCGTAAGTCATAAAGCTCGTTTCACTTCCGACATCGATGAGATCTTTCAGCAACTAGTGCCGAAAGTAGATTGTGCAATTGGATCATCAAATATTCTGCAATATCAACTGGGGATGCGATTAAGGTCAGAATAGTAGCCTTAGGAACACAGAAGGTGACTCCGGACACCATTGGCTTTAGGGAGGAACACCTGTTTGTCGTGCAGCTTCATATATTCAACTCTGGTGACTCAATTAGTATATCGCATGGAGGGGTGGGCAGCTGAACAAAGTGAAATGAAGTCCAGAGGCCCCTGCCGATTCCGGGCCGGTCCAGGGCACCTTCCAAATCGGGCGGTGCTGCCTCGTGAATCGCAACATCGTGACATTGTCCCTTTTCCTCATCTCGGGAAAAATTTGAAAAGAACACATATCCGCTGTTTTATCGACTGTTCCGACCATGGCAATTCTGCATTATCTTGAATTCATCCTCGGGAGGCTCTTGTACCCCATTCGTGGCCATGATTCGCGTCAAATCATCCACTGCCCTGCCTTCAACAATCTCCCTGAGCCGAACATGAGACTTGACGCACCCGATGTTGGCCCTTCGGGCTCTAAGTTACCTATCTATTGTACCTGTAAGGCCGACGATGGAAAAGGCACTCTTCCTGAGCTGCGCTGGACCGCGCCGAACTGTCGTGAGCAAGCCGAGGAGTACGTACTTCTCTGCGAGGACCTCGATCCGCCAATTCCATTTATGGTCTTCCACCACGGTCTTATCTGGGACATTCCTGCATTCGTCACCAAGGCGCAAAACGCTGATATCCAGCCCGAAGAACATGCCAAGATCTCTCGCTTGACCGTCGCCGGGTGGCGCTTTGTTCCAAACTTACTCAAATTACCGTATGTCGGTGCTGGTGCACCCCTCGGTCACGGAATTCATCGCTATGTGTTCACAATCATAGCGCTTAATGAGTCCCTGAAGTTCAATGCCCCCGAGAAAGCAACGAAGAAAGAGATCAAGCGTGCTATGAACGGCAAAGTCATCGGCTGGGGTCAGTGGACTGGGACTTTCGAGAAGCCTTGGCCCGTCTAGGCATCGTTAACAAAATATCCTTCACGCCATTACAATCGAAGTGGTCTGAGGGGACGGCTTTGAAACGTGGGCACTGAGATCCTTGACAGTCGGTGTGTACCATGCCTTTCCTTCGCTTGGATCCTTTATATCTGTATTATTTTTAAGCTGGGCGAAGCCTTGAGAAAAATACATCTCTTATCTCATCTTGTCACAGTATTGTACACTTGTCTAATCACTGGGATGATCACCAGTAGACTCCCAAGCACCCAGCCTCGATGAAAATATCCGTCTCACGTCAGAACAGAGTTACGTATATTGCTCTCACAGTCCTCGGATGGAATTCTCGAGAGGTGGTGAGTCCAACGCACTGTTCCACATTAACCATGGGAAGTTGATGACATCGCTTGCACCATCCAACAGTTCTCAACAGAGTACTCGAGGAATTTTCCGGTTATTTTGCCTTCAAGGCTCGTTTCTTTTACCAAAAGTCTTGTCAAGACGCTGATATTTGTTGACGTCTGACCAAGTCTTTCACCGACAATGTCATCGACGCGCCGAATGATTTAAAAACTGACGAGAAAAAAGAATGTGATTGTCCGTGAGTTGATGCCTGTACGTCAGCCTATGGACTCAACACTTCTTTCTGGGGAGTATTTGGATCCAATCTATAATTTGCGACATTTAGATTGGGAACTTTCCAATCCAACAACATCCCGAAACAGTCAGCCATCGTAATAAACTACATATTCCTTACTGAGGTCTTTCTGAGGGCCAGCTGACATGATACCCTTGCCTAGTACGACGCAATCCATTGGTATATCCTGGAAGTGTTGACTCCAAGGACCATCCTTGGTTAGACACGTTTTTAATATTGCAGTCATATCGCGCGGAACTTCGGGTTCTTTCCAGGCGTATGCACTGGCTCGGCGATTTATTGGGCTGCTAAGAGTGTGTTATCTTCCGCTCTTCTTGTGGGCTTTGTGGGCTGGAAAGCTTCGTGATCTGCAAGATCAAGTGGTATTAGTTCTTCTAACTTCTCTTCACGAGGGTAGGACTGCTCAAAAACTCCTAGCGAGCATGGCCTCTAGTTTGAATACTCGAAGTTCTCTTTTGTGCGAAGCACACCTATTTCGATGAACCAGTTGGCACCTACTACTTACTGTTGAGCCGCGATCACTAAAATAGAACATAGAAGCTGACAAGGTCTCAGATTCCATTCCGCGTTCTACTATTTACACACAGTCCCCACCAGCGATCACTCGAAAATTCGAATAATCGACTGCAGCCGCCGGTCTGTCTCGTCGGCAATAAAAAGGTGCCACTTGGATGGTGCGGCACGCTCTAGATCGTGAGAGATGAAGCGGACGATAATTAACAGATGAGACAGACAACGACGCATCTGGTCGAGATCTTCCGCTCCCCAGACGGAATGAACACCTCCATGCACCGAGAAAGTGGCCACTCTAGCCCTCACATTCAATTCCCGAGCTGCTTTTTCAATCGCCATGATCAACAAAGTGAGGGTATCAGCCCTGGCGTTTGAGGCATAGCACACCGGGCATTGAAGGGTGACCATCCCCTGTTGCTGCACCCTCTCAAGGCGGAGCAATATCCCGGTCGGGCTCTTCAAGTCCTCACATCGAACAACTTCACTGAATGCTTGGACATAGCAATTGCAGTGAAGGGAAGAAGTATCTTCCGGCAGTTTCTCGAGATCAATATCTTCCACTAGAAGAGATTGACTGGAACTAGTGAGATCAGGCTCGAGGAGCTGCTGCCAGGCATCATTGGAGGGCAATTCCATGATCCTGGCAGGGTCCTGCACTGTTCCCGAGATTTGAATTGCATTCGGTGCGAGGCTAAAGGGATAAATTGCGCCACTCTGAAAGGAAGGCCCATGTTGGGCCACCGGCACAGCAACATGTAGGGGATCAAATCCTCCAATGGAAGGCTCGTCGGCCATCAAACCAATGTGGGGAGCATATAACTGTGTGGAATAGTTAACGAACGGCCCAGAACAACGGGGACCCCCAAAACATCCGAAACCGTCGGTCCTTTCAGACGAGCTGTCAAGGCTGGCATCAGCAAATCCTGGATCGGTATGGGTATTGGCCTCCTTTGTGCTGAAAAACTCTTGGTCCTGAGTATGACCTCCGGCTGTATCAATTTCTGCGTATTCCGATGGTCATCCCTTGATAGCTATGTATCCAATGCATTGAGTTTGTGCTCACCTGGAAAATCTGAGAACCACTCTGTGAAAGTCGGCCACTGAGAGTCTTGTTCCGCTGGTGTGGCTTCAGTGCCGTTGCCGGAGTCGCTTTTGTGCGACTCTGCTCTCTCGCTAACAACCGAGCCGGATTTTGGACTTGGACTCGGCAGCCGACTCTGGACCCTGCGCGCCCTCTGCGCTCTCGCTACTGGGACTGGCCTTGATGCCCTCCCTGCATTTCCCCGAGTCGAACGATCAACTACCTCCCCTCCACCCTTGCGCACATGTATACCTGCACCCGCTGCTGCTGGCCGAGCTGTCTTCTTCTTGGCTGGCCGGCCTAACGGTTGCGAGATTGAGTAGATACACTGGTACCCGTGGCTCTCGCACCTTTGGCACGGGTGAGTGTGGCTACATCTTATCTTCGCTTGTTGACAGGCGTTACAGGTGGTACGCATCTTCTGGTTGGGAAGGAGCTGATTGTTCGACTGGGGAGACCTCTTGGTTGAGCTCTCAGGCATGTGTGAAGTCAGGGAAAAATAGGTAGGAAACGCATTCCCACAAAGGATAAGGACACTCCTGCTGACCTTGGATCAACCAAAGGTATTTATGTTCTTTCATCTTACCTAGAATCCCCTCTCCCTAGCCGTGTCATCAGACGAAATCGTTCCTGTCCAACAACACAGGCCCACGTTTAATTGCACTCCTGCATCTATTGCAAGATTTGGGATAACCTACCCACACCCCCACAGACTCCCCTCACAGCAACTGCCGAAAGCACGAAGAGTTACATGGAACATGAACTTTACTAATGACAAATAGTCTTGTCCTACCCCCCCTTAAGACCTACGTGCGAGTACTACGCATGTAGCCTACGGTTTCCTTGGCAGTACGGGGCTCATTAACCCTATTCGGTCATCCATGAATGAGCCCCCTTCAATGTTACAGTGTACTTCCAAGGTTGAATAGCTATGTCTATTTAGCTACTGATCGGTTTCAGTCATAGCACTGTATGGTATTGTCATTTCATCAACCTTGTATCTGGTCTTCTGGCAGACGTCGGCACGCTCCGAGGCAGGGGAAGACAATCATTATCGGTGTTTGTTGAGGGAGATCCTATTACAGTTGCTAGTGTATAGGAAATTGGAATGTCAAGCGCAAGCCGATCATTAGATAGCAGACATGAAGCTGGGCGGCGATATCTATCAATTGGACAATGACTTGTCGCCGCAATGAGAATATGTATCAATTGATCTATCTGTCAATCTTCTGTACCTTTTCTGCAAAGGATAACTATACTCGGCGCAAACGACTCTTCTCTTAGATCAAACAGTAACCCAGTTGCTCTTTTCATTTCTGTTCTAGCAGATTATACATTCTAGTCTTCCTTATCGAACTCAACCTTACTTCTATAGTTGATGGTTTACTCAAACTCATGTGTTCTATTGTTCTATGTCTTTACCCACTAATTTAGCAAGATAGCTCAGTGCTTAGCATGTCTCTGCAGAAATCTAAGTCTGATATCCACTTATATGTATCGACCTATAATTCAGTCAACTGGCAGAACTATACTGAATTTTCTCAAAGCCAGCGAGATAGCGAGTCAACCAGAATAACCCATGATGGTACCAGAAACGATATGAACAAGGAAATATCCAAAGCAGCATACATGTATCCTTGTCTGATCCAGCGAAAACAATACTTTCATGTAGGTACAACCTTGGAACATCTGAAACATCAATATAGTCATCTACGTAACCACCTTTCCCCTTTTATTGAGGTCTGCTCGACAATCTCTGAGCGATAGATCAATAAATTTGCACCTCTCAACAACGGGACCTGGTCGTGGCAACAAAACTAGTCGTACTAATAGGACAATCCACGGAACGAAACGAGGTTGTTGTCGCATTTTTCATCGCGCTAGTCGTCTCGTTTGATTCGGCTTTGTGTCTGCCAATGAAATAGTTCATAGCAATTGGAGGATCAAAACCTGCCGCCCGCAAAAATTCTCTGATATCAAATCCGGAGCGGGCCTCCACAGTTTCGGGGAAGACATGTCCAAAGCACTTAGGGAATTCATACCCCAGAGGCTGTGAAAAAAGTAGATAGACGTAACGGTGATGTGTATTTACTGGTGCGCGAGGAGCTATGTATGAGACTGTTGGATGAGAAGTATCCTCGTCTTTACCAGGAACTAGGAAGGGGGGTTTGGCGTTCTGCAATCCGTTGAAAGGTTTGATTGGTACCAATGCAAGATCACCGACTGGATCTGTGTTCCTGGGAGTATAGCATCGAGATCGATGAATATCGCAATGTATGGTTTGTTGCATCTGAGGTTCATACTACTGATCTCGGGGATCATGCTGGTAGCTACCCCAATGTCAGAATGTGCAATCTCATGATTGGTAGTTGGCATACTTTGAATGTCTAATTCCATACCAGGGATGATCCAATCACTTCCAGGATATCGAATTTGTAATTGATGCCCAGAAGGCCATGGAAGGATTTGCGCAGCCACTGAGAGAGCAAATAAGAGAGCCGTTGTTGTTGGAATCATATTCTTTGAGCGAATTAAACACGACAGGTCAGCTACAGTAGTTGGATTTCAAGTGCGAAGATTCAACCAAGACACTATCCGGCTTTGCTACTCATTATATAGGCCTCCCTAGCCTGCATAGTACTAAAATCTGTCATGTACGATTCGCCGCTGTGAGTCAACCTCCGCTTGCCTCTTGCGCCATTCCCAACCCTGGGCATAAACAACGCCCAGAAGAGGCACCACAAGCATAATTGCGCCTGATACAATAAAATAGGTCCATTGTACGCCGATTAGTTTGATTAACGGATTGACCACGGCCGCAGCACCAGCACCCAAAAAACAACGAACGAGGTTATTAGCAGCCATTGCCGTGGCAGGCGTCTCGTAGTACAAGTCAACGATGAGAATGTTCATCACGTTGTAAGCTGCCGTAATACAGAAACAGATTACGAACACCATTCCAAGAGCAACCAGAAGAGGAGGCTCCAGAGGTATCAGTGCGCCGTAGATGACGACCGAGACAGCTGCAAGCATCTGAAAGGGGCAAATAAGGTCAACGGATACAAATTCTCAAGAGCAGGGATGTCTATAGGCCACATACCGTCATTGGCAAGCCGATCTGCAACCTTGCTTGCTCGATAGGAAATCCAACAAGGTCCTGCTTCTGGTTCCTGTGTACCATCTGACCGGCGTTGCGTCGGGTCCGGCGATAGTTCCAGTCAACTAATACTCCGTTGGCAGTTGCACTGAACAAGGACCCTAAACCTGCGGGAATGAAGCATAGTCCAATGCCGAAATCATCTAGATTGTAGATCCTGTGAAATAGAGCGGGAATCCCTGCAGTGACGGCGTAGTAACTGCTAAACACAACTCCATTTGCCAAAAGCACTAGTCCCACAGGTCGGCGGAAAAGCAGACGCAGGGTGGAGCATGGGTTTGAGATATTCACGCGATGCCTCGGCACGCTAGTGGCAGGCGGGGGTGCAGGGGAACTGTTGTGCAGGTAACTCCAAATCGAGCGATTCCATCCAACTGGAGGAGTTGACCCATTACCGACAATTGCGCGGCATGTCTCAGGGAAGAACAGTACCAGTGGTAAGAAGAAGGATCCAGCTGCAATGGAGAGAAACCAAAAAATTGCTTGCCAGCCGTAATATTTGCTCAAGACTCCTCCAATAATTGGTCCAATCGATGGAGCAAGAATATTGCCCAGAGATGCGAAGCCCATGTACATACCTCGCTCGGCAGATGTAATGATATCGGCTGCCACCGCAGATGCAAGGGCCACGGTTCCACTACTACCACAGCTTTGAACAGCACGAAGAGCCAACAGAGCTGGAAAACTATGTTGAATAGCCAGAGCAATGTTTCCGAAAATATATATCGCGAAGCAAAGGATGTATGCAGGTCTACGACCTGCCTGGTCTGCTAGCGACCCGGTTAACATGGGAGCGAGGCCCTGACATATCTTGAACGTAAGGAATATTAGCACATTGAAACAGCATATTGACAATATCTTTCGAGAATCTACCATGTATGTCGTGATTGTGAGATTTATCTGAGACGAGCTGACTCTCAAGTCCTTCGCGATTGAATTCAGCGCTGGGTAGTATATATTGGCAGACAGAGGAGAAAAGCTTGATGCTAATGCTGCAGTCAAGATAATGAAGCGTTTTTGAGGGGGTGATAACACAGAATATGGCTCAGTTCTGGGAGTAGCATTTAGCAAAGGCGTCTCTTCGTTAACCTCGCCTTCTTCTTGCGTCGGTGCGGGATGGATGTCCTGATCGCCCATGTTGAATCTGCTAATACAAGTAGAAATATAGCTTCTCGACTGACTGCTCGAGAGATTCATGTGAAATAAATAGCCGGGTCCTTTTGAATATTCATATGTACCGTAACTAAACAATCTGACTCGACCTCGGTGGTTTTCTCACGAACACGACCAATGCCTGAAATAAACCAAATCACCATCTGATCTCAAGCTTGGAAAGGGATTCAGAGTTTACAGATTATCATCGGAACAAAAGGCTTTCGTTACCAGAGGACCGATACATGAACTATTACTACTCTGCCAAGTTTCTGCTATCCTAGATCTTCGGTCGGGGGTCCATGTTGGGCTCCGCGTCACCCGTATAGAGATGAGTAGGCCGAAACAGCTTGCCGCGAGTGACTACACATATCAGCAATCCTGTCGGGACTCTATTCGATCTTGCCCTTACCCGTATACTCTCTCCAATGCGCCATAATGCCCATAATGCGATGAGCAAACATTGCCGCGGGTATTATATCCGGCTCGAAGCCACTAGATCAGTGTATTGGAAGCTTGACTCATTGTCAACATCCTTCAAGGTTACAGCACTTACATTCCAGCAAAAACAAAGTTGCCATAGAAATCCGCATTGGGATATAGGCCTCGAGTGCGGAAATATTCCTCCTTCCCAGCGGCTTCTTCGATCGCCTCGGCGGCCTTGAGTAGTGGTTGATGAACACCAGACAAATCTTCCAAAATACTTCTGATGGGACGGACACGTGGGTCCATGCCTTTGTAAGTGCGATGACCGTAGCCGAATAATTTGCGTGTTCCGCTTTTGACTTCTTCGATAAAAGCCGGGACGTTCTTTGGCTCTCCAATTTCACGGAGGGCACGTTGAGCCGACTCGGTTGCGCCGAAGTGCAAGGGCCCGTGGGCGGCAGCTACAGCGGAGATGAGACAAGACACTGGGTCGGTAAGAGATGAGGCTGTCACTAGTGCAGAAAAGACGGTCAGGGCCATCCCGTGCTCAGCATTGAGAATTCCGAAGCGACGAAAGCAGGATATGAGTATAGGATCTGGGCGGGTTGTCTTTGGGTCTACGACACCGGCCATCGTGAATAGATTCTCATAGTAGGTCTGGTTGGGCGAGGGAGCCCTGAATGGGATACCAAGCCGATGAGATCGAACCGTTCCGAAGACAACAGCATAGGTGGCGACGGTTTGGAGGATAATCCGGTCGGCCTCTGTGATATCTGTTTGGTACAAATTCGCATTCCGTGTGGCTGGAATGGCATCGGGTATACATGCCAGGTAAGCCGAAAGACCGGCTAAAATCAACGGCAGGGGGCTAGTAGACTTTCTGTATGTTGTGATATCTGTTAGAGGAGCCAACTAACCGTAAATAAAAGCAGAGAATCATACGGCAGATTGAGGATGGTCTGGCGCACAATATCAGGGACCTCTTGCATATGCCGTGCTAGTCTCTGTCGTAATTCTTCGCACTGCTTTGCTGTGGGATATGTCCCCCATAATAGCAGATGGAACATTTCTTCGAAGTCAGCTCCCCAAAGTTGGTCGATAGTATATCCACGGTATAGAACTCGACCGGTTTCGTGATCACTAGGGACCAATCAGCCGGCTATCATTAACGCCATGGTAAAATCCTCACGAGAAGCTGATAGCAGTTTCTATCACTGCAGTATTCTGCAAACCTGGATCGTAGACGCGCAATCCATGAGCAATTTGATCCGCACGATTGCCGTCAACTGACGAGGGCGCTTTGATGCGCTGCAAATCGGTCGCGCGTATTGCGTTGCGCGATATGGGGATTTCATAGTTTATACGAGTGCGTGAATCGCAGATGAACAAAGTGCCAGTCGACATTTTCAAGTACATAAATGCAGTCCGGATTGAATTGTGGTGTCTTCGTGAATTCAAGTTCAGCTTTTTGTTGCCTTGGGATAATAACGCCCCGAAACGTAGCACAGAAGAGACATTACCTGAATGAGCCTACGGTGCGACGCTGTACATGATATTGGGTTTGGCTCGGTCTATGCCATTGGCTTGAGAGGAAGCAAAGATTTAGTATGGAGTATTCTAATTGGTTCAACATCAAGTCATATTAGACGATATTATTTTATTTCTCGTGACTCGTCATTAAAGGCGCCCATGGAAAGAGTGGTTTTTCTTTCTTCGGATCATTCCAAAGTCACCATGTTTATTCGGGCATGTGCTTGAAGGGGTGCGCAAGGGACTCCTGACAGAAAGGAAGCTTGCTGACAGTCCAGATCTCAGTGTTCTACGTCAAACGAGGAGTCAGTCAAGATCCAAAAAAGTCCAAGATAAGCCCTAACTGAAAGCACTTACCGGCTTCAGGTTCTTCTTGATCTCTGTGTCCAGGGTACCAGCCTTGATGGCGATGATCTCAGGAGCGGCATCGGGATCGTGGGCGATCGGGGAACCACACTCAGAGCAGAAGATGCGGTGGACAGCGTGGCCAGAGGATCCCTTTCCAGCCCAGCTCTTGATAGGGCCCTTGATGGTCAACTTGTCCTTGGGGAAGACGGTGACCAGAGCTATACCACAGTCAGCAATTGTTTACCCTCCAAAGTCTTGTTGGACATGCGACTTACAGTAGGTTGAGCCACTCTGGCGCTGGCAGTCATCGCAGTGATCATAAGCAGTGATCAGAGGTGCGTCAACGTCCACGGTGTACGTGACGGCTTTGCAAAGGCAGTGTCCGGAGATAGGCATGATGGATGGAGTGATTCTATCAAGGTACTTGAGATTGAGGACCCCAGGAGAGGGAAGGAGGGGCTATTTAACAGCTACACCTCCCAGCGGTGCCAGCACTGGATCCAAGTGGTCGTCCATGGAAGAACGATACTTTGGGTAAGCTTCACGAGATCGTCAAGTCGCGACTACCTGCTTCTCCCCCGCGCCGATGCCGGTGGAACAAGTACCCGGTACATTTACGTCATAGCTACAGCGCCAGCTATGGGCTTTTCATTTTGTTGAACTTTTTTCTCCCGCCAATTTCAAAGCGAAGGTCTCTTCAATTCCAAATCTTTGTATTTTGGCTTGATTATTGGTCCCTGTAAGCCGTGGCTGCAAGGCCATGACAAATTATTGTGCCCCGCCATAGCTCCCACGCAAGGCTCGAGGGTCTGGGAACCCCTCCATCCTGCAGCCACACACTAAGCTCCCATTGTGACGATTTCAATTCGGAAAACCAGCGCATTCAGATCAAATCCATGTGGCTGATCTGTCAGGTCCGGGTCATCCTCGTGTCCGACCATCTCCGATTGGAGTAAACATCCATTGGTTCCGGATGGACGGAGTCAATAGACGCACAACCCGCAAGGCTAAGAAGCGTGGAAAACATGCCAAGAATGAATACACCTCAGCAAGATAAGAGATCTGATTTGTCAGGTCATGAATAACATCGAAGGATGATACATCGGCCCGTCTACTCCGTACTGGCGGCTGCAACGCTCGTAGTCGATCACTAGTGCACGTTCAATCACGACTCCCCCACTCCATACAGAGTACAACATACTATGAAGGTTCTGGATGATCGCCTTCTATAAGTAGGGGATGAAGCGAGAAAATGAGCTATCTCGCTGCGATCTGATCAATCACTATCGATACATACAAGGTGGGATCGTGACATGCTATCATTTGTAATCTGATGCCAAGAATCGGTTTGATCTTCATAGAGCTCGTCTACGGAGTATACTTTGTGGCATTGTGCATTCGAGACACCAGGAACCAGGAATAGCGGGCGGGGAAAGTATTTGGCCCCCAGAACGCAGCTCTAAGCATGGGCCCAGGCCTGGTGATTGGTCGATTCAAATGGGGCCACAGAAATTGTTGAGACTAGAGGTTCCGTGAGGTCTCGTGATGTGCAGGCATCACCTTCTTAGATAGTCCGGAGCTTCGTCTCCTTCCTAATACAACTCTCTCCCTCCTCCCTTTCTGAGTCCCACTTCGTAGTTCTCAACAGAAATCTCCCTCGCTATTTGTATATTACTACGGAGAACGGATGCCTGAAGCGGTGGTTGGATGTATTCTGTGATTTAATGATATAAAGCGTGTTCAATATGACTGATCTGGCATCGCTACATTATGTACTATAATCTTCTAGTAAGTGCCAAAGCTGCCTCGCCGGGCATTGTCGATCTTGTCGGCAGCACTCTGCAACATCTATCAGCCACCATCGCCACCGAAGCTCAAATTACCCACTTACCTGCATCTGGGCTGCCATGCCTCCGCGAGGGTTCTGACCGCCATAAACTAGAGCTTCGGCCTGTTGTGCATCTCGCGAATCATCCTTGGTGACGAATGCAGGAACGTCAGCTACAGCCGTAAGCCCCAAGGCTTCGTTATTGTCAGCAATTGACCGCACCTGTGCGGTGATGTAGCCGATCCCAGGCGGTTGATTGAACGCACGTCCCTATGGGGACTTTTCGTTAGTGATTTGACCTATAGTACAATCAAGGGAATTTCCTCACCTCTGTGGCTTGAATTTCATCAGCATCTTCCAGCGAGATCGCGCTTGATGGTTTCCGCGATACTTCAGCGACCTTATTTTCAAAATTCATTTGTCGCATCGAAAGACTCTGGGCCGTTGCTATAGTTGATTAGCCATGCACTACTAGCAATAGGGAGATCCTATATTCACCGGCTGGTCCACCACGAGCAGGTCCACGCCCTGTTAGTGCGCTCTCAGCCTGTGAAATGGCCGACACATCATCCTGTGTGATGCGCTGCCCGCTCTCGGCAGCAAGCTGAATCTCGGCAACTGTAGGGATATCAAAACTCATGGCTATACGCAAATAAAGAACATGCTTCGTTATTTTGTCCCTCGTCTGATTTCGCTCTTATGTGCTATATACTTCGGCTTTCGCACCGGTGATGTCACGGTGAGGATATATCAGTTCAACATGCTTTGCCTCCCCTCGTCAGTGGTGGGGGCGTTTGACATCTCCAGACTGAAATAGAAAATTCGACGTTTCGATTCAAGAGAATTTGCGGGGAATGCGCCATACCCTGAATTTGCCATCGACCAGCAGAAGCAGACCCCCTACCACACCTTTCCAAATCATCATCACTCCGTGGAACTGAGTCTGAAATAAATCAAATGTCTTGCCGAGTTTGTACAACCCGTCCGAGAATATCTGGAAACCTCCAAAGCAAAGCAGATAGCTCAAAACTTGTTGAATGGCCATGTTTTGAAGATTGCTAGTTTTTGAGTCGCCATGGTCAACCCGCTACCGATTGCCCCTGTCAGTGCCACCACATTCAACCATGAAAACAACATCAGAAGGGCAATTTGACGAATGAAATTCCTGGGCGAGATAACTTGGACCCTGTCTTGCCATCGAGCGCTCCGGCCGAACCGCGGCAACCGGTTATCCAACCACGAGATCTACCGAGTACCACGTTGCATAACATGGCATGCGGACCCTTTGGACTTTGGTCATCACCCAACATGCCCTCGTTGAGTCGATTGGTGAGCTTGCTAGTAATAGGAACTCTGTGGAAATGAATCCAAGTCACAACAAGTACCACCTGGTCCGAGTGCTCGCTTGAACTTCTTCTAAATCCCCAAGGTTCACCTTAGAAGAACATATCAATGCGCACAATCGACCGCTCTTGCTAGCGGTATTGGAGTTCCAGGTACGGAGTACATGACCCATCTTGGTATCTGATGGTAGCGTATTGTCAATATGGATGTCAGTACGGAGCAATTCGGTAAGATTGAGATCACATTTTGGCTCACAGCTCTATCACTTTGGCCCGATTTAGGCAGTGCAATAGCCAATCATCATTCTCATATCTTCCTGCCTCGTGAACGTGCATAAGATGCATTACATAATCGGCTTTATGCAGACTTCTGGCCTGAGGTTCTCCGGCAGTATGTTGGCGGAGGCCTCCAACGCTCCTTCCCTTTGGACCAATCAGAAACCCGCCACCATCCCGTTACCGGGATACAGCGCTACGACTCTGTCTTTCCCCTGTTTCGAGGTCGAAAAAACAAATCGAAGACAAGAACAAGGTCTCAGGCACCGGTTATGCTCTACTTATTGGTTTGAATTCTAAACCGGAGTGTGTTGGCTCAGTGCCCGAAATGGAGACGTATGAGAATCGATCTATCAGAAACAATCATACTAAGATTTGGAACATGCACAGATTACCAAAGAAAGGAAAGAAAGCATGCACAATGTGCCGCCAGCAGAAGGTATTGAAAAATCTATGTCGTCTAGAAACCTCGTTTTAATGCCAGCAGGCTAGATGCGATGTCTGGCGAGACGAGACTAAGCCGTGTACCCGATGCCGCAAACACAATGTCAAGTGCACGATAGACGATAGCTTCACGAGGGAACACAAGCGCCGGTAAGTGATCCAGACTGAGCAAGAAAAAAGGTGTCCTTACCTACGTTTCTCCAAAGCCGATACATCGCACTAGAACACGAGAACAAGCAGTGGCGCCAACAACTGTTGAGCTCGCAGCAACAACTGAGTCCCGATTCCCTACCAGCTTCTGTGCCAGCAGCGGCAGCGGAGTCGTTAGTACAACCGATATTTGGGGCCGATTCTCATCCAGGTGTTCCGCAAAATTTACCGCTGGCGTATCCGGCATATCAACTTCCACTGACGGACTCGTCACACGCGGCAATGATGCTAGGTAGTGAGGACACAAAGCCGCGGGCCCTCAAGAGTGTCACTGTCACAGGCGAAGAAATTGATGACCTATACCGATTGTAGGTCTTCCTAGATCTCATTGTCAGGGCATTGCTGACATTTTATAGGTTCTTCCATCATTATGCCTCGTTTCTACCAATCCTCGACGCACAAACCAAACCGAATACCTATTACACACAGTCTCCTTTCCTGTTTTGGGCCGTCATCGGCGTTTCCAGTCGGTCGTACCCCCGGAACCCAACTCTGCAGACTGCGCTAGCCCAAGAAGTCACGGAAATGGCGTTCGTGTCTGTTCTGTCGACATGCGCACCGTGGCACACGATTCAGGGCTTGTTGCTTCTGTTGACCTGGCCTTTCCCCAAAGAGAACCGTCCAGATGTGACATTTCCGCTGAGTGGAATGCTTCTGCACGTAGCGATGCAAAACGGTTTTCACATTCCAATGTCTAGCCATGAATTTTCTAGAGTGAAGATTCCGGCGCCTTCCGAAGTAGATATGGTCCGACGCTCGGAACTATGGGCCCATTGTGTTCTTGTATACCAACAGTCAGTGTCGTGTGCCTATCATTGCCTCGGTGAATCTTGCATTGAAAATCAGCTCTGCTAATTCATGACAGGTCATGTGTGATCAAAGGACAGTCTCCCCGCAATCTGGTGAGCTTGGCACAGGACGTCACACAACGCCAAGTCCTATTCGATATGATTGCCCCACACCTGGTTCAAAAGCTCAGATGCCAAGAGGTCCTTGGCAAATGTAGCGAAGCAGTTCTGGAAAATGGAGTGCGTGCCATGTCTCTTGATCAGGAACTGGTGTTGGATGCTCTACTGCGGAAGTATGAAGGAGAGGTGGATGACATTGCTTTGCAGGCTGTAGTTGGTTTGTATTACATTCTCAAAAGCGCAGTATGTTTACTAACGATGTGATCGTTTCTATAGATGATAAGAGCTATCATCTTCTCCTTTGCCGGATGGCGATTCAAAGTTTTCATTTCTACAAGCATCAAACCATCGTTTCCAGTGGATGCCTTCCACATCTGATCGTCGCTGCCTGCAATTTGGTAGACTACATTCAAGCCTTGGCAGACCGTTCAGGCTTCCTATTTATGGCACCTGTTCAAATCAGCTTCGGTCTACTCCTGGCTTCAATGTCGCTGCTGCGTATTCTCAAGAGCGACTTTGCATCCACTGGACTGGACACAAGTCGAGCTCGTGCATCGTTCTTCGCTGCCATTAATTTGGCCAAACGAATGTCTACCGACAGAAGCGATACAGCGGCTAAAACAATAACTGTGTTGAACCAGCTTTGGAATAGCAGCAAGGCGTTCCGCAAGCCCGACGGCTCGGAATATACCGCACTTCGAATTCGCAGTCGTTTAATCCTCAGCCAGATCCTCGATGCTGTCTGGTGGTGGCGGGATGAGTTTGATCCTAAAGCTCGCATTAGAATACGAGGGACGGAGTCTAATGACTGTATCCCCAGAACTAAATCGTCTACCGGTGTAGAGGCAGGGCGTGCTTTCATGGGAACTGAATCCACTAGAGAGCCTTCCAAGGGGTATCTCTCGACCTCGAATGCCCCTCAACAGGAAGAGTTCCAGATAAATGAGGATTATTTCACCAACTTTGAATGGCTGAGTGATGAAATCTTCTCTTTCCCTCCAGATTCGTCGGCCAATAATCTACCTTGATGATTCCCGAAGTCAACTCGAGTCCGATGAACAGTTGAAACCTATATTTCCACCTTCTGATCGACGTGGGGTTCCCTCTTGACCCGAGCTGCTCTCCAGTGGCTGCTCATCGAGTAATGATTCTCATATGCCGGATATGTCACCAACGTAGCTATGGGGTATATTTCCGGCAAGCCTACAGAATTTGAACCGCCCCCCCCCCCCCCCCCCCCGCCGTCGTCAAGATGCCAAGGCAAAGATCTGGCGGGTGAAGACCAAGCCGCTAGATCAAGCAACCATTCTTGGCATTGGGATCTATATGTTGCAGATCAATTTGTGCGCATGGCCTTGCAGAGCGGGACATGGATTCTGCAGACGCCCCTCCACGGAGTACAGGGCTCATAGAGACGTTGGAACGGGGCTAAGAAGCTTAGGTCAGAAGAAGTACGGAGTACAGTGCATTATCTATAGATCTACTCCGTACGGCGGATGCAAATCGACAAAAGAGCGGCTTGGCAGTACTCACACTACATATTTCATCCGCTGCAAGCATGGCATATGAGAATTATCAATCGACAAGCAAGCTATAGCCCCCCAAGAAGACTGACTACTCTGTTTGATGCTCGGGTATTCTTTGTTCCACACTCCGTGGGCGGTCTACAAAGAAGCAGCTTTTTAGCCTCGGATCCTGTCTCACAGGCTGTCTGTTTCGACTCCAGATCAACGGCGATTGCCGCAATTCCACTGCGATCCATTTTAGCACAAGTCATTTTATTTTGTAATAGCAATCGTTCTCATTGGTTACATCTTTTTGCATTATGTACTCCGTGCTCCGTACTCCGTACCCCGGATCAGTTTCAACGTCGGGTTCGCTTCGAACTGCATCCTTCAAAAAGACACAACCCACATGTTCGCGACCCCCTGTCTTCATATAACCTAATGGAATCTCCAGTTGGCATTATTCCTTGTGCGTTGTAATCTCTCACTGTTCACATGATGTCTCTCCGCTTTGTCTCGACGAATGGCCACTTCAACTGCTAGCGCCCATATCACCACCCCGGCAACTCCGCGGGGCTTCCGACCTGAGACACGCTAACCGACTAGCCACGAGATGCCCAATTTGCCACTCACGCTGCTACGACCTTTCGGTTGCGGTTGATGCCATATTGACCTGGCGCACGCCCAGACAGCCCCTAAGGCTTACCCCGCATTGCAGTGCAAGACACCCGGCTGGTCCCTTGTTCCACATTGCTTGTCTTGTCTTATATGAGCTAAGCACTATAATTGAGCAGCTACAAACGAATGTTGGATCTAGCCTCACAATGGAGACTAACATTTCCTCTCATTAGTGTGTCGGCGATCGCCTAAACGCAGGAGAGATAAGAGGCTACCGGGTGTTTTCTTGTTCGACAGGGGGGTGAAATTCCCGTGCACCGGCTTCACATTGGCTGTATATCAATGTGCATACGCTTCTTTCCAAAAACGGTTATTAGCCCCGAAGAGGGGCCAATCACTATTTTAGCTACGCACCTAGTGGCGACGCTAAGTCGACGAGGGCGGGTTTACGGAGTATATTTGTGTTCCGTGCGCCAGCTTATCACCGACAAGCTCTCAGGAGATTGCTTCTCTTGGGATCCTCGATGCTCAACTCCGAGGCAATCGATGTCGCTAAAGATTGCCTTTCTGTTACTGATTAAACTGAATCATCTGTCCCTGCGAACTTCGTCCGTCCTCACAACCCCGGAGTCTCTTTGTTGAATTTCTCGGGCCCCCGGTCAGCCATGGTATGTAGGTAGGTACGGTGTACAGAGTACAGTACTACAGAGTACGGCTGGAATAACAGGATCCAAGCTTGGAAGTAACCCAAGGAACGCCACCAATTATCCAAGATAATGCGTAGGTATATGCCTGTGTGCTCTGTGGCCCGTGGTCCGTGGGCTGTAGACACCAGACCAAATCGGAATATGAGAGCCCTCACTCCGTGGTCGTGCTATATGCACTCTCGCCGCTTTGCGTCTCGAGGGCTTCCAGCCACTCAAGTCGCCTTTCCTCCTCATTTCTCCTCACCCCCTGTCTTCCCATCACCCACTTTTTGCTTTCCACGAATCAACTTCGCTGGTGAAAAGTTGGTTTTATTTCGGCTCGTGGGTTACATCCCTGCCTGGAGTAGCTTGCGATATTGCCTGCGGTCGATAAGGCGGACTTCCGACGGCCTCGTGCGCGACAACAAGCTTTAAACCATATGTGAAACCCTCCATCGCTTGCTCTTTTTTCGTTTCCCAGCTCCTTACTTCGTGAAACCCATATCTGTGCACTGCATCTTTCACCATGGAGAAGGATGAGTCGATCGCCATCACCTCGGGTGCGATGGTCGATGAGACCGCACCCGATGAGACGCTGAAGCAGCTGCGCAACCTCAAAGACCACCACCACTGGGACCCTAATATGCCCGAGGATGTTGTCGAGGAACTCGATGAGGCCCTACACACCTCCGACAAGCGGACCCAGGAGGCCATTGCCCAAGAGCTCCTCGACAACTCTCCTTACCCTGAAGTTCGATCCGCTGTCTCCAATGTTGATGAGGGTGGCAATTGCAATACCTTTCGCGCCTGGGTGATTGGATTGCTATTTGCGACCATCGGTTCAGCCCTCAACATGTTGTTCTCCATGCGCCAGCCATACATTATCATCCCGTCGTACATTGCACAGGTTGTCGCCTATCCCGTGGGAAAGGCTTGGGAAAAGTTCATGCCGAAAAAAACATTCCGCATCTTCGGCTATGAGATGGAACTCAACCCGGGCACATTCACTAAGAAAGAGCATACAATTTCAGTCATCATGGCAAACGCCACCTTTGGTGGTGGTGCCGCCTACGCGACGGATGTTATCTTGGCTCAACGTGCCTTCTACGGACAGCACTTCGGCTGGGGCTTCGAAATTCTCATGTGTATCTCGACTCAGATGCTGGGCTTCGGTATGGCAGGCTTTTTCACCCGCTTCTTGGTGCAGCCCGCCGCCATGATCTGGCCCTCGACTCTGATCAATACCTCCCTCTTCACTGCACTCCACGATCGCACCAGGCCAGACCCTGCCAAGGTCTCCGGGTGGAGGATTGGCAAATACCAAATGTTCCTGTACGCTATGATCGGATCCTTTACCTGGTACTGGTTCCCTGGTTATATTGCGCCTTTCCTGAGCATCTTTGCCTGGATCACTTGGATCAAGCCACAAAACGTCGTCGTCAACCAGCTTTTCGGTGGAGCTACAGGCCTCTCGCTCCTTCCAATGACATTCGACTGGACTCAAATCTCGGGATTCAATTTCAGCCCTCTGATTGCTCCGTGGTACGCTATCTCGAACACTCTGATCGGCATGTTCGTCTTCTTCTGGATTGTCACCCCAGCTATTCACTATTCCAACCTTTTCTACGCTCAATATCTGCCTATGAGTGACTCCAGCAGTTATGATAACACTGCCCATGTTTATAATGTGTCAAAGATTCTGACTCCCGACTACACCTTCGATGCCACAAAATATGAGAGCTATTCTCCGCTCTTCCTTTCAACGACTTTCATGCTGGCTTACGGTCTATCATTTGCCAGTGTCATCTCTGTCCTCGTCCACGCAGCTCTGTACAATGGCAAGGATATCTGGGCTCGGTTCCGTCGCGTGGGAAAGGAAGAGGAAGACGTCCACGGCCGCCTGATGGCCAACTACAAGACAGTTCCCCTTTGGTGGTATGGTGTTGTGACCGTCGTCATGACCGCAATCGGATTCGGGGTTGTTTTGGGCTGGCCCACACATATGGCTTGGTGGTCTTTCATCATTTCCCTGCTCATCGCCATTGTCTGGTTCGTTCCTATTGGCATTGTCAAGGCTGCTACCAATATTGACATTGGTCTCAACGTCATCACGGAGTTCATTATTGGATACATGCAGCCCGGTCGTCCTATGGCCATGATGTTGTTCAAGACTTATGGTTACATTAGCATGTACCAGGGAATGTACTTCTGCCAGGATTTGAAAATCGGTGAGTCCCTTCATGAGCCCTATTGCTGGCCTAGCTCTTTCGTCGACTTGTTATACTAATCCCTTCTCTCAGGTCACTACATGAAGATTCCTCCGCGTGTGACTTTCTCAGCCCAGATGGTCGCTTGTCTGTGGTCTTCGCTGGTTCAGATCGCCACCATGAACTGGGCTTTGGGCGCAATCAAGGGCGTATGTGACCAGTTCCAGCCCGACCACTTCACATGCCCCAACGGTCGTGTGTTCTTCAACGCCTCCGTTATCTGGGGTGTCATCGGACCCGCCCGCATGTTCTCCCCCGGTCAGCTATACTCATCCCTGATGTGGTTCTTCCTCGCCGGTGCCATCCTCCCTGTCATTCTCTGGTTCCTTGCCCGTCGCTTCCCCAAGACTCCCATCAAGTACCTCAACGGTCCCATTATCTTCGGTGGTTCCGGGTTAATCCCCCCGGCCACGCCCCTGAACTATCTCACCTGGGGTATCGTCGGATTCATCTTCAACAAGTACATCCGTGATCGCTGGCGCGGTTGGTGGATGCAGTACAACTACGTCCTGTCTGCCGGTCTCGATGTTGGTCTTGCTCTGTGCACGATCCTGATCTTCTTGACCCTTAACCTGACCGACACTGATTTCCCCTCGTGGTGGGGCACCAAGATCGCCTCCGGGACCCTGGACGTTACCGATGGCGCCATTCGCCAGCCTCTTGCCGAGGGCGAGACCTTCGGTCCTGCCAAGTGGTAGATTGGGTCGTGTCATACTGAATCTCATCTGGGATGGGATTACCGTCCGAATCGAGGCATACTGCGCTTCTACGGGCTTCCGTCGAGTTAATGTCGGCCATGAATAGCTACGATAGCATAATAATATTGATTTTGTCTCGTTCAACTTTTGTATCTGATATCCCCCCCCCCCAGGCTCTGTCCTCTCATGGCATATTCAGTGCCTAATGAAGTACATAAGGGCTATAAGACCTATCATCGCGGCTATCAGTTACCAATTTCAAGTATTTTAACTTCTTGAATCATTCTTCCATTCAACCTTGGAAATTGTCGATGCTCAATGGAGAAGATGTGAAAAGAGAAAAACGTAAATGTAAAAAAAAAATAGAATAACATATATACAAGCTCATCAGATTTCTTACATTCAATGGCCCAGGCAGCCTATATCCCAAAGTGAATCCAACAAATCAAAAGGAAAAGGAAAAATCATCAGCGGCTGGCATGATTTCCACTTACCCCAAGTAGGTTAAGCACAATCCCAACCGAACTCATCGAATCATGACAGCAGATGGAGAGACCCAATGTCATTTCAAGTTTTCCACCCTAGGTCCAATCCATGTTTCATTGAAACCCTCACAAGAGATCCACACTCCAGAAATTCCAACTTAAAAAAAGATTCCTCAAACACGACGACGGCGCATACCAACCTGCAGACCCAGAGGCTTGCGGAGGAATCCCTCGCGGGTCTCCATGGGTCCGTCCTGTTGCATCTCGAACTCGAAGAGTCGGAACACGGTGGCGACAATGACGAGCAGTTCCATCTCTGCGACGTTGCGGCCGACGCATGCGCGAGGTCCGTGGCTGAAGGGGATGAAGGCGGCCTTTTGGCGCGCGCTGAGGCGCTCGGGGCTCCAGCGCTCTGGCACGAATTCGTCGGCGTCGGCACCCCAGATTTCCTTGGAGTGGTGGATGGTGTAGCTGGGGACGGAGAGCACGTCACCGGCCTTGAAGGTGTGGCCGCTGATGACGACGGGGGTGTACCGGCGGGGATCTCGCGGGGAAGACCCATTGATGAGGTGCTGTGGATGCGCATGGTTTCCCAGATGACCCATTGGAGGCTGGTGGGGGTTGTTAGCTTGGCGAGGTTCTGATTGGGTGATGTGGGGCTTACTAGGGGATATCCTTAACCATGGCATGGCTGGGGACATCGATGTCCTTGGGAATGCCGGCGTCGAGGGCCTTGCGAAGCGTGGGGAGAACGTGGGAAGTGATCATGCACCAGTATAGAATGGCACAGGCGGTGTTGGAGGTGGTATCGGAGCCGGCGATCAATTGAGTGAGGGCCTCGGCGGTCAGTTCGGCGCGTTCAAGCTGGTTGCCATTTCCGTCCTTGCCTTCCATCAGGCGGGCAAGCAGATCCACACGGGTGTTGTTGGCCATGACCTCGGGCTTGAGACGCTCGTTAACACGGGCAATGGCGATACCGGCAAGGTTCTCGACGGCTTGAAGGCCTTCGCTGAAGAAACGGTCGGGGATGTACTTGGCGAAGGGGATAAGAGATGGCATGCAGCCCAGAGTGGCGGAGACCTCGCCACGACGGTTCAGAACCTCGACAGCTGCGACATACTTGGGAGGGTCCTTGGGGTCCAGGCGCATCTCGGCGATATCCTGGCCCTTCTCGAGCATACCGAAGGGAGCACCGAAAGCCAGATCACCAATAATGTCGAAGGCCAGGTAGTTGAACCAGTTGAGGGCATCGAGGCTGACATAGCCGGTCTTGGGGTTACCCTGTAGATCGGATAATCTGTTCCACTGCTTCACGAACTCCTCGATGTTACCGTGGATGTACTGCTCGAATTGGCCAATGGACTTGGCGCTAAAGGTGTGAGAAACAGTCTTGCGCTTGCGCGTGTGCTCGGCACGGTCACGGGTGTTGAATAATCCACGGCGGATAGAGACAAAGGCATCGTAGAAGTCGCTGGGAAATTATCAGTCTGGGCCGCAGTGTTCCTGCGGAAAGGGATGACATACGCTTTCAAGAAACCGTTACCATGTCCGTAAATGCTCTGAATAGCCGCATCGTCGGCGACAGAGACCTGGGTAGGCGAGATACGCACCAGCTTTCCGTACTTCTTGTGAGCTTCATCGATTGTAAGGAACTTATGGCCTTGGCGGCATTGCAACATAAGCCAAAAGTGGGTGAAGGCGGAATACCCGGCAGAGGGAATGTCCCGCAGGTGCGACTTTTGCAGGTACGGCACCACATAATAGGCGATGGCCAGTCCGAGAAGCAGAAATGGAACGGTCTCGAGTGTCACAAACATGGTGAGGGGTGTGTATACAACGTGTATACGGCGCACGAGTGTAGGACAAAAACAGGAGGAAAAAACCAGGCCCAATCAACTGGTATATATAATAAATATGTTTAAAGATAGTGAATCATAGCAGATCCATGACCGACGAGCATCCAGGATATTTATGAAGGAGGGGGTATGAGGTTGTCAGCTCGTCCCCGAGGCAAAGGCGAAGCATCGGGAAGCAGTCTCGGTAGCCCTCCAGTGTGGGGTTCCCATGGTAGCGGTGGAGATCCGTGGAGAGTGCCGTCTCAAGCCTCCGAACGTCTGACTACCCCGGCTTCGGTTATTCGCTGGCTCTGGACAAATCAGCATTCGCATATTGACGACCCCTTGTTGTTGTACTGCAATGTTGGGAGTTTGATTTGTTAAGAATGTCCAAGTGTGGGACAAGGTCACGAGGGGGCGGAGAGTGTGATGCCTGCTTTACAAGGCATCACATGTATTTGTCATCATGTCGCCTCAGGCATCAACCCCGTGTCAGGCTTCACTGCCGAGGTCCTGCAACACGCTGTATACGAGTGGAATGCTCTTGATCTCTCTGGCCATTAATTCAAAGTCTAGAGATATAATTGATATACATGAATGGTATCATCTCAGATTTGCCCTCCAACCCTACTTCATTTTCCCCTAATGACGCACATGATCATGATGATGACTCCGGCTCTTTAAACCGTGAGCCCCCAAAAAGTCATGAATCTCCTTGTACGCCCCCGTGGCATTGTAATGCACGTTAATCGCATGCCCCGTGTTGGGGTGGATGTAGGCAACGAAGGCACTTGCAGACGGGAACAGCTTCTCGGCAGCGGCAGGGAAGGATGCCGATGTCCCACCTGTGTGCGAGCAGTCGCCTCCACAGAATGGAACATCGTTCTCGCCATCAATGACATACACGGGCCCGGTGAAATTGCTCTGCGCTGGCAGACCCGTGATGGTCATGAGTTCCCCAATCGTCATGGGCTGCTTGTTCTCTTCGACGAACTCCAGCAGCTCGGTGTCGAAATGGGGTGGGTAGAAGAAGAGATACACGTTGCTGCCAACGTCGCCGCTCGTCAAGTATCCACCGGTGTAGTCGGAATTTTTGCCGTTGAGCCGCGCTTGCTGGAAGTTGGCCCCGGTGAGGAACATGGGCATGTAGTCGGCACTTGTCGACCACCCGGTGAGCACAAGCGCATCCGAAAGGTCCGGATACATTGCGGATAGGGCAACCGTCTGTGAAGACCCGAATGAATGTCCGACATGCACAATCTTGCTGGGGGTCTTGATATGAGAAATCTCGCCATTGCGCACCATACGGGTCAACTGAGCAAGACCCTCGATCTCCAGGAAGGCCTGGATCTCGTTTTTGGCATCACCATGAGAAGACTTCCCAAGGCCTAGACGATCATAGGAGAGTGTGTGGTAACCTTGAGACAAGGCGTACTCGACGTAGGAGTAGTTGTAGTCGTTGTATGGCAGATCCCAGTAGCTATGTTTGCAGGTTAGCCCACTGTGGACGAAAGACCACATGTCTCGCTACTCACGTCTTGTCAAAGCCCATTCCATGTGTGAGAATCTGAAGCGTGTAGGCGCTGCTTCCAGTGCTCTTTGGCATACAGTACTGGGCGGAGATATTGTAGAGCTTCGAGACGGTGGCGTACCCAGACAGTGCTGCTTCAGTTATATTACCACCCTGTTTGGTCGAGGCAAGGACAAAGGAAGTAGCATCGAAGTTGGTTTCAGGCGTGATGATATTGTCGAACACGCCATTGCGAGCTGTGACGGGGACTTCCACTGTTACATCGTAACAGGTCTTTGCAGTAGTGACACCAGCCGTCAAGGCCCAGAGTCCAAATGTTGAAGTACGCATTATGAATTAGGATTTGGTAGTGTATATCCTCAACCACGTACAGTAGAGGCACAACGAGCGACCTTTATATATAACATCCAGGACAGGCAACCATGACTAGAATATACCGCACATCCCTTGATTCCCATGGAAAACTCCCAAGATTCAGCCCGAAAGTATTTGTCAATGACAAGTGTGGGATTTCTCTCTGCGATGGTAGTGGGACTACTTAGTCCGCAGACTAAGAGATCGATAGCGCACACTCCCGTCAAAGGTTGTTGTCCGGTGCTAAGCCCTGGCGCCGGTGAATGGCCTGGACAATGCATAAACGTTGCAGGACTTGATTTTGTTTTTTTCGATTCTGTCGGAATTCGACACATGATCTCTTGCATCGGATCTGATTATCCTCTGCTTGAACGGGTAAGCAGCGTCAACTTCACAGGCCGTCCTGTATGTCGTCGATCGGAATCTCGACACGATCCAATGAGTGCTCACGATCTTCGATCCTTCTGATCCACTTGGCCCGAGCCCTAAAAATGAGAACACATCCTACACGGATCAACACGGATCTCAAAGGAGTTCCGAGGTTGATCTACCAAAGCCCGTTGATCATTTTGCTGCGCTCTGTACGGAGTAGAGAGTGGAATTGTGCGAGGGGCAGGTGGATTTCAAAAGAATCGAAGGAATATAAGCTCAGGAACAAGTTGTATTCCACGACATGGTATCTCTTCCAAGGTTGCGTGGGTAAGCTTCTAATTTCAATATCATTTTTCAGGGGCCTCAGACGAATTCATTAGTGAAACAATCCCCTGAAAAGTGCATTAGCGTGCGTGAATAGCGACCAGACAGGCGAGAGATATAACCAAACCGAAGCGAAGGATCTACAAGCGTTCCGAAGGCCGAGTCTTTAGGCTTCCTATCCTGTTTGAGTGGAGCAAAGCAGAATGGACTCTGCAATAGCTCTGGACCAAACACATTGCCAGAAAGCCGACTAGAGATGTACAAAAGAGGATTGGAACGAGAGCGAGGACAGCCCAGTTTGCGAACCGAAATTAAATCCCCACAGATAGATGTCTAGTCGCGATGCAAAGTCCAATGTAACTAGTCTATGATTCTGCCTCTATTTGCAAGCCGTTGTTCACCATCGGTCGCCAGTGACTTCAAATAACCCGTTTTTCTTCTTCTCGGCATCCCACCGTTCCATCCACACCTTCATCTGATCACGACTCTTCTGGCTGCCAACATTCACCGTAGGAATGATCCGTCCAATTCGCAGAGCGCAGCAGAACATGGTCAACTCGCGGAACGAACTGTGTTCGCTATAAGGCACGCCAAAGCATGCGCTTTCGCGTGTGCTTCCGCGTTGTGGAGTGAGATCCTGGCTGGTGTATGGTGACTTCCAGTGTTCGCCGTGCAAGACTGTAGATACTGGTGGATTTTGTATCATGCGCCCGGCGGGTGGACGATAGGTCCAACCGGTCGGGCGGAAACCGACGACTCGAGAGAAGTGGGGTTTGAGGCCATCGAGGTAGTCTGCGAGTGTGTCGGCGCGGATCTCGAAAAGGGTTTGCATATGCACTTGCGCTTCGTAGGGATTGCTGGTCAGCATTGCGGATAGCTCTGGGTCTTCCAAGCAGGCACAGATGCGTTGCTTCGGTGGAGTGGCAAAAATCTTTGACCCAAGTGCTCGCGCGATTCCCATACATATTCGTTCTTTGCCAATGCTATAGGTGCCAATTACTACAAGCAGTCGACCTCCAGCCTGCGAGTCTTTGTCCGCTGGTTTGTTGTTCACTGTCGCCGCGGAGAGAAATTTATCCATCAAACCACCTGTGCCGCTCTTTCCAGCATCGAGCCCGACACCGGCCTCTTGATTAAGCCGCACACAGAGCTCCGAGCATGCTGTGATTACATCCTCTTGAGCTGGAAAGCCATATTTCGGGCTTAAATACGTGGTGTCCAGGTAGCATTTGTCAATGTGCTGCTGTCTGGACTTTCCAGTCACTGGGTTGATAACGTCAGGGCGTAGAAGTGGATGTTGTACTTGAGCAGGAGATGCCCGGAAGTCACCACAATGCAATAACCGCTGGTTACGGGCATTGGCTCCATTCCCAGAGCTCTTTTCGAAAAGAAAAAGAGAGCTACCAGGACAGTGATTTGCATGGATCATGGTGACCTGCACACCTCCCGTCCCCGGAACCTCAGTGGTGGATTCGAACTCGAGATCAACTAGCCACTTGGGATCAACGCGAAGCTGCTGGCGAACAAGATTGGCAGTGGGTCGACTGCAGTAGATGGGCCCATGGCACCAAGACTTGCTAAGTCCTATATAATGGTCGCTGTGGAAATGGCTGAGGAAATACGCGTTACACCCTTCGACGGCTCCATAGCGGAATGCATCCACACATATCGAGAATCCAGGAAGAATTTTATAGAATGGACAGGTGCGTTGGTAGGCTTGTTTACCTCGAGAGGAGACTTCATTGGCGGCTGCAGTCGCCCAAGCTGCATCTTCTGCGTTTCCAGCCATTAGCTTAGAGAATGCAGACCGTGAATCTGGTTTCTTCTGCGAAAAGGGATCACGTTGCGCAGGTCGAGCGACGGCAGCGCGCTCTGCGCGTGTCAGGCCTCTGTCGGTGTCGACAGGAGCCGGAATCGGCTTCGCAATGGGCCTACAAGCAGATGTGGCCATGATGGGGCTGCTTTTGCCATCAAGACAGTCGTTGACATGTACTGCGATATCCTATATCAAGAATGAGCAATCCAATAGCCCGAATCGGGATCAATCAGTACCTACCCTTTCGTCGAAGCCCTTCAGCGCCGTCTGGCAGATAGGACACTTGCCCACTCCTCCATCAATATCTTCTACACCCGAACAGTCATTGATATCATTTTCTGGTTCTACTCCAAGGTCGATATCCTGCTCTTGTTCCTCCATTTCCCAGGGCCGATTTCGAATTTCTTCCCCTATAAGCTCGTCTTCTTCTAGATCGTCAAAATTCGCGCGTTCATAATTTTCGGCATTATCTCTGGCGGTTCTTACCAATGGCGGGGGTATAGGTTCGGATTCTTGTTCTATCGACGCAATTTTATCCATTGGCAATGACTTGATGTTTGTCGAATCTGCAGTTCCAATTGTGGTGTCATCGATCTCTCTGTACGCTTCCATATCATCCTCGCTATCGGACTCGTCGATAAAGGGTCCGCTTCTTTTCTGGACTTTTGGAGGTGGAGATGCTTTTGTAGTCGTCGGTTCGGTCTCTCCTTGCTGTGCCTCGTCGACTGAAGTTCTTGGCGAGTCAAACTTCCGGCGCTTGACTGCCGAATCATTCTCGTTATATCGCTCGTCATCCGCCTTCAGGAACTCTTCATCATCACCCCAGATGTCAGGTGTTGGTGACCGTGCCTTTTCGTTCGTCTCCGGCGCCCGTTGAATCTTTGCTAATCCCTTTTTATCCTCCAAGAATAGACCTCCGGTAGTATCGTTTTTTGCGCTATTCCCTCGTCCAGATGTCGAATTACCCCGGCCACTGCTAGGTGAGCGCGAGGACGCCGTTGCAAACTGTGTGATCCGGGCCTGGCGAGAGGTAGCGCCTGGTGGCGTGTCCGTCTTCTGAAAAAAACTCAAGATGCTTGAATTGCGTTTGATTGAAGATTGCTTTGTCCCAGAGGATGTTTTGGATGGCGTTGCCGCTTTCTTCGCGTGAGTTCCAGCCATTATGGCTCAGTGATGGAGGAGAGAGATTGGAGTCAGTTGCACCGTGTGGGAAGACCGAGTTGTAATGGAGTCTAGCAGAGCCTGCAACAAGTCGAGTGTGTTTTTGAACCGAACGGAATACAGAGGCTTTGATCAAATGTACAATATATCCATAATATGTGCACAGTCGCCAGAGCAAATGTTCACGATCGGCGGAGTGGGAGGCGCGAAGAAACCGGATCGCGACACGAAATCACGTGATCTGCCTACTGGTGATAAGAGCCCAATTTGGAAGGACTACCAGTCAGCTCAGAGAAGATTATGATCAAGTCAAGTATAAAAAAATTGTTGCTGGTCATTATTGCAGAAAGTATTTCTAACGAGGTATCATGAACGACGCATTCAAGGTGCCAGCATGAGCGCATGGACGGCAAATCTCCAACGCCATCGCTTTCGCGGCGTATCAACAGGAATTTATGAGCGGCGATCCAAGGATCATTTTGTATCGTAGGCACATTCCATTAATGTGGAAGTTTTGGATAGATTCGTTGCATAATTCCGTCTCCCCAGCCATCAGTTCGGTCGTCTCGATGTTGGCAGACCACATGAAGCCCCCATGCTCTGGGCCATTTAATCATTTCAATTGCTGGAGACCACCTAGTGGAAATAACGGTATTGAGAAGCGCGATGCGTGATTGATCGTAAAATTGAAGTCAGAATTGTTTACCGAGCTTTGCCGGCCTGGTTGGCGGCCTCTGTAACAAGATATCAGTATTGGTTCGAATGGGATCTCTAGTCGCAAAGTCTTGAGATGATTTGGAAAAATGAACAGATTTTCAATTTTCGAAAACTTCGCTTCGAGAGCAAGGCGCAACTCACCTCGCCGTGTAGCATCCTCCAGCAACCCCACGTCGACCTCCGATCGAGGCAACATCACATACCGCACCACACTGCCACGGATGAACATGTTCTTCACCGAGGAGAGATGAGGGTATTTGGCCAGATCCAACACTTCGATGTCGTCGAGCTTGATATTCAGGTATTGGTCGACCGATTTCAGGATGCCACGAATGCGAATGTCATTCTTGAGCTCAATGGTGACCGTCTGGTTGGTCAGTGTCTTGAAGAAGCTATGGTCCGAGCCCCATCAGTTACCGCCCATGAGATACAAGCTTGCGCTCTACGCTATGACATACCTGAAGAAAAGCATAGCTGCGGTGGGTAGAGAAGCTTGGAGGGGTGATTCGACGACGAGGGATGCGCTATGACAGAGCGATAATTTGTATTCTTCTACTGCGTACCGATTGGAGGATTTGTGTGAGGGCGTTCGGAATGGATCTCTTGGAAGTTAAAAGCACCAGAATGTCGACGACGCACAAGAATTTGTCCAGCGAGATGCGAAAGAGAAGCCGTCGGAGGTGGTCACGTGCATGCAGATAAGCCTGGTGGACTCGGTGCTTTTTTACTTCCATTTGGACCACTATCAGGAATTGTGGCTACGAATGGGCGAGAAGAAACTATATTCTGATTGGAAAAACATGGAATTCCTTCCATATCGTTCAGTTATGTCGATAGCTTTCCACTTTGAAGTCTGCCCCTCTTCCTAAATAGTACATAACAAGGCAAGACATATATAGCTGGCACCCGCTCCCACAGGAAAGAAGACTATGAGCCACATCATAGCTGATTTCCGTAATTAGGGAATCGAGTGGACGCGAATTTCTTTGTCAACATGGGAATATCTTCACTAGAGCTCTCAACTACTAAATTCTAACACTTCCCTCATATTGGGTGGAAATATTGTCTGATACTTCGACAAGCAGATCCAAAATATGCTTCGCACTCGGCACTACAAAAGAGGAATTGAACCCAATTGGTGAAGAGAATTGCACTAGCTAGAACCTGAACCCCGGCGCTTCATTGCTTCACGTTGATGTACTCGTCACAGGAGGCCCAATGTGTTCGACTTTGACCAATATTATTTCCGGCACCAAGTGAATCCATCATAAGGACCAGAGTCATATCTTAACCGGTGGAAGTTTCAAGTGAACAATATACTACTCGGGGCACAAGCCTGGAATACAAGCCTGGAGTTGCGAGCATGGAACTGTGAGTATAGAGCTATGAGTATAGAGCTATGAGTATAGAGCTATGAGTATAGAGCTATGAGTATAGAGCTATGAGTATAGAGCTATGAGTATAGAGCTATGAGTATAGAGCTATGAGTATAGAGCTATGAGTATAGAGCTATGAGTATAGAGCTATGAGGATGAAGCCATGAGCATGGAGACATGATGATTGAGCACTGAACATTGAGCACTGAACATTGAGCCCTGAAGTTGCGAACCTCAAAGGAAATACTGAAGGATAGGCCAGGTCACGAGCAGGTCACGAGCAGGCCACGAGCAGTTGAAGGCGGTTCATCGAGATGGGGGAATGTTGCCAGCTGAATAAGACCCGACTGATTGGATTCTGCACCGCGCTTCCACGTGCCCTGGGGTATATAACGGTGCTCCTCCCCCGGACGACCATACTTTTTTTTCTTCCTCCCAAGGTATCTCCCCTCTCTACTCCCCTATTCCCTCTTTACTGTTACCCCCCGAGGATCCTCCGGGGGCTAATACTTTTTCTTATCTTTGGACCCCGCAGCTTGGCCTCTATGCTTGCATATGCCTTGCAGCATCGTGTCATTGGGCTTAAACTGCTCCCGATTGACGCAACCATCTTTTTCATCACTTGAACGGCTTGTCCGGGCACTTGGAGAAGAAAGTTGGACGCCTCACTTTTTGTTTGTTGATGCTTGACCATCGTGTTCATACAATCCCTTCTCACTATTGATGATGCTCCTTCCTCTGTATCTTGTTCATATTCTTACGCGTGGACCCTGCACTGACTCTTGTGAACGTCCTTGCTCCTTACCATGACTGCTTCCATGACTGTTGACTCTAATTTATGCCATCCTTCTTGTCTGCTCCTGATCCTACTACTGTGCCCCCCCTCGTTCATGCGCGATAACCTGCCCTATAAGTGACCAGGAACATTCACTCATCACTGGCATCCCGCAGAAACAATCTATGTAGCCCTTAAAGAGATCTTCATTGATAGTCCTCTCTCCATACAGGAACTGTGTATCCCGTCTAAGGAACGACCTGCCTGTCCATATCCATGTACCTTAAAGGATATATGTACCTAGAGCCACTACTTACACAGTAAGACAATGGCAACAGCAACAAGAGCCTTTGAACGGTCTCCACATCCCATCAGTCCTTGCACATCATGTCGCTTCTCCTAAGGGTTTGAACTGGAAAAAGTACGATGACATCGAAGGCTATGTGACGTGGGGGCAACATGTGGCTACGCGACTCTACCCATGGGAAACTGGACACTACCATCGAGCGATCTCAGGACAAAGATAGTGTCACCACCATGATTGGCTCGATAATAGTGATGAGAAAGCACTGTAGATGGATTGATCAACACTGGATGCTTGGGTACGACCATTGTCCCCAGAGCCTCCAGATGTCAGGAGATGACACCAGTCTTGTTTAATCTCACGGATGATAGACAGCAGTTGCAGCTACTCATCGACAGAGAAAGAGGGTACGGTAGACCGACACAGACGGTAGACAATATCGTAATGCTTAGACAGCACATCCCGGGCACAAAAGCGTTGATTACATTAATTGAGAGCCTCTAGGGCCGAAGCTAAGTACATAAAAATAGTCCCAGCGCAGCCTCAGTCCTAAACAGACCCAGCAACAGACGAAGACACGCCACTCCTCCGTTTCGGTTTCATAGCCCAGCCAGACAAACACGTCCACCCGGCACCACTCTTCCTCCCCTCATCGAACAGCGCTCCAACGCCCTCAAGCAACTTACTCCTCTCACGACCCATCTCCACCCGCAACTTCAGCAACCACTGCTCCCACATCCACCCCCCGATCAGTCCAGTCACACTGGCAATATCCGCCGTGCTGCCGATGGGCCCTTGCACGGCTTCGTACTCTTCGATTTGGCTCTGCACGCGCGGTGCAGGTGTCTCGCGCGGTGGCTCTGGGTGGACTGGCTCCGTGCCCATTGGGAGGAACATCCATGCGCGCTGTGTGTTGACAAATCCGCTGTTGCGGAGACGAGCGAGGAAGCTCTTCGATGCGACAGGGTCATAGCCACGAGTGCGAAGACTGAAGGCAAACTCAACGGACGTCGCGCTGCCGTATGGTCCGGCTCGCGAGATCTCTGCATCCAGCACTTGGAACTCTAGGTAGCCGCCCGGCTTGAGACATCGCATGCATTCCTTCAGAACAAGATCATACTCATCGCGGTCCTTTCCGATGGGACATTCGGCTTTCAGCAGGGCGTGCAAGGAGCGCGCTGAGATGACATCGAATTGGTTGTTGCCAAAGGGGAGCTCCCAGAGGTTTGTCACGGTCACCTGGCGGTGGTTGGGAGGGCCCTTGATGGCGTTGTCGATGGCCTGGCTCTTCAGGGCGACAGTATAGACCTTGACATTGGGGAACTCATAGGCAGCTTGCCATGCCCAGTCGCATGAAGAGTGACCGCCAAGGTCTAGGATTCGGAAGCTGCGCTGGCGAGGTCCCTGCGAGGCTTTAGGCTTGGTGGTGGTTCGAGCAAGCGCGCCCTGGGCGGGACTGGTAAGCAGGTTTCCCCCATTGAGAGACCGCAAAGCATCCATGGCCCACATTGGCTGGCACAATTGAGCAAGGACAAGCTGCTCTTTCTCCAACTTGGCAAATTGGGCCTTCTCGGCTAGCTCCAAGGTGATCACAGAATTACGGGGAGCCTTCGCAAAAGGTCCCTTGTACGCAGGGCGCTCTGGGCGAACGACCTCATACTTGCCTTGAAGGCAGTTGATGTGCAAGTCACTCATGGCGAGGCGCATGGAGTGGACCGCGTCAAAGCGCAAGTTGCGATGCATAAATCCGTCAGTCTTGGTAGACCGTTCCCGGATAGACTGGAAGCCCTGCCAATAGATTGAATCCTTGCTAGCAAGGATTGGAGGCAGAGGGCTGAGAGACTCGGGAACTCCTTCCGCGAATCGGACCATCTTCATGGAAGAGTCTCCCGTCGTGTCTTTGACCTCAGTGTCAACATTATCCGACGCCTCGAGCACCTCATCGAGCTCAGTATCATTCACGGGATTGGTCTCATTGAGGGCGGCAAGGTAAGATGCTTGGGCAGACAGCCAGACACTGGTACGATCATGGCTGGCAACTGCACGGTCCTGCAGCTCTTGATCATAGCATTCATCATATTCATATCCGTTTCCAGATCGAGGAATCTCCTGAACCTGGACGACATCAAACGCAGCACTCATTGGGCTATCTTGGTAGACAGACCGGCGAGTTGGGGTGTCACAGGGAAGTCGGATGGCAGTTGGCGGGCCCTCTTCGTCACGAACCGCTGTGATCGGATCGTCGTCGACGGGTCGCTCAGGCCATTCCACTACCTGTTCAACAATCTCTCCTTCATCCCTGCGCCAAGGTAGATTGTAGAATCCCTCTGCAGCCGCTGAAGTGGGCTGGTGATTCGTGTTGGGGATCGACCAAGTGTGGCGCGCACGGGGTGCAAGAGAGGCGAAGAAGCCACCAGGAGAGGGAATGCTCAAGTCACTGAAGCTGTAGCCAGACAGCTCAGATGCGGGAGTGACACCGTCAGCACTTCTTGGGCGACTGGGAGGTGCTTGGAGTTGCCACATCTCGCCATTCCCCTCTGACGTCTCAGACCACGAGTCAGGTGTTCCATCCAGACGAATGTGGTGTAGCATGGCCAATGCCGAGTCAGGCAGAAAAACGCCCTGATCAACAGGCTCCGGGGCGTCGTATAGGTCATCATATTCATGAATTGGCTCATCATTCAATTGAAGAGATGGCTCGGGCGAGGGTGAATATGCCCGTGCGGCAGTTGGAATCCCGGGGAAACTTCCCAAATATTGCCGCCAGTCCTCAGCGGGAGCCTCAATTGCAATCGGTATTGTTTGAATATCGGAATTGGTATCTGCGTTGTCTAGATCGCTTTCACTTCCATCCAAATCTGGTCGTACGTGAATATCATGTGCATCCCAGTTCGTGTCTGGCAGAGAATGAGAGTCCGGTGTGGCTAATGCACTGATGACTGATTCCTGGTCGGAAGACATACTTCCATCGAGTGACGGTGGGGCATACGATGCAGGCACCGAACGACTGAGCATTGAAAGAGCAGCCGGCGAGACAGGGATCTTGGCTGGCGGCGTTGGCGGGACGGGAGAACCTTTGAGAGTCCCGTTCATCGATGGCCATAGATTAGACGAGGGAATCTCAAGAGTCAAGGCATGCTTCCGGCTCCCAGTTGAGGTCACCGAGTTTCGAGTGATTGGCGTAATTAAGCTCGATGGTCGTGTATCGGGGGAAAAGCACGAGTCACTGATCTCGGTCTCATTGTCGTCAAAACTATCATCATCTGAGGCATCATACAAGTCATCATATCCTTGGAATCCTTGCATTTGCGACTGCCATTCTGTATCCGAGCATGAAGAGGTAGTACCGGCTGAGAGAGGCGACATCAGACGAGCAAGCCGAGCATGCGTTGGTAGTGATAGCCCGCTGGTCTGCAACCTTAACTTTGGGCTAAGGGTGGCCGGTGTAGGTCTGGGAGCGGGTGAGCTCTTCGGACTTAGTTGGGCTAGCTGATATTCACGCGTATCCTCCATTATAGTATTAAGCACCGTCCCTCGGGCCTGCCGAGGGGGCGGACATCGGACAGCCGACATGCGAAGTGTGTCATTCATCTTGTCTGATTAACTGTTGGATGCTGATTTTGCGTGAGTAGCTCACGGGGGAGGATATCTATGGGTATCTCGACTCGTAGGAAATGGCGTAGACACCGATCAACGGGTCTCTTAAGTGAATGATAGTAAGCCAGATAACACAAAGAAAGGAAACAGATGCAAAAGCTACCAGAGCTATAGGCACCGAACAAAAAGGAAATTAAGTCAACGAGATGAAGAACGCTAGCCGTCTCGCAAGTTGTGGCCGTGGGAAATGGTTTATAGTCAATTGAGCGCTTTCACCAGCCACGGGGTACGTGCAATGACCAGCCGATCCCTCCTCTACAGAGAATGACTCTGTCAGAGTGACTACTGCAAGACTGGGCACAGTTCAGCCAATAAGCCTGACTGTAAGAGTAGCAAGCATGGTTCTCATTGGTGACGAGGAATTGGGCGCCTCGCTCTGGACAGGGGGTTCCATCCGTGAGCACAGAGCCAAGGCCCATTTTCGAGCAAGAATCGAGTAGACGACCACGAAAATTTCAAAAAGGGACGAATGAGATCCGTTGACACTGTGATGAACCGCTCGGAGGATGTGACGCAGTGTGAAGAGGCTGGTGATTGGCCCAGTGTAGGCGCCGGGCTACTATTCTTAGCCAAATTAATGACCCTCGCAGATGGATGCAACATCAATTATGCACCTTTCCAGCATCCGAAGAGGCAACAAATCTTCCTAATTAATGGTCGCCTGATGAAAGAGTCGGTAAGATGCGGTGACAATCGGGCGAAGAAGGGAAAATGAGGGGAAAGAGGTGCCAAGTCCAACGTGCTACAGAGAACTACTGCACGCTAGAGCACGACGGATCACTGAATCAAGCATAATAATAGAAATCCGGACTAATTGACCTCGTCAGATTTTGTTCTCATCTACTCGGAGGGTACGGAGTACGGAGTACGGACTATGAGATCATGTACTATTCCATATTGACATCTGCACTGGCCTTTGGATTCTTAAGCCGTACAATGCAACCCTAAAGGCGCGTAGATATGTCTTCAGAGATAGTTGAATACCTACATATCCAGCACATTAGGCCATTACAATCTGAATCTTAATCACACAATGGACCCTACCGGCGGGGTAACGTGTACCTCAAAAGTGGCGCCACTACAGGAGTTGAGAGAATACTAGACGTGATGGTATGGACGCAATGGGAGGCTCAAAACCAATCTTGATTGACTCTCCCATTTCCGTTGAAGATATGTTGACAAGCAAGTGTGCCAAATCGATCAATTTGCCCTCCACAACTAGCCTTGAGTTGTGCACATTGTACCTCAGTTGCATTATATCTGCCAAGATCGTATGCACCCCGTCTTGAATAAGGCCGTTCTCCACGGTTACAAGTGCTTCAACATGGTTATAATCGATACGTTTCAGGCCAGCGGTGCAATAGCTGCGCTGAATGATGCACTATGTTGCGCAAAGGTATGCAATCCTAACGGCACTCAGGAACCACCTTTGGATCACTTGTAATTTGAGCTTTTTAAAAAGATGTTGGCTTGTAGTACGAATGATACCTCGAAGCGCGCTGAAATCCTAACTTATTGACCTCTCAGAGCTGAGGCATTCTTCGGCCTAAGAAGGGACATTTGCAAGGACCATACTCCACGTTGCCTTCCTTCGACCACTCCTGAGACCAAGAAATTTCATCCGATCCGTCGCGGGCCGTTCCGAGTCATTGGTGACTACAGTACTTCCAAGGTTGATATATGACGTGGACTCATTCCCATCTGGAATGGAAGGACCACGTGGAATGCATGTGCTGGCAGGGCCTGCCCTTTTGGGGAGTCATGACTGAGGGTCTGTGAGAATTCGCATCGAAACTTGAGTCGATTTCAGGTGGATCACAGATGGTGGTGACAGTTCCAAGATTGTCCGCCTTTCGGATTCTTAGTCCGTGTTGTGACAGCCCTGGCGCAGTCGCATAGGATCGAATGACGACACACTCTTCTGCAGCGATCTACCCCCACTCTGGCCCAGGCCTCGCCAATTGATCGCACACGCTTCTATTTTTTTCTCACGGAATTTGAGGATCAAGGCCGAGGTGATTTCTTTCCAACTTTTCCCCAGTTTCATGCTGACTTATCCGAAAAGCGTTGGGGGCTTTGAGGGAAGTACGGAGTATAGCCCACCGTGTTGTCCGGAGCAGTGTGCCCCGCTATGGAGCAAAAGCACAGACAGGGGCCCGCTTTCCCACCAAAAGCGCGACATTCTCTGATCTCCTACGGAGTAGAAGGCACGGTTATTCTCCGGAGACACGGCGATTGAGAAAGCATTGTCCCCGACCTTCAAATCCGCAGGATTGGGAGTTGATCGTCGAATAGCGGTTCGGAGTAAGCACAATCTGGTTGGGCGATGATCAAGCCAATAATGTAGGACCCATTCAACGGCGGAACCGTCTTCGAGAACCGAAGTATAGATCAAAAAAAATCTAAGACAAGACCGGGATTGTCGAATTGGAGGCGAACCTGTACCGAACACGAGATGTGATTGGCGGGAGACTTGAATTCCGCAGCTTCGATGCAGATTCCAGGCGATGCCTAATTGATTTTAGATCGGACTATGATAGAGGAAACCCCTGTCTATCAAGGTCAGCAGACTCGACCATATTTTCCGCTCGGAATCGCCCAAATAGGTTATCCAGCGTAGAATGCAGGGTGTGTCAAGATGTCGATCCACGCTCCGGATTTCGACCCCCTTCTGTTACGATCGTCTCAATGAAAGGCACGGAACACGGTGGATACTGCGAAGTCGAGATTGCGGTGCAGATCGTCGAGCCTAACACGTGAGAGCCACAGCCCTTATCGTTTGCATCCATTTCATCCATTTCCATCCCAGTGCTCATGATTCAAGGAGAGACATGGGTTAAATAGATGAATCCAAGACTAAAAACAAGAATCGACGTACGGAGTCCAACGGTAGACAGCGTAGCAGGTGAATCAAGCCACCAATTTCCAGAGGTATACCGAGTACCTCGTGATATGTTGGGTCTACGGTGAACAGTGAACCCGGCATATCCACTCTTCGCCACTGATGTAAACAGAGCTTCACTTCTAATTTGGTTTGATTTTTTTTTTCTTTGGCTTTTATAGTTGACCCCTCCCCCTCGATCCTCTTCCAGTTCCTATTTCCCTCTCCACACTCTACATCATGGCACCTCCCGCGATCATCGCTCCCTCCATCCTCAGCGCCAACTTCGCCAACTTGGGCCATGACTGCTCCAAGAAGATGGAGCAGGGTGCCGATTGGCTCCACGTCGATATCATGGACGGCCACTTTGTGCCAAACATGACCATTGGTTGCCCCGTCGTCTCCCAGATCCGTGGCTGCGTCGACCGCCCATCCGAACCGTGCGGCCGTGGTACTTTTGATTGCCACATGATGATTATGGAGGTGAGTTAGCTTCGTACCCGGGCGATTCCGCAACCATCGCGAGCTTCCTGCTAACGGCTTTTGCTTGTTTCAGCCTCACAAATGGGTTGGCGAGTTTAAAAAAGCCGGCTGCGATCTCTACTGTTTCCATTATGAGGCTGCCGTCTCCTCGGTGGCCGCGACTGATCCTACCGACAAAGAGACTACCGCTCGGACCAGCCCCAAGCAGTTGATCCGCTACATTCACGAGGAGGGCATGCAGGCCGGTATTGCAATTAAGCCAGATACACCCGTTGATGTGCTGTGGGACATTATTGAGAGCGAAGACCCCGCGGAACGACCCGACGTGAGTGCACCCTTTATGCTCCCTAATATTGCCTGATAGGGCTACTGCCATTTCTCTGAATCCAAGAGACTCCTGATTCTGCAATCGCGATGGTACTGACAATGCTCCATAGATGGTCCTGGTCATGACCGTACACCCTGGTTTTGGAGGCCAAAAATTCATGGCTTCAGAGCTTCCCAAGGTCACCGCCCTGCGCAAACGGTACCCCGATCTGAACATTGAAGTGGACGGAGGCCTCGGCCTGGGCACAATTGACCAGGCTGCTGATGCGGGTGCCAACGTGATTGTTGCTGGTTCAGCGGTCTTCGGTGCTCAAGACCCCGCCGACGTCATCGCAAAGCTGCGCGAGGCCGTCCAGAAGCGTCGTGGCGCGGAATCTTCATAAAACGGGACATAGCGCAAAAGGGGGTTTGGGGTGTCCGGTCTTTTGCCGCACTTTTTGCAGGGACACTTTTTTTAATATAACTTTTTATTATTATTATTCATTCTTAATCACGAGTTATGAATGGCATCGAAGCGTGGGACTGCCCACGATTGAAGTTTCAAATTATTTACACTTCTGTAGATGATTGACAACTCACCTATACGAGAATCGATGGCCACCTTGAGCAAAAGGCATTCTTGATGTACAGATGTCATAAATCATCGCATTTGTGAACAGCCAAACCTCCGACTCCCAACTCTGTGAGTCCTGGACGTACTTGCCTACTCCGACTTGGGGACCTGCCCTGCCTTGGTATCATCCTTGTTATCTTCTGTGTGCTTGGCGCCATTCGCCTCTGTCTGCTTAAGCTCTGACTGGACTTGTTGGGGTCTGACAGCCCTCGCAATTATTTCGGCAATGGCATTTCCTTTGGGCTCATTGGGTTCCATAAGTTCTTCTTTGTTCCCGGTCACCACCTCAACGATTGGGCTCGGAGCTTCCTCAATCGGCTCGGTCTTAGCTTTCTCTGCAGCTTCTTTGCGCAAAGCATCAAGGTTTCCGGCGGGTTCTTCCGCAGAAATGGACTGTCTAATCTCGTGCACGGCCTTGTCTTGATCCGCATTCTCAAGTGTTGACATCCTAGGTTTGCGATGGTGTCCAACCAACCCGAGCACCTCAGCGTTATCCGCATGGAAGTTCGCCGACGATACAGCCGCTTGTTCTGGCACTAGTGCCGGGCGTTTGCTGGTCTTTGGTGAATCCGGCGCGGTGTCTGGCAGCTCGGGCGCAACTGAGCCACGATGCGTGTGGCTGACGACAGGCTCCTCCGCAGCCTGCTCCTCTACGGCCTGCTCCTTTTCGGGCTCTTTCGACCCTTTCTTATCGTCTGACTTGGCCTTGGCCTGGGAGGCAGCCTCTGAGCTAGCCTGGCGTAGTGCCAGCACGGCCATATCATCCTTCTTATCTTCAGGCTCGGTAATGGGAGGGGTTTGGATCTTGATTGTGGAGGGTTTTGGAGTCGCGGGTTCTGGTTCGCTCTTGGTCTCGGTCGCTGCTGGGATAGGATAGCTGGTGGGGGTCATCCCACCGAGGTCCTGCACACTGTTCACTACCATGCGCAGTTCCCCGAACTCGTTCCATTCTTCTATTTCTTCCAGGTCCTGGAGGTTGGTTAGCAATGCTCTCGGTCTCAATAAAAGCGCTGCGCGATCTGAGATCCATCCACCCTGGGGGATTGTGACATACTCCCACAATATCGCCATATTTCACCAATCCTGGCAATTTCTTGCCCTTGGACCGTCGGCCCCAGAGTTTGCGGGCAGCATCGTCGGTGGCGACATCGATAGCGCGGAAGGGGAGTTTGTTTGCTTTGAGGATCGTCTCAATTCGGGCGGTCGCAGTGACAATGTGCGATGACCCCGCGGTCAATGAAGTGTAGAGGTAGAGCGTCGAGTCGGGCATGGTGGAGGTGCGTTGCTCAGGTTGCTGAAGTTGCTGAAGTTGCTAAAGATGACGGGAGTTGAGGTTAAGGGGGAAAAGGTCGCGGTGGGACCGGTTTCGATTCATTCAGGGGCTGAGCTTGGTCTTTCTCTTCCCTTGAGCATCTATAGGGGAAAATTAAATTTCCCCCTGGAGCTTTTATTATGACGTGGCTAGTATCACGTGCAGATGAAGGCTTTAGTGATTTTGCTGCGAGAGTCCTCTCATATATCATCATTTGTCCAACAAGAAACCTGGTCGATGCATCAAACCGTTTCCTCCCCATTGACTACCATCTCCCCACACCGCATCCCGTTCCATGTCTCGAGCTGTCTCGAGCAGCTCCCCGCCATGGAAATTGGGCATCAGGGTGGCAACTTGACGTCAGATCCGCCAGTTGCCAGTTTCTTGAATATTCCAGATTCGTTCCAGAATCTCGAAAGCGAGCAGTCTCGACTTGAGAAGATTTCCTAAGAAGACATGCATCCACTCCGTGGAGTTATAAACACCTAGGTTCGTCCAAAGGTTTTTACTATTGGGTATAAGCTATGAGAAACATACGGAGTACGGAGTACCTAGGTACAACATGCATAGTAGTCATGATGTGTACAATTTACCCTAGAGGAAGGAATACTCTGTACTCCGTACGGAGTAGAGATTCCTAGATAATGAGTGGGGACTACTAACAACATTGGGTTATTGGGTTATTTCAAAAGTTTCTTTATCGCAGTACATGTACGGAGTACGGAGTATGGAGTATCGAGCTGCTAGCATAGTATTCTAATTATAAGAGTTATATTGATGCTATTCGACAATATGCACTGTGAACTTGGTCTGAACACAGCATTATTGACTTGCAAATCTCAAATATCATATTACACGTCGTATAGCACAGAGAATCTGATCGCTGCCCGAGCGACAACCAATGTCCTAATATTATATCACTTGAATAACTACTCCGTACATGAGATGGGAAATATTGGCTCGTAGCAAAATACTCATATTTACCAGAAAGTCACAGTCATTGAATCCGAAACAGACTGTCACCCGGGTATACGGAGTCGTCGATGAATGATCTCTAAAACAATCTAAGAGTGGACCGGGGAGCCTCCAGAGACGCACCCAACAAGGCGCAGTGTATATGCACAGCCAAGCCGATCAACCATGCCAATAGGCGAAGAAGCTTGGTTTATTGGGTCAAAAATTCCGCTTTCTTTGAAACTGAAACATAGAATTCTGCATGGCAGGGTCTTTATCTTATGCTGACCAGAATCCAAATCGCCGCAGCTCAGGTGACTTGATATCGTGGACCTGTTATAATTGGGTCTAGCATACTTCTTCCATGACCATTCAGCTTCATGGATGTAGGTACTCCGCAATGTCCCGTGACATGGAAACTGCACAGGCAAGTACGGAGTAGCCTGCGTCGACTCCGTATGTATGTATCCACTATGTGTTTGAATCTGAAGAGGGACACGTTTGTGGTTCCAAGGTCTCACAGCGGTACGGAGTACACAATATAAAAAAGTATTATCTAGAAGGATGTACAACTTAGAATAGAGCCCAAGCCGTTCTAACCTGACTTCAATCTATTATGCGTTCTCGTAGAACCAATATCGTTACCCGAGGATTAGGCCGACTGGACAACTTATGTGAGTTCCAATAAATTTCCTATTTTAGTGCCATGCGTTCAAATGAGTTTCTGGCCGTGCACTTACCCAGCAATCTAGAACCTATCATCCAAGGTGGCTTGGTCGTGGCTTACCACCGATATTCTGGGAGTCTCGTGTGTGATCTATCCTATACTGGACCTCTCTCACTGCAAACAGCAACTATGACCATTGATGCAGGGGCGAACTTATCAGCGGCTCAGCCAAGTAACGCCCGCATACCCAGTTGAGCTCTCGACATGGATGGGCCACTGTCTTAACACCCAACTATCCTTGTTTATCCTACTATGACGAAAAGAGCCTCCCGGGAAAATGTCAGAAGACAAGAAGCTGAGTTGACGGTGAGTGCGAGTGTCGTGTCAAATGTTGGGAGGGCTCTCAGGCCGTCTTGGGGGCAAGATTTTATCAACTTGAAGTCACACATTCGCTAGGAGACATTCGGCTCGTCTCGGCGGGGGAAGAATGATACATCCGAATCGACGACCGCTCTGGAGGAATCCATTCTTCGTTGCAGTAATGCCCAGCCCGACGATCATTATTGATTACTTATTTCATCCTACGGAGTACTCCGTAAGATGAACAGAGTATGGAAGTCTATCCTGAAAGAGAGATCGACGTAATTGATTCTCACATTGACCTAGTTGGGGGGTACTTTGTACCTTTCTCGCGAGCCCGAGATTGCCGCTCAGCCCAAAGAGATGAGGTTAACCGATCCCGCTGAAACAGCGGTAACGTCAGTAGTCGCCAACACCTATGGAGTAGATGTACGACCATCATAATAACGGGGAAAAGAGTGTCTTGCCATTCGATCAGGAGATTGATCCACCCAAGACCGTGGAGCCTCTATACTACTTTCGCACCAGGTAACCTCATTAGGGCCGAATGGTACAGACCATCACGTGGAGGTCAATCCATCACTAGTGTGTCCCAGAACCGCCAAAATTGTACGAGATGATTGTGCCAATTATTGAGCCAAAACAACGTCAAGTCACACAATCATTACTTTGTACTCCGTATAGAACGAACTGCTCTCCCTAACCAGCCACAAGCATAGACAGAACCCTGGGAACTGCTGCGGGAGCGACCCACGGTCCACGTGAAATGAACCGTTCTTGTGTGACACTTTATTTCCGCGGGGAGATTTTACGACCGGTACGGAGTATATTATTACTCCGTAGTATGTATGATGATTGTCTGCTATAGACCACTCGTCGGGCATTGGGCGCTAGGAATGGAGGCCAAACTGGTCATCTGCATCCTGGCTGCCACACCAGACTACGTGGCATCCCTTTTGGCGCCCGAGCGATCTTAGTCCGACCGTGAATGGGTCCTAGGGGGTCTTGGAGCATGGCTGTGCTTGAGGAAACATGGGCTGGTTTTCTCTTTCGGGCTTCCGCTGTAGGCGCTCGTTAGTTGGTGGAAAAGTGACTTCTTTATGTACCCCGGCTTGGACATGTACCAGATCACCTCTTCGTAAGCAAGCCCGCATCTGCTGGCTCGGGTCACATTCGGGATGATCCGGTTCGCTGCCTCACTTTTGGTCCTTTTTTTACCCTCGGTCGTTTGTAACTTTTCATCCAACAAGTCCTCGTTTTCAGGAGTAGTTGGGTCTTTCACCCGGGCACGATCTAGTTATACGGAGTATACTCCTGGCGGCGACATTGACACGAATCCATGACTGTACCTTGGGAACACGGCGACAAAAAAAATAATAGAAGCAAAAAAAAAAAAAAAATAGAAGCGAGACAGGAAGTACATCATTTCTAGAACGTCTAAAGAGTCCAGACCCGGTGATCGGCTCGACTCCCATGTTCACTGGACTCCGGAGTATAGTAGTCTCTACGGAGTACGGAGTACTAAGTGCCAATTCTCGTATCTTACTTCGTGGGGAGTGTGCTTCATCGTCGATCAGAACTTTTGTCTTCTCTTCTTCTTTTATCTTCTCGTCTGCCCAATCTACATTTATTTCCTCTCCCAACCTGTGAAATTATTATCTGATCGTTTCCCTCGATATCATCACGACTATACATTTATCTTCGCGCATGTCCTCCTTATCCTCGAACACATTGATTAGACCTTTATTCCACCAATTCATCGGCTTCAATCTCACCTTATTCTCCTCCTATACTCCGACTCTGCGTACGTTGATTTATGCTTCTCCTCTCGATGCTTATGCTGACCATTCGCCAGAAATACAACTCACCTTCCCCCCGTTTGATTACTGATTTACAGTTATCTTCCCGGACATTGCGACAAGGACTCCATCCCACCATGGCTGTCGCTATAAACGATGACGCACTGTTCACGAGCGCCATATCTTCATACCGCGAGGCTTTTTTGGTTCAACATTCCAATCTACCGGAATCAGAACGAAATCGACTCTGGATTCAGCAGTTAAGTCCGTTCATCCCGGCCTCCAACGACCGGGATACCAACTGGCTGCCCGCTGGGAACCTGGGGAAACGGACTCGACCGGACGCGACCCCGCGGACGTTGCCAAATCCTGATTCGGGTCTCCCACGGGCAAAACGGAGAGCCACCGTATGTGTGACCTTGGTTACTTTGCTCCCGCATTCTTCTCTCTTCCGCCCTTCCTGCGCTCTCGTCCCATAACCGCCATCCGTCCTTGGATTGACAATTGGCAGACCCCGGAACTTGCAGTTGACCTAAACCGCGACCTCTCTCATGCGTCCTCCCCCGACCTGCCCCGGAACGGTGCATCCTTATCGGTACAAGGATCCTACCGACACACGGCCATGGTGCGGTCTCAGAGCCAACAGATTCCGGTTTCTCATCGGCCCCAGCCAGTCGGTGCAGTCATGGGAAAACGCCAATCCTTCGGCCCGGCACGGATCCAATATCGCCTCGACCATGTCGACGAATATTCGCCATCCGAGTACACGAGGTATTTAGACACCTGTCCCAGCCAACCCTTTAACTCGGCCTTGACGTTCGGACTCGCGAATCATGGAGAAACCGGATCATCCTTCCCCCAGTACCCTGACCGGAGCTCCCCCTGGACCGACCAGGCCCCAACAGCTGCGCCGGAGATGTCACGCAGCACAACTACCGACTCCTTGGTTGGCGGGATGAACATGTTCCGCTTCGACTCGACTGGACCATCCCAATATCAAGATCCGATCGGTTCTGTCCCGCCAGAGTGGGTGCCAACATCCACCTCCGGCTTGCCATGTCATAACTCCTTTCTCTCCCCCGTGTATCCTGACCTAGATCCCACGATGTCTGCCCCCTTCTCATATTCCTCCTTCTCAGCCTCCGCTCCCCCAACCACCAACTTCCACTATCCAATGCCCCAATCCTTCCTTCCCTTCGATGCAGTGGACATGAAACTATCCGACTCAACCGAGAGCAATCTATCAGCAGCAATGCGCTCCCGCGCCGCACGCCGCACTCAAGAGCAAATCGCCCACGGCGCGCGCCCCATCGCTCCGAAACTGGAGTGCCACGAGAGCGGCATTGCCCAAATCAATTCGCACAAGATGGTTCGCATCTCCTCATCAGATGGCACCACTAAAGAAGTCGCTGCCATCCCCAAAGCCTCTGTGCGGCGACCACCACGACCAAAGACATACTGTGACCTCTGCACAGACCATCCGGACGGTTTCCACGGCGAGCACGAGCTGCGTCGCCATATCGAGCGCGTGCACTCTTCTGTTCGCACGGTCTGGGTTTGCAAGGATATCTCGCCTGGCAAATATTTCCTCGCAAATTGCAAGGCTTGTCGCAATGGCAAGCGCTATGGCGCCAATTATAACGCTGCGGCACATCTACGCCGCACGCATTTCAACCCCTGCGAGCGTGGTCGTGGCGGTCGTGGGAAGGATAGCGAGAAACGCGGCGGGAAGGGCGGCGGTAATCAGCCAGCTATGGATGTCTTGAAACATTGGATGATGGCCACCGAGGAGGTGACTGACCAAGCAACGGGTAACGTCAAATCCAAGGTTCTCGTTCGGAATGGCTCTAGCAGTGTTCCAACCGTGGAACCTGGGTTTGAGCTCGCTGTCGCTGCCTGTGGTCTCGTTGAGGATCAACCTCCCTACATTGTGCAGTCAGCCATGCTGAAGGAGTCTGATCAATTCCCTGAGTTTCCTGATGCGCCGTTCGAGTTTGATTTTGAGTGGGACGGTGATCTCGTCCCCGGAGGCGAGCTATCCCTAGGTTCCTCGTTGTCTGACTCACAGTCATCCTGCATGGCTGACATCGATTCGTATGTCAAATGAGCGTTCGTAGATTCGTCTTCCGTCTCTTCGTGGGTTCTTTCGAGGGTTCTTTAATGTCTGGTTGTCCATAGTATCATTCGATCGGGCTCATGTAATTTACACCGCGATGTGATTGATAGTCTCTGGTCCGTGGGGATTGTGCCTTTGGATATATTTTGGCGCTACATAATACTTTTGGATGTGAGATCAGGGCGTTAGGTAGATTCCAGTTCTCGCGAACCTGTACTGACCGTGATGAGAAGCTTGAACTAATGTAGGTAATAATGAATGAAAGGTGTCACAACGTTGCAACGCAAGAGGTTCAGACTCCAGAGTCGCACATAGTACTCCCTCATCGGTACGGTAGCCGGTACCAGCATCTCGGTGTCCCACGGTACGGGATGGCAAGTACCGAGTACTGCCCAGGCAGCAGCGATACAGGCGGTCAAATTGGCCAAGAGTCCCGAACAGCTCCCAGATCCTGTGAGTGGCTAACAGCCTCTGAAAGTGGGGTCTTGGATGGCTGGGGGGTGATTCCCGGCCAATCATTTGCATTCGCTGGATTGCACGTTGTGGCTCAGTACGTCGCTCGGCGATAGGGCTGGCAAACTGTGGCTGGAGGGTATTTGGAGCCATTTCCCGGTCCAAGTACACGAGAGGTACCTGTGAAGACTCATGTCCTTGGACGATATCATTCCGAGATTCTTGAATATAACTGTTCCGATCTTGATTTTGGTATGGACTGGACTCCTTAGGAATGCAAATTAACTCAATAACAAAGTAGATCCAAATAATATGGAGTGGTCTATCTTTACCTCCATGTGGAGAAACAGGAGAAAGGGGGAGAACACACGGAAAGATACTTGAAAGGTACATCAGCCTTGTATTCTTGGCAGTCAAACTCTCCCTTCGGGCGCATCAGTAAGGTACCTTCAAGTACCCCGACGATTTCCCTCATCTGCAATACAACGTCCAGGTGAGTTACCGACCCTTTTTTTTCTCTCCTCTTTCCTATCTCTCTGAATCGCATCCTCATCCTCATTGACACTCCCTCATTCTTCTTTTTCTCCACCACTTCGCTTGCTTACCCCATATTGCAGCCCCCCTTTCAACCAATCTTCGTCTTCGCGCTGTTCCAGGTACGTGGGTTTTCCCGCTGTGGCGGCCATTGCTTATTGATCCTATTTCCATCACATCGAGGCGTCTCAAAGCTCTGTTGTATTCGTTGTGGCTGTGTCGCTAATTCATTCTTTTTTCTCCCGTTCAGAAATCCCGTCGCCATGTCCTACCAGCAGCCTAACTATCCTCCCGGACCACCCCAACAGGCGTAAGTCATCGATGATCTACACACCATCAGTCAAATCACGGAGTGATATTATCCCCATAGACCTGGATCAGGTTTCCGACCGCACAAGTTCTATATTCGCTCAGGAGGGACTTTGCTTGCACAATATGTTGGACGTGACTCTGATCAATTTCTCATTGCAGCTACGGCGGCTATCCCCAGCAGGGCTACCCCCCACAGGGCTATCCCCAGCAAGGTTATGACCCCAACTACGCTCAGCCAGGATATGGCCCTCCCCAAGGACCGCCTCAACAGGTAAGTGTTGATACAACAGCACCATGCGCTATACGTACTCAACCGATTTCCAGATGCAATATCCTCCGCAACCCCCACCCCAAGAGCAGAAGTCAAACGATAGTGATAAAGGATGTCTCGCTTCATGGTAAGGATCCAAAATGCCATTGTACAGTGGAAATCAAGCTAATGTGAGCTCCCTGTTAGTCTCGCCGTCCTGTGCTGTTGCTTTGTTTGCGAGGAGGGATGCGAATGCTGCGCTGAGTGCTGCTGCTAAGCTCTATGATCCATGATATCGACGATACCTTTCTTCTTGCTAGCGTTGGAATCTCCGAATACGCGCCGTAGCATCGTGGGACAGGCTACTGCACTCTTTGAATTGCAATACATAACTCCTTCCATATTTGTTTAGTTGAGCTTTGATTTTTTTTTTTCTGAAGGGACATGCGATCAGCTCAAGTTTACCTCCAATCTTTGTTTATTGAATCCTGCAATTAATTTGATTTCTATTGAACTTTTTGATTGCCAAAATGCCATGTACTCTTGTCTGTAGATAATCCCAGTCGGCCAAACAACCTACACATGCAGTCACCGTGGATCTTTCCAGCAAGTTCAACATTGTATTTCGTACTGCTAAGATATATGCATATGTTGTACCTGGGTAGGTATAAACATGCATAAATAATGTTGTGAGGTGGATGTGCACTGAACTGATAATCTTTCTCGGCATTAGCTATATCAATGTCACACAGATGCAAAGGAGAATTCTTTTTGTCCGAACCTGTACGGAGTACCAGTCGTCTATATCTCACCATTCCTACGACGTATGTATCTGACTCTGCTTGGTAGATTATTGCCGATCAAGCTCCAGTAAACCAAGATTGCATTAGGGCTGGTTTGGTCCGTGTCAATGTGCTTAGGCAAAAGAATTCGTAAGTCTATTTATAACTAAAATCATTAAGATGAGGGGAATAAAGTGATGGCCACATGGCGGTGCATCGCCTAGAACGTGAACAAGTTAGCCTCGCAATGATTGGCATACAGTTGACCTCGGTGCTGCACTTAGCCGCCCTGGTCTAAGCACAGCCATGTTGGCACGTTACGATATAGGGCTAGGCAAACACCCCATCATGGAAAAGTCCGTTCCAATATGCAATATCGATTTTGTTGTTCTCCTCCTTGATAGTAGGGCCAAAAAACTCCAATTTAATCTGAGAGGGTTATGTCCGCCACAAGCAGCACTGGACCGAGTCCACTGAACGCCAATGGACTATGCCTCCTGTCCCTGGATGGTGGCGGGGTCAGGGGACTGTCAAGTCTGTTGATTTTAAAGGACCTGATGACACAGCTCAACTCGGAAAGAGAGGATAACCAGCCCCTCAAGCCTTGTGATGTCTTTGATTTGATTGGAGGTACAAGTACAGGAGGGTATGTGATATCGAACACTCGGAAAAAGGCTGGACTAATCAGCGGCATACGCATGTTTAGACTGATCGCTATAATGCTAGGTCGACTGGAAATGGGAGTAGAAGAGTGCATCCTTGCATACACTGAGTTGATGGAGTCCGTGTTCAGTGAGAAGATCACCAGTCTCCCAGTGGATTGGTCGGGGAATATCAAGTCCCAATACGACAGCGAGAGGCTCAAAACGGCAGTCGAGAATGTCATCAAACGCGTTGGTCTGTCTCCAGGAGACCCAATGGATGATGGAAAGTCCCGTCGCTGCAAAGTGTTTGTCTGCACAACTTCGAAACATACATTACAAGTCGCTCGTCTTCGAAGTTATCGGGTGTCAAATGAGAATACCATACCAGCAACAATTTGTGAAGCAGCTTTGGCGACATCCGCCGCAACAAGATATTTCGATGCAGTGTCGATCGGCAATCGCCAATTTGTGGATGGGGCGTTCGGAGCTAACAATCCTATCGAAGAGGTTGAAGAAGAGGCAGCCGATCTATGGTGCACCACAAGCCGTGATCTCAAGCCACTGGTAAAATGTTTTATTTCGATTGGTACGGGGCATCCTGCACAATTACCTATGGATGACAATGTGTTCAAGTTTCTTTCGAAGACATTGGTCAGAATGGCGACTAAGCCGGAAAGCACCGAGCGTCGCTTCATGGCTCGATGGAGCAATGAGGTAAATCAGAAACGCTGCTTTCGGTTCAACGTCGAGCAGGGACTGCAGCAAATTCATATGACTGATTTCGACAAACAACACGTAATCGAATCAGCCACTCACGACTACCTGCATCATTCGAATCAAAAGATTGATCTCCGTGATTGCATTTTGAACCTCTTGGAAAAAACAGGTAGGATCTGGTTCCAAGCAGTATCTCCCAAATGAAAATGATCCTGACAGCTGTACGTAGGAAAAACGACTGTTGATTTTGAAACGACCATGCGAGTGAGATATCCAAAACCACGTACCTATTGAAATGACTTAGTGGAACCCAGTACTGACGGTAGTCTAGGAGTATGAGGCTCGAGTTGAACGAAATCGCATTCTAGACACTGCACATCCATCCAGCAACTCTGTGCGCGCCAAGGCTCCGTGCTGGATTGTTCCGTTCGAAAGAAATCCCCGATATGTTGACCGTGAAGTTGTGGGAAAATTAAAACGGAGATTGTTCATCAAGAATCGGTCAGAAAGAATCGCCATTTTTGGTCTTGGTGGCATAGGCAAGACTCAAATATCTCTCGAGCTTGCATACCAGACAAGGGAACTATATCCCAATTGTGCAATCTTCTGGCTCCCGGCAGTTGATTTAGAAAGCCTTCAACATGCCTACGAGGCAGTGGCAGATCGTCTTGGACTTGTTCCTGTCGATTCAAATGAAGATGTAAAGAGCCTTGTGAAAACACACCTCAGCAAGACCAGCGCTGGGCGTTGGTTGATGATTTTCGATAATGCCGATGAAATCGACATGTGGACCGAAACAGCGGGTGGTCTTAAGGAATACCTGCCTACAAGTGATCAAGGCGCCATTGTTTTCACAACTCGAAGCAATAAAGTAGCCCAATGGCTTGCTTCTACAGACATCATTGAAATTCCCGAAATGGAGGAACACAAGGCCACCGACGTTTTACGGAACTCTTTGGTCAAAAAGGAACTCCTACACGACACCACTAGTTCGCGAAAGCTTCTCACCAGACTCACGTTTCTCCCTCTGGCTATCGTTCAGGCTGCTTCATTTATCAATGAGAACAGAATGACGATTGCCAGCTATGTTGAGCTTTTGGACGGACAAGAGCAGAGCGCTATTGATCTATTAAGCGAACATTTTGAAGATAAAGGTCGATACAAAAGTATTCGCAATCCTGTCGCGACGACGTGGCTCACGTCATTTGAGCAAATCCACCGACAGAATCGTTTGGCGGCTGACTATCTCTGCTTCATGGCTTGCATTAAAGAAAAGGATATCCCGATCTTTCTTCTTGACCCAGCGACGGATGTCGAACAACAGAAGGCAATCGGCCTTCTCAGCTCCTATTCCTTCGTGCGCGTCAGGCACAAAGACTCGCGTCTTGATATGCATCGCTTAGTGCGTCTTGCAACCAGAAACTGGCTTCAGTCAGTCGAACAGCTACGAAAGTGGCAATTATATGTACTGCATTGCGTAGATGCACGCTTCCCCGTCATTGATTTGACGGATCGGAATCGTTGGCGGGCAACAGTACCTCATGCTCTTCAAGTCCTCAGTCTCACAGCAAAGGAGGATCTTCTACCCGTGCGAGTCCACCTTTTAGGTATGGTAGCCACGTGCCAGACATTAGACGGAAGATATTCACAGTCTGAGAAACTTAACAACGAAAATGCTCAAGTTGCTGAGAAATTGTATGGGTCAGAAAGTGATCATGTGCTTGGACCTCTCATTGGACTGGCATCCAGCTACTCAAGTCAAGGGAAGTGGGAGAAAGCGATCGAGCTTTGCGAGGAGATACTCAAGACACAGACAAGACTTCATGGCTCCGAGAGCCTTGGAGCTACCCGAGCCCTTTTCCAGTTATCATGTGTATACCGAGAGTCTCATGACCACCATAAGGCCCATGAACTCTGCAGGAAGGTCGTTCCGCTCTACCTTCGCGTGCTTGGTCCTCGCTCAGAAGAGACGATGAGCGCTGTTCTTGTTCTGATCAGAACCTATATCTCCTATGGCCAGTTCGCGGATGCAACAAAGCTATATTTGCTATTATTACAAATTAACCAGAAGGTTCTCGGTTCAGACCATCCTCGAACAGTCGCTGTGATGACTGGTATGGCCCAAATATACATGGAGCAATGGCGACTGAAGGAGGCCGAAGCATTGTACGCGGAAGCACTTAAGATTGAAAAACGCATGTATGGGCCTGAACATCCGCAGACCTTGATTACTATGGGATCGCTAGCTACGGCCTGGGAGTACCAGGGCCGACATGAAGACGCTGTGGCCATGCAGACAGAGTGTATTCGTTTGAGTGGTCAGCTGTTTGGCTCAGATCACACTTTTACCAACGCTCACAGGTCACATCTAGAGGCTTGGACTAATCCTAAGTAAGTTTCTAGTGGAAGAACTTCGGTTAAAATTTATATACTGATATCCTTATATAAGAACGCTGAAAGAACGCCTGGTCAATCATTCCAGTCACTTTCGACGTTCGGAGTTGTGGCTCGAACGGAGGAGCCGATATCCCAAAGTCCAAGTACTTGGGCGCTGGGTGTCGCGACCAGCAAAGACTGACCCTTTGGTTGCCGAGATTGAAGAAGCAGTGAAGGGAGTCTCTTTGGATACACATGCCTCAAGCGACCAGAACACTCTAGTTGACCGCCAGAACACCGATATCAAGCCTTCGCCCTCGGTTTCCTCGAGCCTCAGCTTGTTAGATCATGTATATAAGTCAAGATAAGAGTGGGCGGAAAAATATCCTATATTATCATTGTAGAATCCTTGCTGAACAACTTTAGAATGTCTCATTACGGGGATCTCAGGTGTTAGTGTTGATTAAAAGGCTGTGTTTCCCGCACCCAAGGAGACGCTCTGGATGTGGCAAGCAGTGAAAATACAGGCGGCCCATTCACCGAAAGTACGAATGCCTCACGGTTGAGTGTATATTTGGTTGGTACGACTTTTCCAAGAGATCATGCGATGTCCTCAATTTTACCCGAAGTTGGTACGGACGAGATCAAATCGGACTCCCTGCCCGACTGTGCATTTCTCTGTGGTTGAGACAATTGAAGGCCCCAAGGCCACGACGTGAGGTCCACATTCAGGATCAGATTATTCCAGCCAAGGGGCTAAGCTCAGCCAAGCGAAGCTTGAGACCGACACCACGAAGCTTATTATGGACAGAGCCTTGCCGTTCTGGCCTAGTGCTCGCTCGATGCAACGAGGGCAGCTGAGGAATATACGCCCTTTGGAAACAGCGCCCCTTTGCCAATGAGCCTGAAGAAGCTTAAACTAACAAATACCAGCCGTGGCGTTTTACAGACACAGCATAGGTGCTGCAGGGGGATATGACCCCACATAGGGCACTGACGATGAAGCCGGCCTGAGTTCTTCCGATGTTTCTCCCGGAAGCCCTTACTCGGAGGGGCTATATCTTGGTAGATGCACCACTCATGGAGATTTATCTAAACGGGAGCAGAATTTCAGTATGCCGATTGCTGTCAACAGGCACTTTTCTGTGCTAGCGGAGGGAGCAGCCTACTATCCGCTGGGATCTCGGATACTATCTCAAAAATTTCGGTTCAATTGTCAAAGCATGAGGGGCGAGAACAACTATCCGACAAGAAACCCATCGCCGGGCGGTTGAGATGTCTGTATATAAGTATCCGCTACACTTCGCCAATTTGTCCGTGCTTCATGCATCCTGGATTGCATTGGCGAGTTGAAAGAGTTATATATGGATTATGAAGTGTAAGATGTTGCATAGATATCTTCTCCTGCCATTTTCGGCGTCCTACGGTACAGCTGTCACTATTTCCGTGGCCAAATCTGGCGGCAATTTCACAACGGGTGTACAATATGGTGCAATGGAGGAGGTATGGCAACTTCTCTATCCGTGACAGTATCGTGTCTAATTCTGTGCCCAGGAAATCAATCACTGTGGTGAAGGAGGCCTCTACGCCGAGTTGATCCGCAACAGAGCTTTCCAAGGAAGTAAAAAGTACCCTTCATCACTTGATGCTTGGTCTGCGGTTGGAAGCTCATCCTTGTCCCTCAAGACCCTCACTGATCCGCTGTCAACTGCCCTACCTACCTCAGTCAATATCAAAGGTATGGGCACAGTTGGCTTAACCAATGCAGGCTTGTGGGGAATTGACGTCCGTCCTCAGAAGTATACTGGGTCATTCTATGTGAAAGGATCTTATAATGGCTCCTTCAGGGCCTCCCTTTTATCATCCAGTGGGAAGGTACTGGCTACTGCTAAAATATCTTCGAAAAGCACTGCAAATAAATGGGTCCAATATGAGTTTGTTCTCACTCCGGCGAAAAAGGCATCGGATTCCAAGAACTCTTTCTCGCTGACCTTCGATGGCTCGGTAAGACTTGACATGAGTTGTCCCATGCGCCTAGACTAATCGTCTGTAGAACGCATCGAGTGGCTCGCTGGATTTCAATCTCATAAGCTTGTTCCCGCCCACATGGAATAATCGCCCCAATGGCATGCGCAAAGACTTGATGCAAGCCATGGCAGTTTTGTGCCCTGTAAGTTGAGGAGTCCTTGAAGTGATTAGAATAATCTCAATCTCCCCTAGTGCTAATTGACTTGGCAGAAGTTTCTCCGTTTCCCTGGGGGAAATAACCTCGAGGGCGATACTATCGAGGGCCGTTGGAAGTAAAATGAGACTATTGGGCCACTCAAAGACCGACCTGGCCGTGCAATTACATGGCAATATGGCGAAACGCTTACTCTGGGCTTAGTCCAATATATGGAATGGTGCGATGACCTTTGCATGGAACCTAGTAAGTGAATCCTCCTCTCTTGGTCCGATTTATGTAACTCACAACATTTCACTAGTTCTGGCCGCTTGGGCCGGACTTGCTCTGAACGGAGATGTTGTCCCCGAGGCCGAGCTCGACTTTTATGTGCAAGATGCACTTAATGAGATCGAGTTTTTGACTGGCTCTGTGGATACCGAGTACGGTGCTTTGCGCGCTAAGATTGGACATCCAGATCCGTGGACCATTAGATATGTCGAGGTCGGAAACGAAGACAATCTCAGCAACGGGTTGAGCTCGTACAAGGCATATCGCTTCTCGGCATTCTATAATGCCATCACCACCAAGTATCCTGAGATTCAGGTACTCGCTTCTACTATTGATATGAAAATTCCTGGAACTGCTGGCGGAGATTATCATTTGTACGATGTTCCGGATAACTTCGTTACGAAGTTCGACATGTTCGATAGTTATACGCCTGAACATCCCATCTTGCTTTGTAAGTATCTTGATGAGATTGCAGCGCTATAAGCTAACACAAACTAAGGTGAGATTGCTGCTACTGAGCCCAATAATGGCTTTGGCGTTAACTGGACCGATACCCATTCCTCTGTGTATCCGTGGTAGATCGGCTCTGTTGCGGAGGCTGTCTTCCTTCTGGGCGCAGAGCGCAACGCAGACAAGATTATTGGGACTACTTATGTGAGTTGCTTCAACATTCAAATCATTGGATAAATATTGACAAAGCAATAGGCTCCCTTCTTGATGAACTTGGATAGCTACCAGTGGTGCCCAACTATCCTCTCCTTCAATTCCGATCCTGATCAGACAGCTCGTTCTACCAGCTGGCATGTGTACAGCGTATGTTGCTCTGATATCTTAACAAAGTACAATATACTGACGCAATGTGTTAAAACAGCTCTTCAATCACAACCACATGACAGACACCCTCCCAGCCACTTCCTCCGATGCCTTCGGTCCTCTGTACTACGCGACAGGCCTCAACAATAAGACTGATTCGCATACATTCAAGGCTGCAGTATACAACAGGACAGCCGATGTACCAGTCTCCCTGAACTTTGATGGTGTCGGCCGTGGAACCAAGGCAGATTTGACCATCCCGACTGCGCCGGATCCCATTGCGAATTTGCGATGAACGAGGTCGGTAGGTCTAACATGGTTAACAGCAAAACTACTCAGATCAAAGCGGGCAAAAAGGGCGAGTTTTCCTTCAAGTTGCCGAATCTGAGTATTGCGGTGCTCACTACCAAATAATGTATCGCCAATCGTATGCATTGGTACTGTACAGCCTTTTTCATGGGCAGTATGGCTACAACCAGATATACTCCGTCCCAGTCCCGGAAGCACTGCCTCATTCTCAGCTGTTGTCTTCAATTTCTCTCTTCATCCCAATACTCTGGTTCATATTGTTTTGCTGGCCATTGAGTAGGAGAAAGGTGGTCAAATCGGTAGAATCTTGGAAGGTCGCGGGGTTGGGTTAAGAGATCAACGTTACTACCTATTGTTGCTATTGCTGCATTGACAACTTGCAAGATTCATGTGCAGAAGATCCGTACGGAGTAATCTAAGCTCTCTCTTTCCAATACACATGTATCACGGGCCACATTCAACATCGGCAGTCATGATTTCGGGGACTGTATTGATTTACCTCCACCCTGTGCGTCACCTTCGTTTCGCCAACAAAAACAGATTTCCCTCGGCCCACGCAAAATGGGGGCCACGCGTCAATTTATCGGGTTTGCGCGAGGGGCTTGAGTGGTTCTCCCCATAAGCGCTAGGTCTGTCCTCTATATTCCCCGTTCTGTCCTCCGTACAACACATGGGGTTACGTCGAGGTACGAGGTAGGTGGTATCCTTCTACTTGCCGCCCGCGCGCTCCAGCCCCTTTCCACGGGCGAAAATTGTGGCGACGGTCGCTCCGAGTGCAAAGAGCGCGGACGCCATGAAGGAGAGCCTGATGCCGCGGTAGTACACCAACCTTGCGGCCATTTGTACGTCGGGGGGAAGATCATAAATAGCCGACACCGAATGACGGATCTCGTCAATCACCTAAGCGAGAAAGATTACATTGGTCAGCAAGAGTTACTCAGGGGTGCATTGCAATTAAGTGGCGAAGGAATTGTACTTTCCATTTGTCTGGTATTCCACTCAAGGCCTCCCCGAGGCCTGAGTTTAGTGTATTCTGCATGATAGTCGATGTCACAGCGACACCCCAAACGTTCCCGAGGGAGCGGACGAGATAGACGGTTGAAGCGGAGACGGCATGATCTACATGCAACGTGATTAGCAACGGACGCTTGGCAAACGGCGCGGGTCGCTCAAAGTGCGGGTAATGGGATTAGCGACACAAAGTTGGGCACAGCAAAGAGCTAGCTTACCGGAGTGGTCAAAGGCCGCTAAGAACGTAAACAGGATACCAGGATATACTATCCCTTGACCCAGATTGGCAGGAATCACGAATGCGAAGTACTTCCATTCTGAGTCACGGAATCGCAGAAGCGCGACTAGAAGGTTACCGACGAGCATGAGAGCTGCACCAGTACGCACAAGGTAGGCTAGTTTGCCCCAACGGGACATGACAATCCCGGCGAGGAGACCACCCAGTGGCGTGGCGAGACATGGGATGACTAGTCGCCTGCCAGCCTTGCTGGGTGAGTCGAGAAGAATGACCTGGAACATAAGAGGGAGAGTAAAGAGATACTAATTGAAACGGGTTACTCATGGTGTTGATGGGGGGTGAAAAGAGAGATGCACTTACTGCATATGCTGCCATACCCACACAGACATTGGCAATCTGCGTGGATACAGCGAGGGATCCTCGTAGCATCTTCAAGGGAATCAAAGGCACCGCGGAGGTCTGCGCTTCAACAATGAAAAATGCACCCAGCAATACCAAACTGACGACTAACGGCAGAATGACCCAGATGTCACTCCAGGGTAGAATATTGCCTCCGAGGCTGAGTCCCACGAGTTGAGCCGACAGAGCCAGAATGAGCAAGCAGGCACCTAGCACATCAATCTGCTGCCAAAGGCCCCGTTTAGGCAGGTCGGGGGAAAGTTCAGTGCTGCGCACTGGAAACTTCAAGACGACATAGCCCATGACCAAAGCAAACAATGACACGGGAACCTGCAGCAGGAAACACCAGCGCCATCCAATCGAGTCAACAATAGAGCCTCCGAAAGAGGCCCCACAGATCGCCCCGAAGCCATACGAGACGTTTTGAATCGCCTGATACATGCCGCGCTGGCGGAAGGGAATGAGATCAGAGTTGATGATTGTTGCTGGTAGACTGTGTCAGCAAGCAACATGTCTACGAGGCGACCAAAACAATCTTGACTTACCCATAGTCATCAAACCACCTCCTCCGATACCGGTCAAAGCGCGCATGACGTTCAAAAAGATTACATCTGGGGCAATGGCACATCCCAAACAACCAGCCATGAAGGTGATGGTTGCAGCGAAGAAACAGGAGCGGCGACCGAGAAGGTCCGAGAATCGTCCATAGAGAGGCTGGAACGCCGTGCTTGTGATCAAGTACGAAGTGGTCAACCACGAAGCAGTGTTTGCAGCGTTGAACTCCGAGCTGATCACGGCATAGGTTGAGGCGGTGATGGTGCCGTCGAACCCGCCCAGGAATACATTGGCCATGATCGCTGATGGGTGTCAATTTTGCTCGATTCAATGTGCCATTTGGATGGACTTACCGATCTGGATCAGAGTGAATCCTGGTGGAGGCCTCCAGGCCGCAGGCTCAGGATTCGATCGCAATAAAGGTTGCTCTTCGCTAGGCTCTTGCAGTACTGCCTGTCTCTCGATTTCATTCTCGGGCGTTGGCTCAAGGCCCGCCGAGACACATCCATTCCGGTGCGATGCCATTTTGTCGTGTTCCACAATTGGTCACGATATTTACGGGTGACGAAAGAACGATCTAATATCGGAAGGGTTTTTTTGTGTTGAATTTTGCGTGCGGACAGGACAAGCGGGCACTCGATCGGGCAATGAGCGCGGATTATCCCCCCACTCAAGCGTCAGCCAAGAGTACAAGAGTCAAGCACGACATCAGATCCCATTCTTACATTAGACAGTCGACAGTCGACATTTATACCGACATAATATCCTGTTCTCCATACCATATTGCAATACTGCAACCATATACAACTCTTCAAGTCAAAGAGACTCAGTGCAGAGTACCCATCTAAGGTTAATGTACCCTATCATGCACACAATGACGAGCATCATGGAAGCTGATCGCCGGACCAGTCTTACTTATCTCAATGAAGCTGCTTGAGGCTATCGTCTGTACCGCAGCGCTGATGCCGCTTGCCGTTGCGGATTGGCAATTCAAGTCTCGAACCGACCTGGCCCCGCCTCGTTTGAACATCACTATCCCGGCTACCGAGGATGTTGAGAAGGGTTATCTCTTCATCGCGCCTTTCCCGGGCCAGTGGGCAGAACCGCAGTTTCACGGCCCGCGCCAGGAAGCTCCGTACATTGTTCGTGATGACGGTGAGCTTGTTTGGTCGGGTTATACCTACTTCTCCATCTGGGCAGCCAACTTTCAAAAAGCCCGATGGAATGGTCAGGACATACTTTTCAGCTTTGAGGGTGATCATAACCCGGCATATGGACATGGTCATGGCCACGCTACCATCCTGAACCAGCGTTATGAGACAATTCGGGAGCTTCGCGCCGGCAACCACAAACTCATGGATAAGCATGAATTTCATGTTGTCAATGAGAAGACTGCCTTGCTTCAGGTTTACCAGCCTGTGCCGAAGGATCTCTCCCGCTGGGGCGCCAGTCCTGAGCAGCAATGGATTGTCGATGCGATCTTCCAGGGTATGTTAGATGTGGATATCATGAGAACCAATACTGATTCGCAGCAGAGTTGGATATCACGACTGGAGAATTGCTCTTCGAGTGGTCCAGCCTCGATCACGTGTCCCCCGACGGTAAGCAAGATGCCTTCAATTCCCATGGACTGTTCTAATACCGTGTAGAGGCAGTTCTTCCTCTCAATCCCGGTCAAGCGGGCGCAGGCTTTAACTCATCCGACGCATGGGACTACTTTCACATCAACTCTGTGGACAAGGATGTCGAAGGTAATTACCTCATCTCTGCACGGGATGCTTGTGCAGTCCATAAGATAAATGGTACCACCGGTGAGATCATCTGGCGACTGGGTGGTTTGCGCTCAGACTTCGAGCTCGGACCCAACGTCAAGTTCTGCTTCCAGCACCACGCGCGCTTCGTCGAGCAGAATGCTGATGAGGAGATCATCTCTCTGTTTGATAACTCCGCTCATGGAACCGAAAACCACCGTGGCAAAGAGGTCCACACTCATCCTTTCTCACAGGGCAAAATCATTTCTGTCAACACTGCCACCTGGAGTGCGGAAATTGTCCAGGCCTTCCAACCTCCTGATGGGCTCCTCGCCAAGTCCCAGGGTAGCACTCAGCTGTTGCCCAATGGCAATGCCCTGGTCAACTGGGGCTCCGAGGGAGCTGTGACCGAGTTCCAGGGAGATGGTACTCCAATCTTCCACGCTTATATGGACTCGGGGCTGTTGGGCGAGGGTGTTCAAAACTATCGGGCATTCCGGTACAATTGGACTGGCCTCCCAACAGAAGACCCGGCAATCGTTGCTGAACGAACTCCCACAGGCACCGAAGTCTTTGTTTCTTGGAATGGTGATACTGAGACGGCGGTTTGGAGATTCTATGCCATCACAGACCAATTTGGATCCCGGGAATTTTTGGGCGAGGCTACACGTGATGGATTCGAGACATCTTTCCTTTTGACAAGTCATACATACCATAGCTTGGCTGCTGAGGCTGTCTCCGCTCACGGTCGGGTCTTAACCACCACTCGCGTTGCTCATATCCAGGACCCGGTGCTTCCTCCTGGTGCTGGCGTTGTGGGGCCTGAGGATCGTAGCACTTGGAAACAGCTGATCTTGCAGGCTTAGACTACGATACCACTGGTTCAAGGTGCTACAGCAGACTGCAGTTGTGGTGAGGTGATATGAAGCTGGAGCTCAAGCGGTAAAGGGGAGTGAAGGTGGTTGAGATTGCGATAGGGTGCACAAGATCGGTGTCATAGGTCTTGCAATAGAGGCGGTACTACAGCATAGTTTGTAACGTCAGCCCTACTGTTTTTTCGGGATTGTGTCTCCTTTATCTCTCTTGTGTAAAGCGGTAATCCCACATTTGACACCTATACTTACCCGAGAGAATATCTTGTCTCAGCCGACATGTATCGAGAGGGCTGAGACAGAAAGACCAAAATGGGATGTTGCTGAACTGGATTTTGTGCATATTTACAGTTGATTAGAGGATCGGAAGTAACACGGGGATGTGGCTAGGCGGATATCCTACTTAGATAGATCATCGAGGTTAAAATAGTGTTCATAGTCAGACATAGAGTCACGAACTATATACTCTCCCACAGCGATACGTCCATATGTCCCTGGGTAGTCTGTATGTAGGAAGGTACCAGCGTGTGTCTCCATGTAACTACATAGGTACATGTAGGTAGACGATACTCCTCCACATCCGAGTCCGAAAAGGGGATTAAGATGAAGGTTCGGTTGCTCCAACCCTGGAACGTCGTCGGTGAGGTTCCGCCCGTTTTGCCCTCCATCGCTCTTTCCTCGTAGAGTTTGGTACTTTCCTCCAGCCCCGATCTTTCTCTTTCGTCTTCCCCTTTTCTGTTCTTTCACCATCGTGTCTTTCATTCTGTCTTTTCTTCGTCAATGGCTTCACATCCTCCTCCGCCGTTTGGAGGCTCTGCGGCTGCCGAACTGATGATGCAGCCAATAGAGCAAATTCGAGACCATATGTTTGATTCCCGTGACGTCTCAGAAACTCCAGGATCCGAGTCTGAGGCAGATCGCGACATACAAATCACCACTCTGGCACGTACTTTGTCCCAAATCTCGCGACAAGCCAGCACCGGTACGGATGAGGACTCGGAAGGTATCAATACCTTTCTTGACGCCAGCAACCCAGAACTGGATCCCCACAGCGACCAGTTTAACTCGCGCAAATGGGTGAAGAATATGTTACAGATCACCTGTCGCGATCCAGGCCGGTATCCGCGTCGCACGGCAGGGGTTTTCTTCCGCAACCTCAATGTTTTTGGCTACGGTACAGCGGCAGATTATCAGATGAACTTCGCCAACTTCTGGCTCAAGGGTGCAGGGTGGCTACGAGATGCACTTGGCTTAGAGAGGAAAGTACGCATCGATATCTTGCGGGACTTTGAAGGCATCGTCCACAGCGGGGAGATGCTAGTGGTACTTGGGCGTCCGGGAAGGTACGCGAGTTGATGCGCAACAGGGAATGACACCACTGACCATATGCAGCGGATGCTCTACTTTTCTCAAAACAATTGCCGGGGAGACGCATGGTATCTACCTTGATAAGGAGAAAGGCACTGAAGTGCAATATGACGGCCTATCATGGAATGACATGCATGGCCGTTTCCGCGGCGAGGTAATCTACCAAGCCGAAACCGAAGTCCACTTCCCCCAGCTCACGGTTGGTGATACACTTCTGTTTGCTGCTCATGCTAGAGCTCCGAAAAATCGACTTCCCGGTGTCACACGCGAACAATACGCGCTGCATGTACGAGATGTGGTGATGGCTATGCTTGGTTTGACCCATACCATGAATACCAAAGTGGGCAATGACTTCGTTCGAGGGGTCTCCGGCGGCGAAAGAAAGCGGGTTAGTATCGCCGAAACTATTTTATGTCGATGTCCCTTGCAGTGTTGGGATAACAGCACCCGTGGACTCGACAGCTCGACGGCGCTGGAGTTTGTCAAAAATATCCGCCTCTCCACTGACTATAGCGGGTCCACTGCTATTGTCGCAATCTACCAAGCCAGCCAGTCTATTTACAACCTCTTTGACAAAGCTATTGTACTCTATGAAGGTCGTCAGATCTACTTCGGTAGTGCATCCCAGGCACGACGTTTCTTTATTGAGATGGGTTTCCATTGCCCAGATAGGCAGACAACGGCGGATTTCCTCACGTCACTCACCAGCCCCTCCGAACGCCTTGTTCGCTCTGGGTTCGAGCACAGTATTCCACGCACCCCCGACGAGTTTGCAGCGCGCTGGAAAGATAGTTCGGAGAGAAAAGGTTTGCTTCTTGAGATTGAGGCAACTGCGGCTGGAAACTCCGTTGGAAAAGAAAAGTATGAGCAGTTCAGTCGCTCTCGTGCTGCAGACAAGGCCAAATCCACACGTGCGGCATCCCCGTACACACTATCTTATTTTATGCAGATCCGCCTATGTCTCTGGAGGGGCTTTTTACGGCTCAAGGGAGACTTAGCCATGACACTTTCCACACTCATTGGAAATATCGGCATGGGTCTGATCATTTCTAGTATCTTCTTTAACCTCAAAGACAACACCGACAGCTTCTATCGGCGTGGCTCTCTGCTTTTCTTTGCTGTTTTAATCAACGCCTTCGCAAGCTCGCTGGAGATATTGATTATGTGGCAACAGAGACCAATCGTGGAAAAGCATTACAGATATGCACTGTATCATCCCTCAGCAGAAGCTATCAGTGCATACATTGTGGAATTGCCATCCAAAATTTTGCTGGGAATAGCGTTTAACCTGATCATTTATTTTATGCCTCATCTGCGGCGAACACCAGGCCATTTTTTCATATTTTTCCTCTTCTCGTTAACTACAACTCTTGTGATGTGCAACATCTTCCGTTGGATCGGGGCAATCTCGCGATCTATTGCCCAGGCCATGGTTCCTGCTTCATTTTTCATGTTGGTATTGGTTATTTACACTGGGTTTACCATTCCCGTTCGGGATATGCATCCCTGGTTCCGATGGCTGAACTATTTGAACCCCATTGCTGTAATGATATCTTGTCTTAGTCGTTGATGACACAACATATGCTAACAACTTACAGTATGCCTTTGAAGCTCTCATGATCAATGAGTTCAGTAATCGAACTTTCCCTTGCTCGAGTTATGCCCCTGGCCTGCTAGAGAGTTACAAGAGTGCGCCTCTCAGCTCAAGAATTTGTTCTCAGAAGGGTGCCGTGGCAGGTCAGGAGTTTATTGATGGAGACTTGTACCTCAATACAACATTCGAATACTACAGGTCGCACCTGTGGCGAAACTTTGGGATCCTCTGCGCGTTCTTTGTCGGTTTTCTTGTGATGTATATCTTCAGCAGCGAGCTCATCCGAGCCAAACCATCCAAAGGCGAGATTCTGGTATTTCCAAGGGGAAAGGTTCCTGTGCTTGCTAAGAATATTCGAAAGGAAGATCCAGAAGAGGTCATGGCATCAGAGAAGGCTGCAGTGGCTAATGAACCTCAGGAATCAGGTGGAGCCATTGCTCGCCAGACCTCTATTTTTCACTGGGAAAATGTGTGTTATGATATCAAGATCAAGGGAGATTCACGACGCATCTTGGATAGTGTGGATGGTTGGGTCAGACCTGGCACCCTAACGGCACTGATGGGGGTGACTGGTGCAGGAAAAACATCATTGCTTGATGTTCTGGCCGATCGCGTCACTATGGGAGTTGTCACAGGCAACATGCTCGTTGACGGTCGTTTACGCGATGATTCTTTCCAACGAAAGACGGGTTACGTGCAACAACAAGACCTGCATCTCGAGACTAGTACGGTCCGCGAGGCTCTGACTTTTAGCGCTCTCCTCCGTCAACCTGCTAGCACCCCTCGCCGGGATAAAATTGAATACGTCGAAGAGGTTGTCCATATGCTCGGCATGGAAGATTACGCAGAAGCTGTGGTTGGGGTTCTCGGAGAGGGCCTGAATGTGGAACAGCGCAAGCGGTTGACTATCGGCGTCGAGCTAGCAGCCAAACCAGATGTATTACTGTTTTTTGACGAACCGACCTCGGGTTTGGATAGTCAAACTGCTTGGTCGATCTGTACTTTGATGCGTAACTTGGCCGACCACGGTCAGGCTGTACTTTGCACCATTCATCAACCCTCGGCAATGTTGATGCAGCAATTCGATCGCCTGTTGTTCCTAGCCAAAGGAGGGCGCACTGTGTATTTTGGCGAGCTTGGTCCGAACATGGAAACCTTGATCAAATACTTTGAGGAGAAAGGGTCGCCTAAGTGCCCCAAGAACGCAAACCCAGCCGAATGGATGCTCGAGGTCATCGGTGCTGCGCCGGGCTCTCACGCAGATAGAGATTGGGCAGAGCAATGGACAGATAGCGTCGAGCGTACACAAGTCCGCCAGGAGTTGACTTTAATGAAAGAGGAGTCGAGGAAGCAGCCTGCACCCGCGCGAACTGCATGTTATGAAGAGTTCGCCATGCCAATCTGGTATCAGTTCCTAGTATGTATACAACGAATGTTCCAACAGTACTGGAGATCTCCGGGGTACCTGTACTCGAAAGCCACTACATGCATCATCCCTGTGAGTATTCTCCTCTGGATTTCTTTAGTTGAGTTTATTAACTAGTATAGCCGCTCTTTATTGGGTTTACTTTCTGGCACATGCCCACCAGTCTTCAAGGTCTGCAAAATCAGATGTTTGCAATTTTCATGTTACTTGTCATCTTCCCCAATTTGGTGCAACAAATGATGCCATGCTTCGTCACGCAGCGGGCTTTATATGAAGTACGAGAGCGGCCGTCAAAGGCCTACTCATGGAAGGCATTTATGGTGGCCAGTATCTTGGTGGAGTTGTCGTGGAATATCCTGATGTCGGTGCCAATTTTCTTCTCCTGGTATTATCCGATCGGACTATATCGCAACGCAGAGCCCACCAACACAGTCATTGAACGAGGCGGGATCATGTACCTACTCATTTTGCTTTTCGTGATGTTCACCTCAACTTTCAGCTCTATGATCATTGCTGGAGTCGAACAACCTGAGACTGGCAGCAACATTGCTCAACTGATGTTCTCGCTGTGTCTATCCTTTAACGGGTAAGTGATCCGCGGAAGTTTGGTAATTTGCCTTGTCATAGTTGGAGATGGCACTGACTAGGGTTCGAAGTGTGTTGGCCAGCGCGTCCGATCTTCCTCGGTTCTGGATCTTTATGTATCGCGTGTCTCCATTCACGTATCTTGTGTCGTCCGTGCTCTCAACAGGCCTCGCCAAGACCTCGGTGGAATGCTCCAGTATTGAATTGCTCACCATCTCGCCCCCACGGGGAGAAACCTGTTCCAGTTATCTCGACCCATACATCAATGCGCTTCATGGCAAGTTGCTCAATCCCACAGCGTTGAGGGACTGCCAGATTTGCACGATGTCGACCACGAATCAATTCCTCGCTAGTCTCAGCATCTCAGACTCCGATATTGGACGCAACATCGCGGTGCTGTTTGTCTATGTGGGGTTCAATGTCCTCGCAGCGGTGTTCCTCTATTGGCTCTTCCGCGTTCCCAAGCATTGGTCGCGAAACGTTCAGCGGGCTTGAAAGGCTGCGTGATTTTGGTTCGGATGGGGGCGATTTCTGATTTGAATATTGCTTTGTCTTGTTAATGGTTGATCCGAAAGGATTGATTTGTGTGGTTTATCTTTTATGTACCCCTAGCTTTCTCTGACCATGATTTTATTTACGCTTTGAACGCAACCATTCTACGCTGTATACGAAGTACCATGCAGTCCATCCATTGCATGTTCCCCGGAAAAGGCAGCCCCCTGGAGCATCGGGGACTCCTATAGGCGGAGGCTCCCGTCCGAAGCCGGTGGACCCGGTTGAATGTTGACTCGTACACCGTTTCTCATGTTTAGTCTTTCGCAGATAAGCTACTCGGTACTCTGTACGGAGTACGGAGGACCTTTTTCACATTCAGGCAGAGAGCTTCAGTGGAGACTCGGTGTTTTTAGTCTAACAATGGTCAACCACTGCGCTGGGAGCTGGGGGATGAACAAGCCCCGAACCAAAGCCCGAAAATGGTCAGGAAAAATAGATTAATCCAACTCAAGGCCTAGTCCACAGACCTCAAAGAGCCCAAGCCAAGCCTAAAGAGAATAAAAATAAACATAAACATAAAAATAAACCACTAAGCCTTCCAAACTGAATCATCGGGACCATTGAGCACGGTTAAGGGACAATGATCGGCGAGCACTGGGGCCTGGGCTGTCCACGAAAAACGATTGGCATTAGCATATCGGAGCGTACAGAAGGAGATCCGTACGGAGTATGTTATACATTGGTGGGTAGGTGGGTAGATGCGAGCCCAAGGGAAGGGGAGCGTAAATGCCTAGTGTGCTGTCACAGCGCTAGAACGAGTGAGGCAGGTCTGGAAAAGAAGGATCTGCGGGTATTTGTCACGTAATGATTCGGATTTGTAATTTCTATGATTTCTATTCTCCTTGGATGAAGCTATCCTCGATCAGTTATGAAGTAAATGAAGTAAACAGACGGAGTTGGCCCTTCCCTGGAGATATCTGGTGGGAGTTAGGGTTACGGAGTCTCCTCCTCGGGGCTGAAAGGAGAGGGAATAGATACATCAGGGAGATTCTGATGCGGGAGTAAGTACTCCGTACATGTATCATACTGGGGATTCAGATCATCCCCGCTAATCTCTTTGCATCTATTTCTTAGTTCAATATCAAATCACTCCACTCCTGTCCCGGTCCCGGGCCCCTGTCCTGTCCGAGTGCCTTTTTGGGCGCTTTGGGGCTGTTTTTGAGGCTCTGCCCCACGTTCCACTCGCAGGCTGTTGCTCTTTGGCAGGTACTTTTGGTGCTGAGATCGGTATGTCTGATTTATGAACGATCATCTCCGCGCCAAACGTTCTCTGGGTCTCTCTGCCGAGTTCTTTGACCTCCGGCTGACTGCTGGACTCGTTTCTTTTGCATCTCAGATCTCTATTCAATCGTCACACCTTAGCAATGGACTCCAATCCCCCATTTATAGAATACCCTGCTGTATCAATGGAGGAGATCGCACAATCATCCACCTTTGATCCCTCACTGCCAGCGGATCACCCTTTCGTGACTCGTGCCATGCGATTCCAAGCCCCCCTCTCTCATCTCGAGTCAACCAACCCCCACGAGGCATACCCCCAGGAGCCATGGTGGAAATCAGACCTTTCGCCCTCTTCGATGGGACTGGTATCCACCGACATGCAACAAGGCAATCATCTCGCCCCGTGGTTCAGCACATTATCAACCGTCTCCGATCCTCAAAGTCCCCGCAGTAGTAACAGCGGCAGCATGCCGACAATAAACTACTACTCGTCCCCGTTCCTACAGGACGATATCGTTATCCCCACACTCGATATCGACTACAATACATACCCCATGCCAGACAATCTGATCGATGCGGAGCCATCTCCATGCTGGCCGAGCAGCCACTCAGACCGCAACCCTACCCCAGAGACCCGATGGTCCTCCCCATCACATCAAGAGAGCATCACCCTCACCCCACGACCAAAGGCACGAGCTAGTTCGACTTCGCGCGTTCGCAGGACTATAGAAGCCCGCGCGGGGTCAGCTTCAGGCCGTCGCCGTCGCCGTCCCCTCTCCAGCGCAGCAAATGAAGGCATCGGTCCGCCTCGCACGTTCGTCTGTAGTTTTGCTCCGTACGGCTGCAAAAGCACCTTCGTCTCGAAAAACGAGTGGAAGCGTCACGTCACCTCACAACATCTCCTACTCGGCTTCTACCGCTGCGACGTAGGCAGATGCAAAGTCCGAACCCCCGTCTCAACCTCCAAATCCCGCTGCGACTCTCCCCCGCCCGGCCAGCCAAACGACTTCAATCGCAAAGATCTCTTTACCCAACATCATCGTCGCATGCACGCTCCCTGGCAACAACCTGCCCGTCGCCGTGTCCCGGCGGATTCTGAACGCCAGAGCTTTGAATCCAGCCTCGAGGCGGTCCGCAGACGCTGCTGGCATCCCCTGCGTGATCCGCCAATCCAGAGCCACTGTGGGTTCTGTGGAGAGACTTTCAAGGGCAGTACCAGCTGGGACGTGCGGATGGAGCATGTCGGGCGCCATTTCGAGCGCGAGGACACGGCCTGTCTTGGGAATGAGATTGAGGATGTGGCATTGCGAGAGTGGGGGCTGGCGGAAGGAATCTTGACTATTGTTGATGGGCAGTGTCGTTTGACTTCACTGCTGGGAGCAGAGACTTGATTCTACTGTGTTGTGATTTATTCATATTTTGTGGCCCTGGATGCTGGAAATTTGCTGGAGTATGGAGTACATTGGGGATGGTATACGGCATATCTGGTTATCACTCTAGCATGTCTTTCTTTTGAGACCTTCGGTTATGGTAATGATATTAGACTCGACTCCAATCTCAGCAAGGAGTAAATTTAAGCTGATTCCAGTTCTAGGCTTCCAAATTTGCTACCCTGCCATGAACTAGACTCGAAATTACACCAGATGCAACCAAAAGCCCCCGTCCCTTAATTTCCAGGATAATTTTAGACTGCCAGGGTTGGGGCGAAATCCTTCTAGCTTCCCCAAAGGAGTAAACGCAAAGCTGCCTTGGTTGAACCCATATGCTGGCAGTCAAGGGTCGAGAGGTGGATCAGGGGAAGGCATAGGGTCATGTCTACTCCGTACTCCCTACAGATCGATACGAAATTCATTGTTCTAAAGCCCATTGGCAGTAATGCAGCGTATCCGACCCGCGGACTAGCTGGAAAACGGAACGAGTCGGCATCTCAAGAAGTAACCTCGGATGGGGCCAAAAGCTGTAGGAAGATCCTGCCAGGCCGGAGCCGAGTCTCTTCTCGGATCCTAATTTAGTGCATTGGCTAGTATCCTTATGTTTGGGAGACTATTCCAGGACGAAGAGGGTCCCGTATGGGCGTGTTTCGTGTGGGAGAGATGGTGATCACTGTTGAACAGCCAAGACAGCCCGGGATTTGGCGATTTATTGTCGACCATTGCGACCGAGGACATCCGAGTTCCGATTCTCGCTGTTCGTGTCCGGAGTTACTCTGCTAAGTCCATCGCGATGGCATGACTCGAGCTGCCTTTAGCCGCGGTTTCGTGTCCACCATCACCGACCTACGTGTGCGAGGCGATTGCCCACAGGTCCAAAGCAAGAGGTGGCTGTGGTATAAAGTTTGATAGTCGAAGGTCAGTGCATATCTCGAGACAAGCTGTGAGCAAAGGATAGCATAGGACAACAAGCATGAATTGCAAGTCTTGGAGTATCGTTAGACAGAAGATGCCAGCCATTTCCTCGAAAGGTTGACAAGCCAAAGTGGAGTCCCGAGTCGAACGGACGATGAAATAGAGTAGGCCAAGTGCTGTCAAGAACATGCGGCTACCAGATCCCAGATTTGGATCCTTTTAAGCTTCTTTTCGGGAGCAGACCGAAAGGTGTTATGCCCGTTGTAGTATGCGTCGTGGAAACGTCCTATTCTGGTGCTGCTCGTGGAAGATTCCCTTTTCGGCGAGAGATCTCCATCGCCGCAGGCCCCAGGCTTGGCGGCTTGCTGATAGTTCACCAAAGTGGTCAGAGTATCAGCGTTCGGATGGACTCAGATCACAGTTGATGGTTCAACTAGGCTGTATCCCCAACGCCAGTGTTTCCGAGGCCTGCAAGTCGGGAGCAATAACAACGACAGGTCTGATATCTTAGCAAAGCGAGTGAAGACCAGATGCAGGCGACTATACATGTACCGAGTACTCCGTATGCTTCGTATGCTGCTTGCAGTCCGACTCCCAAGGTTTCCTCTGCTTCGTCACAATGAGTACTGAATTGGATCCCCCGTGTAAGGGCGAGATTACTGACGTACGGACTTAGAACTATATAGGGAATGCATAGGCACTGCCAAGGGTTGCGATATCTCGTCAAGGTACAAGTCCCTAGACCACCCAGGGTGGACTAGAGATAGGATGGAAGAGGATATGGAGTATTCAATATTCAATAGTGGTATCGTATTTGCCTCAGCCTGGTTACCTTTCTACTGCAATGTTGAATGGACTACATGTTGTATATATGGACCTACAACGCAACCACTCGAACTATACGGTGTATATGGAGTATAGAATCATCTTAATCTCTTGAACATCCAACTACCATTGATCCTGGAGTGGAATTGAAATATTTGGACCTTTTTGGAGAAGAGTGTTGAGATTCTTCCAAGTAACCTGGGGACGCAACCTATCTACATGTGCCTCTGCCACAGCTATATATATCCATTCAGAACCTCGAATATCAGCCGTCCAGCATCAGGTACCCCTTGAATTGTCGCCGTACAAATGATTCTGGACTTTTGCTAAGCCCAAATCTGCCCAGTGGTCTCCAAGATGTCTGTTCAACGTGTCGATAGAAACCGTGTAGTCCGGACTCCGATTGGGCCACCTCCCCGCTCATTGGCGCATCAACCTCCTCGAATCCCCAAACTCCGTACTCCGAACACTTCTGCTCTGAAGACTGGCAATTACGACCACCCGATTTACATATCGCAGACTGTCGGCAAGGCATGAAATACCAATAGCGCTCTCTACCCCTTGCTTCTCCGGCTGGCCATCCCAGCGCGCTCCTCCACCATGTATGTTCTGCTCGCTCATGGACTTACACAGCTAACATGCCTTCAAACTCCAGGGCCGTCTTCTCCCTGATTATTATCAACAAAGCCGGTGGTCTGATCTATCAACGCGAGTTCCAGGCTGGCCTGCGCAAACTCTCGACCAATGACTACCTCGTGCTAGCAGGCACCTTTCACGGGTGAGCAATGCCAAATCCCACCCCGATGGAACACCATCTGACCTCGCTTCAATAGTGTCCATGCCATAACTCGCTCTATCACACCGAAAATCCCCATCTCCCAACCGGCTTCCTCCCCCGCCGCCTCTTCTCCGATCACCACCGCGCCCGCTGGGTCCGGGTACTCATACCCTAACCCGGGCGTACCAGTCTCCGGCCTGGATTACCTTGAGACCGACAAGTTTCGCTTGACGTGTTTCCAGACCCTGACCGGCACAAAATTCCTGCTGTTCACGGACCCAATGACCGGCAACGTGGATACAATCGTGCAGAAGATCTACGAGCTCTATGCGGATTTCGTGATGAAGAACCCTTTCTATCAGATTGAGATGCCGGTGCGATGTGAGGCCTTCGATCGGCATCTGGGAGCGTGGCTGAGAGGGAGGACTTAGCCCCGACCATGGAAGCCGCGCAGAAAGGAGGTAGACATCATGACTTTACGAACTAGATACGTTTTGTTCCTGTACTTGTGTCCGGATACCGCTCCGTCTCGTATAATACCAAATCACATAATATATTTCCCTTGCACACTGTAGCGCGAACTCGAAGGTGGACTCTCGTACAAGGCAAAATCAGAAGCAAACGCCGGGTATGCATCACAGTCATATTCAAGGCTCCAAGCCGGACCTCTAAGCAGTGTCCATCTTGTCCTCATCCTTCTTATCTTTGCCACCGCTCGACTCGCCGTGTCCCTCCTCGGGGATATTGCCCAGTTGCGTTTTGCCTTCCTGTTCTTCCCGCTCGCGCTTCTCCTTCTCCTGTCGGTTCTTCTCATCCTCCATCGATAACCGCAAGGCGAAGGCCAGCTCGGGATCATTCTCGGCGGCATCATCGAATCCGAATCCACCAGCCTCACCCTCACCGCCGCCGCCGACCTCGGCATCTTCGCCAGCCAAGATCGGGGTCAGCTGCAACTGATCGCTGAGCAGATGGGGTCCAGGTGGGATGATAGCGAGATGGGAACCGTCACCACTCTTGACATTCTCAACGAAAGCTTCCAGCTTCTTAGTCTGGTCGGATTCTAAGTCTCCGAAAGCTACCACGTCGATCGACACGTTGTTCTTCTTCATCTTCTTGGCGAGTTTCACGAGGGTCTTCTCATCTTCTTCGATGGGCGAGCAGGAGAATACAATGATGCGCTGACGCTGGGACTTTTCCATACGGTGCTTGAGCGCCAACTAAAATGCGTCCAAGGTTAGTTATTGAACAGCTTGGGAGTCGACCGAAAGAACTCACTCCTGCAACCTGGATACTCGAGCTGAGATGAGATGTGCCGTGGATTTTCGTCTGGTGCAAACCAGCCAGAATTGCGCCAAACTCAGGTGTGAAAGTCGATAGCACCTCGGGACCCTTGCCACCCATGCTCATAAGACCAACAGCGGACTGAGCATTTAGACGCATCTTCGCATTGTGGATAATGCTAACAGCATCGACTTGGGATTGCCACCGGGTTGATCTGTGATAGTTAGATCTTATTCACAGATGGAAAGACTGCCTGATCGGATGTACTCACGTGTAGTCTCCATTGCGACTGCTTTCGCTGTTGTCGACACTGTAGCTTGGGGTCAGCATAGTAAGCCAATATGGGGGACAATGACCGACATGATCATAGTAGCTTCGAGCGTCATGATGGCGGAATCTGAGGGGATTAACGATGCAAAAGAGGGTGGAACAGCGAATGAATATGATATCGTATGGGAGACTGAAGACGGATGACGAAGGCGAGGTTGGAAGCTCTGTATTCTGCCACCGCTCTCCGCCCAATACACCCTGTTTGTTGTGGTCCTCCTTGCCTCCGCACTTTATCTTTAGACGTTCTATTTCGACACCCACTACTCTGAGGTATACCCCTGAATCTCTGTTACATCATGCCTGCCATTAAACGCAAATCGGACGCCATGGATGCTACACCTACGGGCAGTCCTACCAAAAAGATGCGCTTGACACAAAACCAGAAGCAGGCACTGATTGACAATTTACAACTTGAAAGTGGGTTTACTTGTGGGTTTACTGAAGGACTCCTGTACTAATTTTGATCTAGTTACTGAGAGGGCACGCAAACTTCGTGCTCAGTATGCCCTTCAAGCAAATGACCTTCGGGCGCGCATTGAGCGACGCGTCAACCGAATCCCAGTTTCGTTACGCAAGGCCAACATTGGCGAGCTGCTCGAAAAACACAATGCTGCCATGAACAAACAGCTCACTGCATCGCCTTCCAGAAAATACTCGCCCGCTAAGACGTCGCGTAATATCGCAGGCATTTCCGTAGATCCAGAGACTAGAACCCGTGGGGCAAGGTATGATGTACCTGAAATCTAACCTGGATCTCTTACTGACAAAATGTGTAGTCATGATCCCCACTTCTCCGATAAAGAAAATGCCCCTGCTGGTGGTGAGCCCGAAGGGATCAAGAACCCCAAGCGCCGGGTTAAGCCAGCCGCACCCGGCGGGGCCTCGCGCGTGGTTTCCCAGGAAGTACGGGGCAATGAGAACCGGATCCTATCTCCCAAGTCTAACAATTCTCGCACCTATCCCCAATCGCCTTTCCGTGCATCTCCCGAAAAGGGCCAACCCACATATCTGTCGCGTCCTACATCTCCCCTAAAGCCATCGAGTCCGCTGCGATCGCGGGGTGCCACCGTGTCTTCGGTAAAAGATCAACGACCCCCTTCACAGCTTCAGAGGACAGCCAACCGTTCCGCTACAGGACCCAAGACTACTAGATCACCTTTGTCGCGTCCAGGGACCCGACAGGGCGAGCGCAAGAACAGCACCGGCTCCACAGCATCTTCAGGCACAACAGTGACCAAATCCGCGCGGACTGGTACTGGTGCAAGAAAGGCGACAACCGCCCCTGCTGCGGCGGCCGCTAGGAAGCCCGCTCCGCGCATGCAGGTCGCATCAGTGGCTGTCAAAAAGTCGGCCACTAATGCAGCGATGCGCAAGGCTACCGCTCCAACAGCGGCTGAAACAACAACCCGGACTCGGGCGCTGCGCAAGCGCATCTAAGACCTACATGAATGTATAAAAAATTGGTATTCCCTTCATTGGAGTTGGTGGGTTGTCTGTATCTTTCAGCGTGGATGTTTGCAGGCTTGCAACAAACGATTTGTGCCTGGGCGCTTTCTTGTTACTTCTCTGGCGCAACATCATGAGTGTTTTCTCATCTCAGTCCAGGTATACGGTCCTGGCCTTGTTTCGGGTATCTGAATAAAGCTGTCTTCAAGTCAATGCTTCTACTTCACAAATATCACTACTGGCATTGGTCGATCTGCTCATGAATAATAATTCGTAAGACCATAGAAGACTGAATGTGGTCTGCCATCCTACCTACAACGGTATTTGCCAATCTCGTCCCTAATATGTTCCAATCAATTGTATCCTACACTTAATAAGGTATATTCCTGGACATTCAAATGCGCATTGTCGAGCGTTTCAGAAGCCTAATAAAGTTCCAAAATATGTCCACATAGTGAGCTGAGACCTAGGTAGGCAATGTGCGCAACCGATCAGCTGTAAGGATCATGTCGCGACGTGATCTTCGATTCAGGGTCGAATTCTGTCAAAGCGGGTTTGTGTGGGACTCTAAAGGGAATCAAATAATTTCATTTTCTCGGCCTTGTTGGAGCATAGCATTGCTGAGCCAATCTTGAAATACATTTCAGTATCAAACGGTCAACCGATGCAGAAGATGATGAATATCGTTAGACTGCTGCAGGCGGCGCTGGTTCCCCAAAGCATAGTGTACACATGTAAGAGACCTTCGTACTCAAAGGCCTGCCAATAGAGTGATGTCTAGTCCCCTTCCAAGTCACAGCCGGTAAGAACTACAAACTCAGCACAGGTATCATGGCAATCATGTTGATTGATGAGAAACAAGTAGCAAAGGAGAAAGGAAATAAATGCTCCCTGGCACTTGTTCAGCAGAAGGCCAATTCAGGGAGGAGAATAAGAAATGAAGAAAGGAAAAAGGGGTCTAGGTATAGCCGTAGCCTGGCCCACAAAGAAGGAAAAAGATTGAGCATGCTCAAAAATCGAAAGCGAGAGAATGAAAAACAGGACATTTATGGGCTCAGAGGGACAGGTATGGGTATGGCTGATCCCTTGAATCAGATGCAAATAAAAAACAGAGAAAACGGGACAAAAAAAGGGAGGCATCATAGCCAATATAAAGGAATAGAGAAGAGAAACAGAAAACAGCAACCAATCAATAGCGACCAAGTAGCTCGATGATCACTTTTGGGGAATTTTCACGGAAAGAGGGGGAAAAAAAGAAATACAACTCCGTCGACCAACCCTCTTGAGAGAAAGGAAAGAAGAAAAAAAAAAAAGAACGCTAAGAAGGTCCCAGGAAACGAAAACACTCCACAGAGAAAAGATCAGACGGATGAATGCAAGTCGAGGTTAGATGATGGAACCGCATTATTGCAGCTGTGCGGGAAGGAAGGAGTAAAAGGAGAAGCAGTTTATCCAGTAACACCCATGGCACCTGGACTCGGACGCGGTCGGTAAGCGACGTTTGTGGACTGGCCCTCAGGTAGCCCTGGGTTTGGCTGGCTGCCGTTGCTAGTGCTGCGGTCACGGTGATACGCCGCTGGGGGAGGAGCAATGTCAAGTCCGACTTGGGCGTTGGCGCTCACCGAGTGACAGTGTCCGCTAGGCTGTCCGCTAGGCTGTCCACTAGGCCCAGGTACATGTCGCACCGAACTTTGCATTTGCCAAGCTGCATCTTGAGATGGATCGGTCTCGATACGTGCAGAAGCCGGGGCACTGTTGTTGCGGTTGGGGGTGGTGATCGTGAATGTCTCGCCACCGTTCGCCGGTCTCTGCGAGAAGCTGCCTCGAGCAATATCACCGTATCGTTTAAGGATTTCTTTGGTTGTGACTTCGGCATTCTCTTTGAAGAGAGTTGGATCGCCCAAGATTGATTGCAGATCCTCCGGGATCTGTTGAAACAGTTAGCACAAACCTAATGGATTCGACCTTGAAAGAGAGAAACTTGCCTCACAGAAAGCATCATTATAAGTGATCAAAGCATTAACAGCCTCGATAGACAAGAAGCTCTCTTCTACAGTGCTGTTCTTAGCATTGGGATAGAGGATATTAGGTGTGATGACCGTTGCAAGATTATGAATATCCATCTTGCTTCCAGATTCCTCATCCACATGCGAGAAGGAGGATGTCCAATTCAAGAAAGCAAATAGGACTTCCATCGTATCACGATGGGCCTTCGGAAGTAGACAGCATGTCAAGTGCAACAGTCGTCTTTGTTTCTCAGGGTCATCCATTTCTGCGGCACAGGTTAGCAGTGCACGGGCAGGCCTAGAATCCAAACATGAAAACTCACTTTGTGAGACTACAAACAGTCCGTGGAGCTTAAATGTCAAGAGGGGATCGGGCATCTCGCGAAGGAACTTCTTCAAGAGAGCTGCAATCTGCACGGGAGTCTCCTTAGTCAGATCAACTTGCTCATACCTGTTGTCGATTAGCTCTGAGGTATCCTTTAATCGCCGAATATTGCCGTTCTTTCGGAAAACACCCTCCACAGACATGTCCATCTGCCGCATGGCGGAGACAGAATCATCGACCAATGTCGGGATGCGAAGCGCACCAGGCCCAACACCGTGAGTTGACTCAGTGCCCTCCTTTTCGACCAAGTAGTCTAGGCCCACTCCAAAGACACCCTTCTTTTTATTGCCCTTCTTGTTATCCTTGAACGCGCGGCCGAAGATGTTCCATATGGTAGGTTTGCGGGATTCAATAAGAGAAAGAAGTTCCTCCATGTTGAAATAGCCTTCTACCAAGGGCTCCATCTGTAACACAGCAACGTGACGAACGATGAAATACTCCAGAGCAGTCAGTTCTGAGAAGTACCGCTTGGTTCGGGTCGGCTCCATAAGCGCCTCCAAATTTCCACTCGATACTCCCCGCTGGTGGCCACGGTTGTACCTGGGCATCTGCTCTGTTCCTCCAACAAGTTTCGTCCCGGCATGTCTATAGGCATTAGGCCGCTGCTCCTTGGCTTGCTCGGCCGCAACAATGCGCGGGATATCATCCAACGTGAGAGCATCCTGTGCACCGAAAGTCATATCGCCGACAGTATCGCGATTGGTTTCCCGTTCCTCAACAATCTGGAAACCAGGGCCTCTCGGACCACTGCCGTCATTGCCAGCTGATCCTGGCCGGGCACTTCTGCCTTCTGGTCCATCGATGATTCTGGATGCGCGGGCCCGCTTATAAGTTGTTGATAGTGTTCGTTCATTGCGAATGGAGCGAAGTCGACGCATCTCGCCGACTGTCTGTTCGAGGGATGTTTCCTCGAAACCATCTCGAGCGGCAGGGCCATGAGACTTGGAGCGTGTGTTTGCTCGGCAAACCCGGGATGTGACACGATGGCCATCCTTATTTTCATAATCTTTAAGATTTGGGTCGTCTGGGCCGAATTAGGTTAGACAAACTGCCAGCGGCATGGGGGTGGTGCAAAAAGGGCCTACCTGACGTATGAGGCAAGGTTCCCCCGGACCGAAGTACGGCGAGAAGTCGTGCAAGTGCCACTTTCAGCAAGAAAACAAATTGCTGCAGCTTTGAAACAGGGGTGAAACCCCCTGAACAGTGGGGCCAAGGTTCTTTTGGTGGGCGCAAGCGCCGCAGTACACTTTCTCCTCATTCCCGCTCCATAAAGCGTCTTGAAAATCAACAGTCAAGTCCTTCTCACATGATCTGCATGAAAGATGAGGCGGCTTGGTGTGCCAACGGTTCTGTCCCCACTGAACACATTCATCGTCAATTGGTTCTTTACAGGAGGTACAGCAATCCGAAAGCTGATCGGCCAAGCCTTCCACTCCAGCCATCAGGTCGAGTGGGGCATCGTCGTCTTCTGGCTCCGCTAATGACTCTAGATCACGGAGGTGCTCCAGGAAATTTTGCAAACCATCTGGCGCTGACTTCTCGCGTTCGAGTTTGAGCGCACCTTGTAGGCCGATGCGGATAAGGAGTTTGAGGTAATGAGCGAGACCAGTTACCAGAGACAAAAGCTCCTGCGTGACACCAAGTTTGCGTACTCCAGTTTCCTGTGTTTTCGACAGAAGAGCGAAGAATGCGACAATCTTTTTGCAAAGAAGTTTGGCTTCGCGGCCATAGGACAGTTCTGGGTGGAAAATATCAGCCGTTGACTCCAATAAAACGATAACAGCTGCGCACGACTCACCTTTCAGATCGTGGGACTTGATATAACTGGCCAACTGATCGACTGCACCAAAGAGAATTTCCACATGGCCAATGAAGCGCTTGGCAACCAGAACACCGTCAATATAAGCACCATTGCTCACATGGAGCAGCATATCCGAGATGCAAGCAGCGGACGATTCTTCGAAGGTAGAGAGGGTATTCCAAATATTGAAAACCTTCTCTTCCATAATATCTTCTTCATCGCGAATTTGCTGTCGCTCTTCTTCGCTAGCATCCTCATCCACTGGCGGAGGCTCCCATGTCTGACCAGCAGGGGATAAGCGAACGTTCCAAAACTTGTGAATCATATAACATTCGGGATGCCAGTGTTGATTTTGCCCATTGCGGTAAATCTCGACGAACTGTTTCAAAATTGCAGTATGACATCCATGGCACCGTTGAGCAAATTGGGTTGAGTAGTGGAAGTGACAGTAGACCTTGCTTTCGTGTTCATAATACGAGTCCTGAGCACCGAAGACGGTCGGACAAACGGAACAAGTAAAGTGCTCGATATGATACTTCCGGTCTAATGCGGTGATGTATGATCCACGTAGTGCGCCTCCGCACTCATGGCATAGAAGGCTCAGCCGTCTAAAGTAATCGGTTTCACAAAGCGGAAATTGGCAGCTGCCATCTTCTGAATCGACAGGGAAGAACTTTGAGGCAACTATCTCACCACAATCCTAAAAGAAACATGCATGTCAGGGTCAAAATCCAATCGAACCAGGGTCAAAAGACCAACTTACTTCGCACTTGAAACACTCCAGATGAAAAGTACCACCTAGCGCTCGAACAAACTGGCCTGTGAGAGGCTCACTGCACTTTTGGCAAAGACGCGATGAGCCACCGGGGGACTTTGTTTGGCGGCCATTCACTCGCGAGCGATCTCGGGGTGCCGAGCGGTCGCGGGTTGCTGAGCGGTCGCGGTGACCGGCCTGGTCAGGTCCAAGTCCACGACTTAAGCGTCCATCCTCCTGGTTCACTGGCGTGATCGGACTCAAGCCTGCCGTTCGTGTTGATGGCGAATCGAATGGAATTAAACTGTCTTCGGGGGAGGTGGGTGTGTTTTTCGTATAGCTAGCCCCGTAGCCCGAGGTGTCGACGGTGGGACGGCCACTGGGGTTGCCTGCGACCAGGCTGGCTGGGAGTCCACCTGGGGGCATATTGGTCCCCCGTCAGTAGAGGAATAGTAGATTCGCTAGATTGAATCACGCCGAACGCTGAATGTAATGTATCGGACAAGAGAACAGGCGAGGAGAGGTGGTGAACTAAGTTGATAGGGCGGGTATCGAATCGAAGCTGAAACGCTGTCAGACTGGCGGGAAATTCAAGGTCGACTGGGCGCGTACGGTCAAGAGTCTGATTCTTAAATTAGAACCTCATGCGTTGGCTATTTTAACCGGGATCATTACTGTTCCCCGGAGTGTATTCACCCTCACGCCATGTAAAAACACGTGGGGGTGGCTGAAGTAACAGTGATGAAGATAGCGCGCGCAGGATCACCAGAAGAAATCCGTGGAGTCAGTATAGAGGGAGGGTGGCTGTAAACGAAGGATCTGAAAGCGCGCAGGCTTGAGGACGCGGGGGCCGGTTTCGAGGGGATTGGAGCTTTCAGGGTAAGACCAACAGACGGCGCAGGTTATTTGTTGACAGTCATCCCAAACTGAACCGAACAAAATCCAGAGCCCCGAGAAAAAGATAGAACAATTAAAGTGCAAGGGCGAGGGGAAAAGAAGTGGGCTAGGGAGGAATGGAGATGGAGATGGCTTGGGCATTTGTTGCCCCCCTAATTAGTCCAGGGCCCTGGATCACGTGTTCTATACAATTATCATTCCCACTACTTTAATATGAGAGTTCTATTCATTATCTAGGCTGTTCCGAAGAGTATTTCAGCTCTTCGATTGAATTGGAATGTATGAGACCCAGTAAACAAACATTCCTGCCTTGTATTCTTTGTGTGCAGCCGGATTAACATGCATGTATGTAGCTCCTTGTCTACCGCCCCTTATGTGCCAACCACGGGTCCAGTGCTTTTTATAGAACATTCCGTAGAATAGTTTATATTTTCTCTTCAATTAAGTCACTATGCAGGTCAACATAAGAGCCAGATTTCATGAAGGATGAGCGTTCTCACCTATATGTAGATAATAGCCACACTCCGACAAACCAAAAGAGATTCAAGACGATCGTGGACTTTCTACTTACCTGTGAATGAGTTTTCTTTTTTTTTTGCCCTTCTTTTCTTTCTTTCTTTCTTTCTCTCTTAGTGTATAGGCTGAAAAGGCTACCTAAGGTGCTTCGTACTGTTAAAGATCAGTTAAAATAGATACATACAACATATACCGACATGATGTACCTAAGTCCGAGGCTAAGATGCTTGGGTACATAATGTATGTAACTTCTTGACATACATGCATCATGATCCCCAGGTAATTTACAAGGTTTCTGATACCTTAGCTCGGTATGGAGTATATATATGTCCCATGGAAAGACGCTCCCCAAGGCCATTTTTATATCTAAGAATGACCGCTACTCTGCGGAGTGATTGAGGGGGGGGTACCCGCACAGGAGAAAGTCGGAGGCTGGAATATGACGTCCTGGAACGAAATATAGGGGAAACACGGGGTAGAAAACCTCCAAAATAAAAATGAACGCAAGGAAAAGAATACCTAGGTATGATAAAGAGAAACGCCGTGAGATACAAAAGGGCAAGCAACAAAAGGAATAAGCAAACAGCAAATAGGTGAAGTCAACAGGTCAAAATTGTTGTGTTGAAATTCCTGGCGCATGATTCTGACCTTGGAATTAACCTTCACCTATATCTACCTCAGTTCTTCACCCACCAACCTTTCGCCTTCAACTATGGGATCCTTTTCTCATCATTCTTGCTTTTGAAAACAATTCAATTCGCCGATCCGAAGCCAAGTCGCCCCCTCTCTGCGCATGGTCCGCCTATCTGCAAAATGGGCGACCAGTGTACTCTACGCCTCGTGCGAGTATGTGATTTCCACTTTGATGATCCATGCCGATACACTGGCAGAAATCAAGACTAATCTCTGCCTCGTATCAAAACAGGAGTTGAGACAGGTTGAGCGGAGTGAGCAGCTTGGTATGGAATCAGTAGACATCTCTTGGGCTTCAAGATAACCCGCACTGAGACTCGCACACTGATTTCAACACAGCTTTTACTATCAGTTATGAAGAAAATAATATTCGTGATATTCAGGCCCTTATCGTCGGGCCTCCAGGCACCCCATATGAACTGGGGTTTTATGAGGTTCGATCCACCCAGTTCAAGCATTGGCTTGACAATTTTTGGAGGATGACCAACTAATGATGAAAACCTGGCAGTTCTCAATCAAAATCCCACCAGGTAAGGTTCGCCGGTTTTTTGTGGCTGCAACTTGCTGATCACACTAGGATAGATTATCCGGCGAATCCACCTGTGGTGAAGATCAGGACGACCAACAAGGGCCGAACACGCTTCGGCCCTAATCTCTATGCCAATGGGAAGGTCTGCTTGTAAGTGCGCCTTGTAAAGTTGGTTGAAGTCTTCAAGAGCTTGCTACTGACATTTTCTAGGTCGATCTTGGGGTAAGCCTGTCTAAAAGCACTATGAATGGTATGAAAAGTGACTGAACATGGCGATAGCACTTGGCATGGTTCCCGAGGAGAGCAGTGGTCGCCCGCACAGGGGCTTGAATCGGTTCTTTTATCGATTCAGAGTTTGTTGTCGGCAAATCCCTACACGCTCGAGCCAGGCTTTGAGGACACTGAAAGAACGAACGACACGGAGAATATGGAAATCTACAAATCCAAGGTAACATTTCTCACCCAAAGTCGGGGCAAATCGGCACCGCTTACAGTGATATAAGATACGCCATGAGAATCTACGACTCGCAGTCATCACACCCCTTGAGCAAGCTATCCAAACTTCGCCTCCTCGCCGCCGAATGCCACCAACGGACGGTCCGTCCCCAAGCCAGGGAGAAGATAGCGATGCCGAAGCAGAACCAGATTTCAGTACTTACAGTAGCTTCCAAGACTTTTGCAAGCGACGGTTCCTGTGGTACTTCGAGTTTTACCAAAATGCCATCGAGAAAGCTATCGCAGATGAGCCTAGAAGGCAAGGCACACCTTTTGTCCAGATGCCATTTGAGGGCCAAGGCAACAGCATGACGGGCGAGTGGAACTACGTTGATTTGAAAGCCCGCTTGCTGGCTGTTCGCGATCAATTGCTTGAAGAGACACGTTGCTGGCTCGTCGAGGGTTTGGCTTTGGTCGAGGAGGATGCCGGAATTGCAGTGAAACTGAGGGGCCAACGTGAACAGATTGCTGCGGAGCTGAGCACTAATCCTCAAATCATCGATCTGTCACTGGTTGATGACAATCCTTTCGCCTGGCGACTCACATACGTTGGTCGCAATGAGTCCAGACTAGAAGGGGGTATCATCAAGATCAAAATTTATATCAGCCCCAGACACCCGGAAGAACAACCCCGTGCCTTTGTTGAGACACCTCTCTATCATATCCGAGTCTCCAAGCTGGGCGTTTTGATGTATCTTCCTTCGCAAGCTGAAGAGATGGGCCATCACATCGAGGGTATCATCAGCACCCTGGAAGACGATAATCCGCCATACAATCCCCTCATGACGGTCAACCCGGAGGCAAGTGGTCTGTGCTGGGGCTCAGAACTGGATCGCAGGGTCTATAGGCGCAAGCTTCGGGCGTCTCTGGAGGAGTCTTGAGGACTACGCCATGAGAGTATTTGCTGAGCAATGTGTCGCACAAAGATATGCCATTTTCTTTTTAGCTATCCTCATGTGAATTCTATCTCACCTGAGGCATAGAATTCTTCCACCTCTATCTTTCACCTTGCTGCATTGGTATCCTTCAAAATGATGGAAAGCCTGGGGATTGTGGGGCGCGTGGCGCCGGCGTGGATTGATATGATAGCACAGCAGAAATCGATATTGATATGCGTAAGAGATTCAAAGAGACACACAGAGGGTGCCATATCGTACATGCTTGTACAGAATAGAGATATCCATCAACCAGGTAGATTGGCGCCAAGATGAAGCACTCCAGCCCATAAAGTGTCTGCGCACGGATCACCTGATTATCTCCGATGCCAACTTCCCCTTTTCATCCAACTCCTGCCCCCAATTTCCCTACACCAATACAACATGTCGGCAAAACGGCGCACACTCGAGTTAGGCAATGTCCTTGTGGTTGGAGGCTGCGGCTTCTTGGGGTGGCACATTGTTGATCACCTGTTGAATTTCCCTTCCGAGACCGACCCCAGTTACACTCTACCAAAGCCCGTCGGCGATGCGCGCTTTGAGTACCCTACCCTAGGATCTCGCTACCCGGAATGCCATTCGACCGTGTCTGTTGTCGATTTGCGCACCACCAACAACCGTCTTCCCGGCGCCAAGTACTACGATGGCGACATCACCTCCGTCGACTCCATGATGGAGGTTTTCCGCGCTGTCAAGCCCGATCTTGTTATCCACACTGCTTCGCCCTCCATGATCGAGGGAAATAAACCCTTGTTGCACAAGGTCAATGTGGAGGGAACACGTACGCTTCTCGAGGTTGCTGGTGGCGAGCATGGCGACTGGGGTGGTAAGTGCAAGGCATTTGTCTACACCAGCTCCAGCTCCGTGGTCCACGACACACAGAGCGATTTGAAGAACGTCAACGAAGAGTGGCCGTACATTCGTGGTCCTGCACAGAAGGAGTATTACTCCGAGACTAAGGTAAGACCTATTTTAACTCGATGGGGTTCAGCTATGATCAAGCGCTAATTAGATTCCTTGCATGTTTTTAGGCCGATGCCGAGGAAATCGTCCTGAAGTACAATAAGAAATCCCCCAATGAGATGCTGACAGCCGCTATCCGCCCGGCTGGCATTCACGGAGAGAAAGACACAACAGTGACACACAAGATCCTAGAGCACGGATCCAAGGCATCAGATAGAGTGCTACGGATGCAGCTCGGCGAGAACGACAATCTGTTCGATTTCACCTACGTTGGAAATGTGGCGTATGGCCACTTGCTTGCTGCGCACCGACTCCTGGCAAGTTATGACCTTCACGCGGCTGGCAAGGGCGGGCCCCTGGATTACGAGCGCGTGGATGGCGAGGCTTTCAACATCACCAACGATTCTCCGGTCTACTTCTGGGATATTACCCGTGCGATGTGGGCACTCATCGACCGTGTCGTTGAGCCGGATCAGGTCTGGGCATTGCCAGAGGGTCTTCTTGAGATCGTCGGTGGTCTCGCCGAGACTGTCATGGCATTGTTTGGCAAGACCCCGCGTCTTACTGCCCGTACTGTGCGCTATTCGTGCATGACCCGCTACTACTCTGCCGAGAAGGCTAAGCATCGTCTAGCCTATATGCCAGTGGTGCCCTTGGATGAGGGTGTTGCCCGTGCAGTTGGGTATATTGTCGCCCAACAGAAAGCGGATGCAGGAAAGAAGCAATTGTAATTTGAAATTAGACCATGAGATTAAAAAAAAGCATCTTATGCTGTATTAATATGACTATTTGCCCCCATGCTTGACAGATTTAGCTGCTGTGTGAACCCAATTTCTCTCGCTTCTCCGCTAAGGCTTGATTTGGACGGGTTCCAAGGCTGTTGACCGGCGACAAACATATGGATGGAATTCGCTATCATCCATGACTGCACAAGTCGCTGTTTGGTGCAGTCCAGGCTGTTTCCGCTTACTATTTAGGGAGTCCCGGGACCGTCTGTTTACAAGGCTACTATGTCGGGTACATTGTGTAGTTACATGTAGATTTTGTCCACAGATACCTCACGTATGTTATTGAGAGATCGGGACAAGCAGTCATTGAAACGATATATTCCGGCGTCAAAAGCCAATTTGCTCCGCCCTCATTATATACATATATACCAAGATATGACTATTGATCATACCCACAAGACAATCGAAATGGCCGACCAGGAAAACGACTGGTTCGCCTACCAAACAGTGTTCAAACAAGATACCTGAAGCCCTTGCGCATGCGTAGGGATTCGTCTGGGTGCTCCATGATATCGTTTTCGTTCGACGCGCCTCCCGAAACATCGGCAAGCTCGGCGTTCTCGAGTTCCTTATTCAAGCGGAGCAGCATCGAGCGGAAGTACCAGCATCCGCCAACCGTAACACCGAACATAGCCAGCACAATTCCATAGCTGGAGCGGTAGCCGTTGTCGTCCAAGTCCCAGACGTAGGAGCCGGCGACGTTGCCCAGTTGACTGAAGGCGTTGATCATGGCAATAGCCACAGCTCGCTTGGCGGGAGGACGAGGGAATGAGGAACTGATCCATGAGTAGAATACAATAAATCCTGCGTAGGAGCCGGCCTGCAGGAAGAGCGCAACGTAGCGGGCGGCAACATTGCTTGTGCTCATACAAATGATGAAGCCAACAGCCCCCATTCCGAGCGGGCCTAAGATGTGCCACACCTTTTCTTGCGTTTTGTCGGCGTGCCACGCGTTGATCACGGAGACAATACACGAGAAAGCCCAGGGAGGGGCACTCATGAGCAGAGTAGGAACGTATCCGAATCCGAGAGTACCGGTCAAGGTGGGCTATATAGAGTTAGTAAAAACATTCCACGCTCGTTTGGTCTCATGAGTCTTACGAAGAAAGCGTTGAAGGATAACCCGACAACGTAGGCAACGAAAGTAAACATCATGACATAAATCTTCTTATCCTTCAGTGCCATCATCAAACCGCCAAAGGCACCAAGCTCTTCACTATCGGTATCAGCCTCGCCAACATCTTCGATCATGCGCAGCTGTGCAACCTGGCGCTCTTCCTCGGTGAACCCGCGTGCATTGTGCGGTAGATCGGGCAAGATGAATGCGGCCAAGATGGCGAGGAACATGGTCACGGCTCCCTCAATCCAGAAGAGCCAGCGCCACGCCGCATGGCCCAAGACGCCTTGCATGTTGGACAGAACACCGGCACCAACGAGAGCAGAGAATGCATTGGAGATGAGATTGCCACAGAACAGGATGGCATTTCGGGTGGTTAATTCGCGGCGTGTGTACCACTTGGAGAGGATGAGTAAGGCGCCGGGCAAAAAGGCTGCCTCAATAAAGCCAAGCAGGAAACGAACTGCCACCATGTGGCCAAAGTTTTTGGTGTTGCCGGACAGGGTGGAGATAACACCCCACAACAACATGGCGGTCGCAATGTAGAGAGAAGGTCGTGAGATGCGGTTGATGAACATATTAGATGGCACCTGCATGATGATGTAGCCCACGTAGAGAATACTCAAACACGTGGAGTACTCGGTGTTACTGAGCTGAAGATCTTCCTGTAGACCTTTGAGACGGGCAGCAGCCATATTGTTGCGGTCCAGGTAGTTCATGATGTAGATAGCGACGAACAAGCTGCACCGGGCATCGAGCTTGCGCTTGAGCTGCTTCTCGACAACAATACGGCGGGCTGGATCCATCTGCAGCTGGGCATCTTGTGTTGGTGAGGCAATGTGCTCGACATTTTCAGTTCGTTCTTTCTCGGCTTCGACCTCTAAGCGGCCCTTGTTCGCTGAGATATCGTCCGCCATTGTGTCCACGGGTGTATTCTCAAGGGCGAATAATCCGGGGATCCGGCAGGGGGCAGCGTCTTCCATTTAAGGCAATACAAAAAACCTTATGGTCACCCCCGCGCTAGTCCTTTTTTTCTTCAGTGAATAGTACCCCGGTACCCCCACGCCCAAAACGGTAAGACGCGGGGGTCACAGTGGAGCTGACCGACTCGGCCACCCGAGATCAGTCGACATTCCGGTTTTGGAGGGGACTTCCGGCAACGGATTTTCAACGAGTAATGGGGGCATCATCCATGGTATGGTATGTGGTGGTATCTGGCGATCCCTTCCCGAATATAAAGAGGGATGATGAAGACGCCCAAGTATGTGATGGGAGAGATGGGGGAGGGAACGAGCGTCGGCACGGTAACTTATCACGGGGACTCGGGAACACCTGCACTTCTGGGCATTTACGCGACACACTCACGGGGCTCCAAAAAGAAACCAAATTTGCGCAAAACAACCCCGTCAAATTAGAACGGGAGAAGTCGGCTAACCAAGCCTCTGTACGGAGTACATACTCTGTACTGCATTCCATTTTCACCCACGGACCTCTACAATCCCGAGACCTGACTCTACTTCCCCGCCTCTCCGCAATCCCTGTTTGCTCTTTTCTCTCACCGAAGTCATTCTTGATTCGAAATGATCTCCTGTCCCCGGAAACACAGCAGTGGGAGTGCGGAGTAGCGGAAATAACATGGAGAAACAACACCGTGGTTGTTATATCTGGTATGTAGACGTCATCCGAGCAAAATCTTGACAAATAGATTCCCATCGTTCTTTGTCCAACCATATCCACTCTGCTCATGTGGCCCTTTTCCGCCCAGGTATTCAGGAGAAAACCCGGCGTTTTTGGATCCGACATCCCACGTTCGGCCTACCGATGTTTTGCCGGTGTCCCCCCACATGGGCGTTGGGAGTGTTTAGTGACTTGTATGAGGCAGATGAATACCTGTTGCTTCGGCTTGTTCTGTGAGCTCAATTTCCTGCATATGGTCATCCTCATGCCACCCTTCCCGGTCATCCTTGACTAGTCGCACAAAACAAACGTCAAGTATCAGCGCCACGGCACTGATAGCAACCCCGAAGAAAAGTGCCGCTCGATACCCCATGATTTGACTACCCGACCGCCGGGCAATCTGCTCTTCAATGGTAGACGCAAATCCCAACCCGAGACTGTTTCCATAGAGATTGAGCGTGCCGATGACGGAACCAGCAATCCCCTGCTGATTCCGACGCACAGAGTTGCTGGCAATGATTTGCCCAGCCGTGTACACGAAGTCAGGACAGAAGGAAAAGAGGATAACCGAAGGAAAGATCTGTGGCCAGTAGGATTGTTGAAGGGGCACTGTCGCCATCAGCGCGTTTGAAATCAAGATCGTGACTGTGCCAATAGCCAAGATCCATTGGGCCGCCATTCGTGGAATCATCCACGCTGCGAGACACGCAGCTCCTGTGGCGCAGATCACGAATGGGGTCCAGCCCACGGCGAACTCGAGAGGAGTCCAGTGCCAGACCTTTTGGAGCCACAAAACCTGGTACCAGATCAAGGTTCCTACAGCCATGTAATTGAGTAGCACGACAAAGAGCAACATCAGAAATGAAGGAGCTTGGAAGATGTTGAGTGGCATGATGGGTTCTGCCGCATAGTTTCTTTCCCAGAGCAGAAAGGCTCCAAATAAGATGATTGAGCTGATCAAGAGGACGATTTCATAGGGCGTTGACCAACCGACGCTCGGTGCTTGACTGTAAGATTGTGAGTATCTTTTCCTCATAGATTGCGATTGGCGGCTTACTTCCAAACAAAGCTGAACAGGATCAATGAGCTTGTGCCAAGAGCTGATCCAATGCAGTCGATTTTTCCATGTCGATCGACCGGTGGTTCACGCGGACTCAAAGCCCAGAGAGGAGCGAATGTGATCAGACAAAGGCAAGCACTAGGGTTGTCACATCATTGTTAGTATTGTTTCAATTCGAGTCTATTGCATACAGCGCCTACATGAAGATGAAAAACCACTTCCATTCAGTCCGTTGTAGGAAGGCGCCTAAGAATAAAGCCCCAAAATACCCTCCCGCTGGCGCCGATGCACCAAAGAGACCCAGACTGAGATTTCGCACGCGACCGGGGGGATTAGTACTCGATATCATGGCCACTGCATTAGGCATGATAAAGGCACCCCCGAGACCAGCCAGAGCCCGCATCGTAACAAAGCCGAAAAAGTCGGTACAAAAGGCCGTGGCCAAAGTGCAGAGTGTGAGCCAGGCGCCTCCGGCTAGCACGAGTTCTCGATGGCCATATACATCTCCTAATCGACCACTCACTAGCACAAAAGTTCCTTGAGTCAGACTGTGTGAATGTTAGTCCAGGGTTCTGGGATGATTGGTACACCTTTGAAGGCTCGATGCCTTGAGTTCTTCTTACGCATAACTAGCGGCGATCCACGAGGCATAGGTATCTTCGACATTTAAGGATTCACCCAACATGCTTCCTCCAGCGATCCCCGCAAAATTGACTGTCATCTTCTCTTGTCAGCCTTTGCCTTTGGTTCTCACAGATACCATTGGCCAGCACTATACCTGTACAAGATTCGCCAGAACCAGCAGCGCAGTAATGACCACTTGACGCGACTTGGTCGTTCGACTGGGCAACGACTGTTCAAAGACTAGTTGGCCATCTCGTGGTGACAGGTTGCTTTCTACAGGAACCTGCGTGGCTGGAACGTGTTCCACCGGAGTCGTGGGATGGGGGTCTAGGCTGCGGGGTACGGACGAGCCAACTGGCTTAACTTCATGACGAAAGGCATGTATCAACGACATAATGGGATAAGATAAATGGAAGGCTATCAGTGCAAGAAACACAAAGCTCGATGGAAGATTGTGAGTTGAAAAGAAATTATTGTGCGAGGGGTCAGGATTTAATAGGGATCCAGTGGCCTTCTCACTCAATAGTCACGGTGTCCTCCGGGGCTGCATTTTGTCTGATATATCAGCTTTGCGGTACTAATTCCGTGCGCGGGAAACCTAGGGAGCTCGAAAGATGCAATTTATAGTACATATGTAACGCCCCTGCGTATGTCCGGCTGAAAACATGTTCAAGACCTCGTAGCTTCCTCGGGGCTTCGATTAGGAAATCCTATACTCAGGGAGAGAGGCGATTACATGCGATTATAGACTGCAACTACTGTATATCGGTGAGATTCCAGTCTCGGGCTAGAAAGCCTACTCGCATGGAAAATACTTCCTTAAACGGATATCATATCCCTAGTGTGGTGTTGTGAGTATCGCAAGCACCCAAATAGGTATACACAAGAGTTTATCTACCTGTAGTCTTGCCTTGAGTCAATAATCGGAAGCGACAGGAAAACATCTTTGATTTCCCAGATCAATTCAATTCTAAAAGTTTCATCGGTCCTCACGAACTAGGCTGCGGTACTGATTGTTGGGATCTTGCTCTTCTTCTTCTGCCGAAGGAATTGTTTTCTTCACGCGACAAGGGGTCCCGACAGCGACAGAAAATGGCGGGATATCCCTGGTGACAACGGACCCGGCTCCAATTGTTGAACCTTGGCCGATGCGAACCCCGGGAAGAATAATGACATTACTTCCAATCCAACAGTCGTCTTCGATAAAGATCGGATGGCCGAACTCAACGAACTTGCGGCGAGAAAGAATGCTGGTATCATGACCAGCCGTGATGATGCTAACGCCAGTGCCAATCTGCACACGATTGCCAATGACAACTAGGCTGGTGTCCAAGATAGTCACACTAGGGATGGTTGGTAAGATGAAACAGGGCATGTGAGGAACAGATCCACCTACTTCCAGTTGAAGAAGCAATCCTTTCCGATCACAGTATTGCATCCGTAGTCGGGCAGAAATGGTGGTTCAATAAACGTTCCATCTCCCACTTTACCGACGAGTTTCCGCAATAGCTCTAGACGCTTGCCGCCGATCTGGTCATATGTCACAGTCTTGGTGTCCAGGTTGTTGTAATCCGCAGCCAGTCCACGACACAGATGCCGTGCCTCTTGCAGTTTTGCAATGTTAGGATTATACCTGAGCAGGCAATAAGCGAATGTCGCAAATGGAAATTCTCAATGAAGACATACATCATTCCAGATATCATACGCTCATAGTCCTCACACATAGGCACTCGTGCCAGTCCTCGAGCGAGCTCGATGATCTCGGGGCGTTTCTCGGTCGCAGCCATTTTGAATAAGATCGTGATGTGCACAAGACCACAGGGATGGCTTGGGGTGAATATGAGATATGCTGGGATGGGACACCTCAAGCGGGGTGATTTGCCCGACATTTTGCCGTGGAGAATGCCAAGATGCCCGAGGGCGGGCCTTCCTAATCGGGTATGACGGCCAGCGTTGAACCGTCGGGGCACAGTACAGCATTCTCACCCGTAGTCTCAGGGTAGTTTCGATGGCATTATTATCCACGGGATGAGCAAGCTACGGTCAAGATTTTTCTTATGGATAAGGGAAGAGGAGGGAAAAGGGATGAACAGAGGACAGGGAAGCTCGCGTAGACACCCTTGTTGGTCAAGTGGATTTGACGTATATAATAGATGCAATTCCCTTTTCGGATTCCAATCTCTGAGGGGTATTTCTAAAGGGGAAAAAGTAAGAGAGAATCAAGGCTCATTGAACGACTTGTGTTGTACGTTCACTTCGTCCGCAAGCTTGATCGACTCCCGCCGTACAGCATCCATATCGAACGCGGCTCTGCTGTTGAAGATGGTTTCCATCCGAGACTTTTAGCTTTCGTCTCCTTAACGAAGAGAAACACGATGATTGCCATGATGACATCGAGGACCGCATAGAAAAGGAAAACATAACTGCCTCACGAGTTCATCATATATCGCGTCACCAACGAGCAAAGGATATTGAAACGCCATTGTGTTGATACTGCCGCCGAAGTAGGCAAGCGCTGTCATTCCAGTGCACTGTTGGCCACAGAATATGAAGAATGCGAGGAGTAATCTGTAGCGATTCACAAGCTCGAGCAGCTTGCGTTTATTGAAGCCCTCGGTGGCTCATAACTCTGCCCCTAGTCCAACATGGATCTCATTAAACTCTGCCTTCACTCCAGGCTCTACACACCCTGTTAGCCTTATGTGCTCTCCGGTTCGATCACTTGCATATACAAAGTTCAAACCCTAATGAATGATAACCCTCTCTCTTTGGAGGATCATGAACTTGATTCTAGAATTCTAGCTCACTGCGAAATGGCTTTGTAATGATAACTAATGTCCTTACCACGAGAATTGCATATTTATGTATCACTGATCTATCAGACATATCTCGATTGGCTGTACGGAGTATGAATCTAGGAATTGACTCGGTTTCAAACTGCAGATCCCCAAGATTTGAACACTGGCAGATCTGCTGCATAGGCTGGATCATTTATCCTCTGTTTTATTAACCTGGTTGAAACCCATGATGTAGTACACAGGACTATGAAGAGTACATACGCACAAGATTTACGGCACATTTTTGACTCAAATACCTGGTATATGATCCTATTTTGCCTAGGCATAGCTCCTATAGATCCAAGCCTACATATGTAGTCCGAGGGAAAACTTCGTCAAAAGAGTCCCGGTTCTATAACTAAACTTAGACCAAAGAATGACCTCGGCATCAAGTTAGGAAGACTTCTGCATGGGGAAGCCTGAATGTTTCGTGATTCCAAGAGTGGCACCGTGATCTGATTTATAATTATCTTGGGCAAAGGATCGTTTGATATATGTAGGTTGCCGTCGAGTGTTCAAGAGCGTAATGGCCATTCTATCGACACAGAACCTATTGAGTTATAGAACATCGTCTCTCCTTCCGAGAATATAGGTGCTTTGTATGCAGATGATCTTACTTTTGAGTTCCTACATATCCAGCAACTATTATGTGGACGTGTTCTCCAGATTTATGCCGGTCTCCATATATCGAAGTTGAGGCCTTTCTTTCTCTGCGTTTGCATCCAAGTAGGCGAATACAAAACATGTTTTGGATCTTCACTTTTCTATCAATTTCTCACTTGAAAGGTTCCCTTTTTACATCCTAGTATTCTTCTCTTCGTCTCCCACTTTTTTCCATCTTCTACTTTTCATCATCATCTACTACCCACCTCCTTCAGTCTCCCTCTCTCATCTCTGATTCCTTTTACCTCTGACTTTCTTGAGACTATCCGCAAAGGTGAACGTAGATAAGGTCTGAAAATCTCTATGAAGTGCAAACGCTAATTCATATGGCTAACGCTAGGCGACCGCCGCAATGTTTATCTCCCTGACTCCTCTCGCTCCTTTCGCTCCTCACTCGAACAGATTTTTGCGTGATCTCAACGCCCCGTACGACCCAAGCACTCCTGTTAGTGTGGCATTCCATCTTGTCAGCCAGCAGCGAGGTTGGAAGCCTGGATCTAAACGCTGGCGAAAGAGTTGGAATGCTTGCATGAACAGCGAGTATGATCGCTTGATTGGGTGCCGTGTGACTAGTCTGGCGACCTGGCAAGAATTGTGTGCCAAGGTTGGAATTGAAGGATCCTTCACCTCCATCAATCAGTGCAAGAAGGTATGAATCCCCCCGTTTGATGAATTGGAAACACTCACTTATTGTTGCAGGCGCTGGCTCGTGTCCATGTCAACATTGTTGACCTTTTGGATTCTTGGAACACCGATTCCACTCCGATTTGCTTCGAAAGCCAGAAAGCTCTTGCTACTTACACAAAGGCAAGTAACAAGTACTTTAGTCGACAGCTTGCCAAGCAGGACAAAGTCCTTAAGGTTCTATTGCGCCATCTTCTCTGGAATGCCTCTCTCTAAATGTATGGGACTATGTCTGGTTCAAAGGCATGGGGAATGTGTTCTCACGATGAATTGGGGCTGGCGAGTGAATCAGGACTCAAGAAGGCTTGGGGAAACCTCATGTGCTCCCATATCGCAGGATACGGATAGGTAGGAATGAAAGCTGATCTTGAGAGTGTAATGTTTTATTTTCCCGGTGGATAGAAATCATTGAATGTCTATGTTCATGTCTGTCTCCTGCAACTTCTTCCACCAGCCACTATTGTCAGGTCAATACAATTCAAGTCTTTGAGACTGCAATGAGCTGAATCCTTTTGGTTAATTAGTACCACGTTCATTCTCTCCCGCTGGCTGGTACACGATGTTGTGTTTGACCTATCACGAGTTGATCTTTCTATTTTTGCCACTCCTTGGAGTTCTCGCAGATTTGCCAGGTGGCAGGGAATCCTACCATCGAGCCGCCGGGAATGCTACATTCGACTATGTGATCATAGGGGGAGGCACTGTAGGACTGACGGTTGCGGCACGACTCGCCGAGCAGAGATACAGGGTGGCTATAGCTGAGGTAGGAGGATATTACGGGTACATATATCCCACAGCTCGGATTCTAGCATCATGCGGGCTTGGGGCGGGTGCAGATGCCCAAGCTACAACCTCGATCGACTGGAGGACTGTGGCACATGGTGTACCGGGTGCAAATTTCACATCCATTATCCAAGGGGGAAATGCCTGGGCGGGTCGTAAGAGATTGTCGAACGAGCCTGTTTACATGGTGAAATTAGCCGACATTAACCCTGATCAGCATCAAATTTTATGATATATCAAAGTTCATGCAATACCAAAAAAAGATGCAAATACAGAGAAACGCTGATCCTGAACAGGCCCTCTGCACATTATGTGGCAATATGGACAGAGCGTGTAAATGACTTACCTTTTCGAGAACGTGTTGCCCTTCTTCAAGAAAGGTCAACGGATTCTTGACAAATCGGTCGACAGACTATCTCGTATTCGAGAAGCTCCCACGGGCATCCCGCCCCACGTTCTCTGGGCGTAATGAGCAAGATCTGTCTTGGCTTCCAAATGATTGGCCAGAAGTTGAGGTGAGAGGTCATATCTATTCACTTCTCTTTCGCATGATAGGAATTAACCACAACGGCGACGTAGTATGTTGTAAGATCTGCATATGCAGGCAACTTTTCAGATCTATATAAACAGCAGCCTAGGACTGGGCTATATGCCACTATTGCTGCAGCCCTGGTAGCTCCAACATCACGAGGAAAGATGACTCTTCGCTCAACCGATACAGCCGATGCGCCAGTGATTAATCCCAACTGATTGGGGACGATCACCCGCCTGTCTTTCGCAGTCAAGCAATGGCCCCTGTAATAGTTGAATGGAAGTATTCCCCTAGGTCTGGCTTTCAGAGCGATGCTGAAATATTAGATCTCATCAAAGATAGTATGATGCCGATCTATCATGCATCCTGCACATGCAAAATGGGCACTCAGAATGACATAACCGGCCCCTAAATTTTCATATCGCTTGCGAGGGTCCGTAATTTTGGTATGAAATTTTAGGGGCCGGTTACTAGCTGCAGTCAATAATCAAGCAAAAGTTTTCGGTGTCACGCACTTGCGAGTTGTTGATGCGAGCGCATTTCCGATTCTCCCACCGGACCATCCACAATCAAGGGTTTGTAAGGTATGGTGCTTGTGACTGATTGCATTATTGCTAACCGGCTTCGAGAGACGCTTGCAGAGAAGATTGCCCCTGATATTATGTCCAATGGGCCGAAGTGAAAACCCCTGGCTTTTCATGTTTATCGAACAATTGTAAGCGTGCATGACAGCTTTCATGACCAAAATTGCGAGAAGTGAGAGAAATTTGCATTTAGAGAATTACCGTATATCCTGTAAATACATTTGATTCAAGGTATCAAACATGTTGTAGTCGCTAGGTAGGCAGTCAGCTGAGAACGCAAAGCCGAGGTTGTTCACAAATAACTCTTCGGGATTGAAAGCCACCCCTAATTCGACCGCATCATTGGTAATATCCGCATGTATGCTTCTAGAAGGCGGAACATCAAACCAACCAAGGTTTGCAAGTGGTGGGACGGAAGGGGCATTGTCAACATGTGGATCATTCGGGTCCAACAGACCGTTGTGTCTTTCATATAATAGGTCAATGTCTCCAGGACAAACATATGCGTCCGAGTGAGATGGAATCTTGAAATTGGTGTTGAATTCCCATGAAACGGGAGGTGGCATATGATCAATGTCGCTGTTTAGTCGTTGGCAATACAATTCCTCTAGATTCCGCCCAATACGCTTCGCAATGTTCCAGGACGTCGAGAGTTCTCGCAAAACCTGAAGACACAGCCCAACGGCTGCCCGTGATGACGGGCTTTGCAGGGCTTGATTTCCGCTGCGGGATCTGATCGCTGGATCAGTACAACATTGTTCAATGATGATCAATGCCGCTGAAAGCATGCAGTGCGTAGATGTTATGGGACTCAGTTTGAAGCTTCCGAAGACCTGTCTGTATTTCTCAGCCACGGTACACATCCGTCGGGCGGAATCGCTGCAAATCGACACGACTTTTTGGATAGATTCAGCATCCGGGGCTTTGTCATTGAGGTTCTGTTGTTCGTGTAGGTCTGCTGGATTTTTAACATCTTTTCTATCAGAGTTGTGTCTAAAGAATGGCACGCAAAGCAAAATGCACACAGTATGGTATACCATGTACAAGGTGTAGGCGTGAGGAAATCGAGAGGGGCCCGATGGACGGTCAACTTTCAGCTCTGGTGCGAGATCGTAATACCAGCTCTTGAGTTCAAGAACACAGGACTCAAAAAATGCAGAACGTTGTTCGGGTTGAATGAGTGGCTTTGGAGACCAGCTTGACAAATTGGATATACTCTGTCAGTTTCAACTGGATAGATGTTAGGGGGGGGGGGGGAGGTTTCAGGGGCCTCACAATGAGAGAAGGACTTTCTCGAATATACGACATAGGTCGATCATCGCCCTATGCAACTGCACCACTTCTCTTTGCGAGGCAGCCCTTAATTGTCCATTTCCACTTGCTGAGGGCAAATAGACATCCGAAGCACATAAAGGAAATGGTTTGTTGACGGCGCCTTGTGAATCCTGTGCGACAAAACAAGTAAGTTTGATGAAATGAAAGGTTTTCTTGTATACCGTACCAGTAACGTGCACACCCTGCCTGTGTAGCTTGCTGACAGCTTATCGTGGCAATACAGTGCCCAATAAATTTGTCGTCGCAACTCAATCTCGACAGCAGGAAGAGCAACTGCTCCGGAAAGGACGGAAGGGTCCATATTTAGGCCCATATCCAGGGCTAATCGGTTTGCCATACCTTGATGAAGCCGCCCCGAGGCATCAGATCCCATTGCCTACAGCCAATTAGTCTATCCTACTTGTTGAAAAATCTGTGGTATAGCAACTTACAATGTAGACCATTCCCATGATCGCCAATGACTGTATTGTTGTGATCTTGGGCCATCTGAGATCGTTCTGGATCAAGCTCTCTGCATTCTCAAGAAACATTTTGCCAGCTGTGTTTGAATCATCAGGATCTGATCTCACTTGGATGCGATCACAGTATCGTGACCCTAAGGCAAGGATGCAATTCAGAAGAAGTGGGCTGAAATATCGTCCGCAATGGTTCATGGACTCTCGAAACAGTTCTTCGTTCACCACTTGGAGCCAGGGCTGTTCCCACTCGAAAAACAGATCAATCAAATGAGATCGAAGGCCTTCTGATATCAAGGTTTCTTCTAACAAGTCTGTACTCCCATTTGGCAGGATTTCACAAGTTCCTGTGCAAGGGCAATCTGACTGATTTGATACTTGGGCTTGCACATCTAGATACCATTAGTGGATATTTTTCATTAGATTGGGGAAATGGGGCTGCTAAACCTCACCATTTGACGAGGATTGAAACAGCAATCGCCCACTCGTCGGACCAAAATACCGCACCTCGCCATCTTGATCAAAATTTAGTGACTCGTCGAGCGTCAGTGCGCCGTCAAACGTCGTACACAACTCATCATCCAGTTTGGAGTAAGCTAGTGCCGACTTCATATCAGGCTCGGCACCAGGATTGTCGGTTTTGATCATCAGTTGGATAGCGGCATCGGGATCAATACCATGGGCATGTAGTACACGCTCCAAAAGTTCAATCCGGTTGCGCAGCATGACTACATAAGACTTGGGCGCCGGTTGTCGCCCATCCTCTGCAGTAGAGTACTCGCATTCAACGCCACGGTCAATGCAGCGAGAGCAAGACGGTCGGACGCCATCACACTGTTGCCAAGTTAGCACAAACTTCTTCGAGTACTGGACGATGCACGAATGTCATCCATGAACGTTACCTTGGCTCGTCGCTGTCGACATGCTTCACAGGCTCGAGACGTATACTTTCTGTTGGGTCGCCTACGTCTGGCAGTATCATCTGCCGGTGTTGGGGGCATTGCTGAACGATATCTGGAAGAAGTGAGAGCGGATAATTATCCTTGGCTATTCATGAGACTCTGGGAGATGGCCTCGAAATTCCGGCGTGTACATTGAAGTGTTTGTCATTCAAGCTGATATTACAAAGCAACACGGCCATCCATCCACTGGGCACCATTCGTTGTTAACTGACGTGGTATTCAGTATAGTAGGGGTCCAATCAAGGGAGTTGAAATCTCTGTATTTCTGTATCCACTATTCCAGCAGGAAATATGACTATCTGACTAATTATCAAAAATACTGCGTGGACAGGATAAACTAAACTTCCGGTATGCCGATCTCATACTCCGACACACCCCCTTAGCTAGGCCAGTATAGTCTAGCTGCTTCCTGCACCTAAGTCGGCATGCTATTTCTCTCCCTTTATTGATTAAATGACCTATACTGTTAAATAGCTCCTACTATTAGATAGCTTATATCTATTATCCTCAATATTTTAAGGAAAGCTTTATGCTTTTGCCTAGTGAGTAACTTTGTAAGTCCGTCTATAGCTATACTAGCTGTCGGTACCTATTTTACCTTAATTCTTCCTTCCCTGACTTCCTATCTAAGCTAGTGCCGATAAATATTAATATATCGTAATTTCGTCTCGAACGCTATATCCTCGCTAGTTAGGAGACTAATAGTACGCTAATTATCGTAATCGATACTTAGTTAATAGGAAGGGATAAAACTAAGGGTATTAAGAAGTCTGCGCTACTATTATAGCTATTTTATAGTCTCTAAGAGACTAAGGAGCTTAGCTTTAGTGGTGGAGGTAGTAACTATAGGCTACTTACTAGCCTTCTAGTCGACTAGCCCGCTATATACCTAGTAGATATAGCTAGCGGAGCTCTTTCTATTAGGATAATCCCTATATAAGGTATTACTAGTAAATTATATAGAGTCTATTCTAGAATCTATACTATATTTAATAGCGAGATAGCGGGTAGAATTAAGGTAGGTAATAACTCTATTAGCTACTTAATAGTACTAGGGGCCTAGGTTTATTAAATATTATATTAGATAAGTAGTTAATTTTATAGTATCTAGTCTTATAATTATAGTAGTATATCTAGTAGATCCTACCTTCTTTTAGTATAATAGGATCTCTTATACTATAGTTACTCCCTAAAATAGGGTTAGATCTTCGATAGATATTAGGGTATATACCGCTAGTCTATCTATAAGATTATATTATATAGCGATACTTACTATATAGCTATCTTAATAAAGCTATAGCTTCTTTTACTACCTATCTCTAATAATACGGATATTAAGAAACTATACTATCTCTCTATAATCGGTTAGTTCCTAGTATACTTCTAGATCTTATTCTAGCTATATAGCCCTTTCTCGCGCCTCCCTACTATTATAGTAGATAATTAGGATATTATTAATATAGAAAAAGACTATTAGTCTATTTCCGATAAAAATATAGGGGTCTTTTAGGGCTTATTATAGTCCTAGCTTACGAAATATACTAGCTACTTCCTATTATTAAAGTCTAGATAAGATCCGTAGACTATATAGTACGCGGTAGAGTTTCTAGTATTTACTAGGTAGTCTAAACCTATTAGGTATCTAGGTATAGACCTCTTTTTCTAGCGTACTATTTAAAAAGGTAGTAATAGTATCCCGCTATCTTAGATCGAGATTAAATACGGTAATAAGGGTAAAGATTATCCTTATAGTCCTTACTATTAGTATAGTAGCTCTCTTTTCTTCGTACGAAATAGTCTCTAGATCTCCCCGTACGTATATACGAGCTTTAAATTTAACTAGATAACTATCCTAATCGTATTTATAGGTAAATACCTATATAAGAGGTAGTATTTACTTACCTCTATCCTTTAGTCTCTCTATAATCTTATAGGTTTCCTTTTCTATTAGAGAGTTAATCTCCTTCCTTATTACTACGAGAAAGCCTTCCTAAAATAGATAGTTTATAATATCTTTATAGTATTTTAGGACTAGGGGGAGATTATCTTAATAACGTCTAATTTTAGGTTTCTTAGTATATAGTCCTATAGCGAAAGTATATAGTAGTGTAGGAGGGTCTTCCTCTATAATAGTAGATCTTATTATATAGATATAGTCTTTATCTTACCTAGCTTAACGTCTTCGCTTTCTACTAATAATATTACTAGTATCGATATCTCCTATAATTTATCTACTTAGGGCGAGAAGTTCCGCCTATAGTTATTTTTCTAGCTTATTTTCTAGTTTATCTTCTATAGTGGGAATAGCCTTATTCTAGACCTAGTCGCTAACTAGATCCTCCGGTATATCTACCCCCTAACTAGGGGTAGTATAGGGATCTTATATAGTATAGGGTTCTTACGGCGGCGTAATAGGGAGCGGAGGAAGGGGTTTATCCGGAAATACGCCTAGCGGAGCTCGGGGCTTATAGATCTTAGGTATTTACTATATAATCGTAGTTTTTAGGGAGGGTAGGACCACTTACTAGTCTACCCCCTAAAGTAGGGTAGTCTCTCGCTAACTAACTTTACTAGCTATCTCTCTCTATAGAGAGTTTTGCTATATATTCTACTAGTTTTCTCGCTAAGATCCTTACTAAGATCCTTAATAATTATAGTACTAAGTTTCTTATAGATTATTAGACTAAGCTTCCTATAGATCTCGATAATCTCTCTCTTCTATTTCGCTAGTCTTTTAACTAGCTATCACGCGATTAAGTACTTAGGTGAACTCTTCTATAGTAATTTCCTAAGGTTCTTACTATATTAGTATTAGAATAAGCTAATATCTATTATAATTAGGGGTATATTTACGAGTTTTATTAAATACTATATCCCTAATAGGCTTCACTTTCCTATTATATAGAAACTATATTTTCTAGATATTTAATATTATATAGCTAACTAAGAATCCGATCTTAGCTTATAGGTTTATTTTATTAGACTAGACCTATTTATCGATCCTATAGTATACTAAACTTCTATATAGTTTAATATTTAATAGGTTAATCCTTAGCGCCTATAGTACGAACTCCTTCCGTACCTCCTCCTATAGTACGACCTAGCGGTTTTCGGTAGTAATATACGTTAGCGTACGATTTAGTAACTATACTATAGCGTTAGCGGCTTCTAGCTATAGATCTTTTAAGAGCTTTCCTTTAAGCACGAGTATTATTATAACCTAACATACGGAGTATGAATATGGTGCGCATATCTTATAGCATATATCGGGTATTTAGGTTAGTAACCTGACATAACGACTAGTTAGTCGTCATAGTGGCTCTTTTGGTAAACGCTCTACCTTACCATTACTTCCTACGTTTTGTAGTGGTGTCAGGCCCACTTGCCTTAACAATATGACGACTAACTTCGGAGACCCTGGGTTCGAGACATGTAGATGTCAAATCAATGTCAAATTCGAGTCCACGGTCTTTGTAAGGAATATCATAGAAACAGCCCCGCGCTAGATCTAGATATACACTTGGGGGTCTACAACTTAAATACACACACCGATATCTTACTAGCACGGTATCCATACCGTTTAAGCTACCTATGGATATTCTATGCCTCGGGGTCAAGGCATCAGAAAGAGGGGAGATAATGTTACAACCTAACATACGGAGTATGAATATGGTGCGCATATCTTGTAGCATATATCGGGTATTTAGGTTAGTAACCTAACATAACGACTAGTTAGTCGTTATAGTGGCTCTTTTGGTAAACGCTCTACCTTACCATTACTTCCTACGTTTTATAGTGGTGTCAGGCCCACTTGCCTTAATAAGTATACGTATATAGGTAATAATTATACTACCGGATCTTTCGGTATAACTATTTATTTCGGAGTGCCCTAAGGGGTTATAATATATAAGGATACTATTAGAAGTAAGGCTATATTCCGTAGGTTTTCTAGCTAAGGACTTATTATCGTATTAGAAGGCTTTAATTAATAAATCCTATTAGTTTCTTACTAGTTCTATAAAACGATTAATCGCTAACTAATACTTAGGCTTTATTTTATAGGTTATAAGCTAATAAAACCTAGGACCTTCTAAGTAAAAATAAGAGATCTAGCGGTACTTATTTTCTACTAGCGGTAACTAAATAAGATTAAAGTATACCCTTCTAAATTATCCGAAAGTATATCTAACTACGTATCTTAATATCTACCTTAGTATACGATCTAGCTAATAAGTCTAGTATAATACCTATATTTTAGTAGACTCCTTTTCTTTATCGTTAAAAATAACTCTATCTACTATAGTAGCGAGTTTTATAGCGCTTCGCTAATTAATATAGGTAAGTCGTCGGTACTAGATATCTAATAAGGCTCTCGATTATTAAGGTTTTATAGACTTTCTCTCTATAAAATAGGCTTACTAGGGCTATATAAGTTCTCTAGGTTAATTAAAGATCTAGAGGTTAAACTAGTCTTAAAGGTTAACGTAGATAACTAGTCTATTATTAGGGTCTCTAATATAGTTTATATACTAGCACTATATCCTACCCTTCTTTTTTAGTATAGAATAGGATACTAGGTTTATATAGAAACTAGGGGAATAGAGGGTATTACTAAGTATAATCTCTATTTTACCTTTCACTAGATATCTACCTACTAGTCTAACCTTCCCCTTTTTTAGTACCTAGGTAGTGCTATCTCCTATTATAAGATCCGAAATCTAGGGTATAAAGTCGATAAAAAGGTCTCTATTATTATAGATATAGGTACTAGATCCTATATTAAGGATCTATCTATCTTTTAAGATAGGTTCTCTATTTTTAGTAAGTAAAAGGGTATATTCGCTAGTCCGAGCTACCCCCCCCTACTCTCTAGTATAGGGCTTAAAGGTACTAATATACGGTATAGGGGTAGTAGCGAAGCTTACTTAATTTATAAACTCTTCCTTCTAAGATTACTAAGTTTACTAAGTTTACTATACCTTTTCTACCTTCTTTTCTACCTATTTCTTCTAAGTAGGCTCTTTAGCGAGTTTTTACTTAATCTTTTCTAGCTTTCTTAGGTTAATATAGGTCCCTTTAGGGCGGTTTTCCTTATTAAGATACTAGTATATTACTATTTTATATAAATAGTAGGGGTTCCTATATAGGTACCTCCTCTTTTTAAATAGGATCGGCTCCTTAGTTTAGGACTAAGTCTAGGACTTTACTTCTTAGTATCCCTACTAGGTTAAAAATACCCCTTTTAGGGGTATAATAGATAATACCTTTTATATCCCTATTTCTCGATTTATTATACGGAACGACTTAAGGAGATTATAGGTTTAATAGACTTTCTTATCTATAATAATCTCTTAATATCTTCCTTACCACTAAATAGGTAAGACCTTTTTAATAGTATATAGGAAGTCCCTATTTACGTCTCCGTTATTAATACTAAGGCTAATAGCTTACTCCCTTAGGGTATTCTATTATTTAAGCTATTATTCGATATCTCTAGTTAGCTTTTAGATAATAAAGACCTTCTACTTTATTCGGACTTCCTCCTTATATATAGTCGATCTCGCGAAGCGATCTCTAAGGTATACTAGTCTCTTATACGGGGTCTAATAGTCGGTAATAGCGGTATAGTAGATTAGGTCTAGAAAGGTATAGATATAGTTATTTACGTCGGAAAGCCCTTTTATCTCCCTATCCTATTTCGATTAGTCCACTTTAAAGATATCTATTTTATCTCTCTAGTCTCTTTTATCCGATTCGGTCCCTCCGTAGGGGTATTCCGGCCTAATAGGCTCTTCTTTCCTAACTAGTCTCTCTATCGGGGGGGTATCTAGGTCATAGTGCTTCTAGACTTATTTTTATATCGTATATAGCTTCACCTAGGCGAACTAAGTGCGCTATTAGGGCGAATCCTTTAGTTTTTCGCCCTTTATAGCGGAGAGAATTATTGATACTTCTATTATTAGGGTTAGGTGCTATATAGCCTCAGCGGGCTACTATATAGCTTTTAGAGGTTTTTAGGTGCTGATAGGCGCTATATCTTACGAATAGCGGCCTTATTTCGTGCGAACCGGGCTTATAACTGTTAACTAACGTGGTATTCAGTATAGTAGGGGTCTAATTAAGGGAGTTGAAATCTCTGTATTTCTGTATCCACTATTCCAGTAGGAAATATGACTATCTGACTAATTATCAAAAATACTGCGTGGACAGGATAAACTAAACTTCCGGTATGCCGATCTCATGCTCCGACATTCGTTTGCAACCTTGGAAGCAAGGCATCATTTCAGCCTAAGGATTCAGGCCACAATATCCGATCACCTTGCTGGTGCCTCGGGTGGTCTATAAACTCCACAGGATAATTGCAACATCAGTCGAAGACGCACATGGTTGATTTCATAGTATAAAAAGTAGCTGAAAGCTTCCTAGATCATCATGGCCTTTTAGTTGACTGAGGCCAGTTGTTTTTTTTTTTTTCTTTTTGGAAATGATGGACATCAATCGCGACTATATATCTCCTGGAGTCTACGATTGCCCACTCATGATTCTCAACCTGCAACATGTATGTTTTACAATGTGTGATGTAAGAGACAAGGTATTACACGGCTATGGGGGTCCTTTAACGTATACGTAATCTATTCTCGTTATCGAGTGGACTGTGGTGCGGAGACAGACCTATATATATTAGGTATGCACTCCGTACTCCGTACTTGCGTCGTCTTTACGGGCCCCTCACGGAGACCAGATGCAAGCTGTGGGTATGGTCCGTAGCGGATATGATTGGAGCACCAAGGGGAATGAGGAAAACAAGCGTAAAGTTTACTCGGGGAGTATCTTCTAAGGAGGTCACCACGAGGCACAGCCAGTCATGTATCATGAATTGTGGCCGTCGTGGATAAACCTATTCCTGTGGGTACAACATAGAGCCTATATGTGAGGCAGGGGATCCCACTTATTTCGATATGAGGTCTCGTTTGTATAACAAAGTGTTCTCATACTGTTGATACCCGTGTGGAAGACGAAGATGCAAATCTCGATTGAACTGTTACCAGGTCCAGGGAAGTCAACCAGCATCAGCTGACTACCCCGCAGATCCAAGAAACCAAGGTCAAGAACAATGTGAGCAGGAGGATAACCCTGGAGGATACCTCAAAAAGGAGTTCTCGCTTAAAGGCGGAGAGATGAATTGGAGACGTGTTCCAACCCCCAAGCATTGGTGAGCATCTGTGACTATCCCCCGTAAGGGACCATCTCCAGTCTTACTCCGTACTCCGTACTCCGTGCAGAGGACAGAGTATTCCCCGTACAGTAGATTTGATTTGGATTTTGACTTTGATCCAACACCCGTGGAACAAGCGTTCGGCCGGTGCAACAAATCAAACAGCTCCGAGAGATTAAAATCATAAATATGCAAAGGGGACGCACTGCAGAGGCCAGAATCCAGGGTTGCGAGTCTCATTGTCTGGGGAATTAGGGACAGCTTCCGGTGGCGTCCAATGAACTGGGTCATTCTCTTTTGTTTTTCTGTTTTTGTTTTGGCCGTGAATTTCGGATTCTGGACGGAGTATAGCATGGCTTGAATGTAGGTGGTTCGATATGGCTATATGAAGGCAGAGATATCTCTCTATCACAGCCATCCCCGATATCAGTACTCCGTACGTAGCTTCGATCTACAAGGCACCTGTTCAGCTGAATTCCAATTATCTGATGTCTCTCGTCTGTCGACTCCGGTACCCATAGATATTTATAACCCAATTTACGTGCAAGGTCATGACGTGGGGCCAACATTCCTGGGAGACTCAAATATATACCCAGGCCAAACAACAGGGGATTCTATCAAAGTCCTCCGTAGCAATCTACCGGACACTCGAGATAGATTCAATCAAGAGAGAGATAAATATCCAATCCAGTCCAGAAGTGAACTGCAAAGAGAAAAACAAGAGGAAAAAAAAAGTAAGGTGGAAGTACGTGGTGCAGGAAACGCACAGCTCGCCAATCACCGCCCTCGACTCCTTCGATCTCCCCCCATCACTACCTACTCTTCCTTTTTAACATTCTGTCGACCTTTTGCACATTCTGCTCATTCTCTTAACTTCAAGTCTCAATTTTGACCTCTCGTTTCCCTCTCGGGTCAGCCTCCTCTGGGGTTGACGTTGTCGATGATCCAGCGCGTCGCTGTCGCGCCATTCCCCGCAGAGCCACGGCTTCCGTTATCCTCCGTCTAACGTCTCGTGTTTCAGAACATCGTTTTCGATTTTGAACCCCGTTCATCTGGTCCATTGACTATAACCTTAGCATCTCGATCATTGACCTGCTCCCGAATTTTCACGAATTCGCTATGGCCGGTTGATGCTACGGATGAATCAATAACCACGATTAAGGGCACCTGCGCTGCCCAGCAGACGGTTCTGCTTGGCTGAAACGTTGTTCTTGTGCTTTTGTTTCAATAATTTGTGATCTATCGTACCGTGACCCCCAGCTCTTGCAAAGCCCTCCAAATTCGCTCGGTCGCCCGAGTCACGATGGCGAGCAATGACTCCCCCAAACCACAATTCCTCGCGCCTCCTGCCGTGACAGCGCTTAGGCAGGAGGCTCGGAATATCGATCCCAAGATGGTTCGGACATTGAGTGATGATATGCGTGAGGAACGAGAGGAGTTGAAGGAAGCGGCCGAACAGACTTTGAACATCATTGTGGATATGGACCTTGAAGGTCGCATCAAATGGGTTAGCCCATCGTGGAAGCAGGTGGTGGGCTCGTCCCCTGATTTAGTGGAGGGCCGGATGATCTCTGAAATTCTGTTGGGCAACAAGGATGTGTTTCGTGATGCGATCGAGTCGATGAGGCAGGATGATTCGCGAAGTCGTTTCATTCGCTTCGCCCTCGAAATGGGACCTGATTCTGTCTTGAAATACTCACCTGAACTGCCCCCGATGGCTCCAAAGCATGAAACAGCCGAGGAGCAGGCGGAGCAGACCGTTGACATTCCAATTGAAGATAATCACAGTGTGCTCAACATGGAGGGACAGGGTATCATGGTGTATGACCGGACAGACGATGAAGCTGGCCATGTGCGTACCTCGATAATCGTGGATCACCTCCCAATATTGCATATACCGCTGACACCTTCTGAATACAGACTATGTGGATGTTGCGACCACTGACCGAGCCGAGAGAAGTGACAATTGACCTGCCGCCTCTGCTGGTGGAGTCTTTGGGTGTTGGAGCAGAGGTGTTGGCAAATTACCTGACTGAATTGGCCGAAGCTGCAGCAACAGAACCCGATCCTTCCAAGCATCCCGCGCCGACTCCCGTTCTCTGTCGCATCTGCGAGCGTCAGATTACGCCATGGTGGTTTGAGAAACACTCGGATCTGTGCCTGCAGGAACATCGAGCTGAGATGGATGTTCAATTGGCACAGGAGAACCTTAACGAGCATCGGCACGTTATTGTCAAGGTTCTTGATGCGCTGGAGGCTCGACAAGGCAGGCCTTTCATCGGGACCGATGGGAATCCAGTGCCTCCCCCCAGGCCGAGTACAAGGGATTGGCAATTGGACCCTCGCCCGCCAGCTCCGCTCCATCATCAGGTGGTGTCTCAAGTAGTAATTCAGCACCCGGGACGCCGCCTCGCTCGCGCGATCATTCTGCCTCTAGCGCCATGCCGAATCGACCCCGCTCATTCACAGTGCGGAGACCATTGGCTCGCATCGTCGAGCTTGTTCTTGATTTGTGCGATACTTCACTTGAGATCAGTATGCCAATGATCAAAGAATCTTCTCGAACAGATACAGAAGACTTCCGGACTTTGTCCCCACAATCCGAATCGCGGATCTCCCAGGTTCTTCAGTGGCAGTCCCCTAGCTCCAACACATTGGAACAAGAACAGGGTCTAGCCGCATTGTCAGCAGACACAGAACAAGTTGCCAAGGCAAAAGTCGATGCCGTCGTACGTCATCGCAAAATTGTTGAATACGCCGAACGCATTCGCATAGAATATACAGTTTTAGTCGAAGAATGCATTGGGGCTGCGCTAAGCAAAGCGGAGCGTATAGCTGCTGGCCAGCTCAGCGATTCTTCGTGCTCATCAGACGAAGAAATGCTACCCGAGAGCAATACCGGCAGCAATCATGGTCTGGACGACACCAGCAGCATTGCCGAGGAAGAGCCCCTCTCCCAAACCATGAGTCATGAATGGCAGCAAAAGCCATATCCAACAGCACCCTCCCCACGGCGACCAACATCTGCATTGACTTTGTCAATGCGCAATTCACCGGATCGGTCATTGCTCTCACAATCAGAACGCAGGCCATCATCCACAGCAGTTTCTACCGGCTCTAACAGCCCGATGGAATGTCCGACTCCACGATCGCACAAGAGTGCTGCGGGACTTTTGGGTACCTCGCAGCCTTCCCGACTGGGCCTCTCTTTAGCGGATATTGATGCTGGCGATAGTAGCGATAGCAGCCTACCCTCATCTGTCTTCCCAGGAGGCGTAAGAACAGATTCGCCCTCATCTGAGAGAAGTTTCGACCGGAAGCGCCGAAGTCTAGTGCTACCTGGACTCTCGAGTTCTCCTCGGCGGCAGCCGTCCCCCGCTCGAGTTCCCGGCCCGCATTCCCCATTGCGCATGCCGAAGCCTCGATTGTCTACTGGTGCGGAAGGATTGCCGTCACCAATTGTATCTCCATCCACATACGCAAGTGAACTGGCCTATCATCACTGCCGCCACCACCGTAGGGAGTCTTCAGCAACTTCGTCAGATGTAGCGAAGCCACCGCCGTCCCCACGCCTACCTTCAGTGAGTCAGCAACAGCCTCGACCTGCTCCATTGTCTATTAGGGATTTTGAAATCATCAAGCCAATCAGTAAAGGTGCTTTTGGCAGTGTCTACTTGGTAAAAAAGAAAGCCACTGGGGAGTATTATGCGATGAAAGTTCTGAAGAAGGCCGATATGATCGCGAAAAATCAGGTCACCAATGTGAAAGCAGAACGAGCCATCATGATGTGGCAAGGAGAGAGCGACTTTGTGGCCAAGCTTTACTGGACATTTTCCAGCAAGGACTATCTTTATTTGGTGATGGAATACCTCAACGGAGGTGACTGTTCATCACTTGTCAAGGTTCTTGGTGGCCTTCCTGAAGATTGGGCTAAAAAGTACATCGGCGAGGTCGTGCTTGGAGTCGAACATCTTCACAACCGAGGCATTGTGCATCGTGATCTGAAGCCTGATAACCTTCTGATCGACCAAAAAGGTCATTTGAAGCTGACGGACTTTGGACTATCGCGTATGGGGCTGGTTGGCCGTCAAAAACGCGTGCTTAAGAGCCCTGATGAGTCTGCACCGGATCTATTGAAGCAAGGTTCCTTCCCCCGTGCCATATCGGTTGCCTCTTCTCGATCAGCGTCATTTGACTTCCAGGCCAGCTCACCACCCGGGTCTACCCCACTGATTACACCTGAAGTGCCCGCCAATGCCATCCAACCATCCTACTTCAACCTCAACCAAGGTGGCCTGAGTCGGCAAGGCTCTCGTAGAGCCTCTGGATATCGCAGCGATAGCATGGGTAGTGATGGTCTCAATGGAATGTTTAGAACATTCTCGCTAAACGACAATGCGCATGAGCCTCCTATCTCGTCGCCAAGTATGTTCTCAACCAGTATGGTTGAAGAGGAGGGTCAGAGTGAGGCTGGCGAGTCTCCTCGACTTCAACCCCTGCAGCCAACATTTAGCAATCCGCTGGCACAGAATACTCCTCCCCATCAGGCTATGATACCTCCGGTGATGGCTCTATTTGACCCCGAAGACCACGATCGCCGCTTTGTGGGAACCCCCGATTACCTAGCTCCGGAAACTATCAATGGTGTCGGGCAAGATGAGATCAGTGATTGGTGGTCGTTGGGTTGCATCATGTTTGAATTCATCTTTGGATACCCCCCTTTCAATGCAGACACACCCGACGAGGTCTTCGAAAATATTCTCCATCGCAGAATCAATTGGCCGGACGACCCAGAGGAATATACTTCCCCGGAGTCCTTAGATCTTATGAATAAGCTCATGACTCTTAATCCTGGTGACAGAATAGGAGCCAACGTGGAAGAGAACTTCGCAAATGGCGGCGACGAAATTCGCAATCATCCATGGTTTTCCGAGATCAACTGGGAAACACTGCTAGAGGACAAGGCACAATTCGTTCCAAACATCGAAAACCCGGAGGATACAGAGTATTTTGATTCTCGCGGTGCCACTCTCCAGTCTTTCGCAGAGGAATTGGAAGATGAGAATTCGCCACAACCGCCAACGTCCAATGGCCCAGACCGACCTCATGATGCACTGTTCAAAGTTAGATCACAAGTCAATTCGACAAAACGGCCATTGATGCCGCTGCACATCCCTCCTCACGTTCGTGATGCGCGTGATTCACGAAGTCGAAGATTGAGTGAACCGGCTTTGGCCGATGATTTCGGCAGCTTTAACTTCAAGAATCTTCCGATGCTGGAGAAGGCCAATAAGGATGTGATCCAAAAGATGCGACAGGAGGCTCTCCAGGCGCAGCACAGACAATCTACTTCATCCTCCGCCGCTCAGACGCCCATCAGTTCGTCCCAGCCCTCCTTGGAGGGTAGTCCTCTCCCCATGTCACTTCAGCGAACTTTGTCACAGAACAAGGGCAACAACCGCCCTTCCTCTCCATCCGGCCTGAGTCAGACGAACTCGTCCCCCAGCAGACCGTCACAGCCATCATCTCCCCTCCTAGTTCAGTTCAGTACAGGCACCAATCAAGAACGGCGCAAGACCTCGGGCTCCTCATCAGCCTCCCACCAATCAAATGGACCCTTCCAAGCTTCCTCTGCAGACCAAGGCCGTATGCCAAATCTCAGGCTGGGCTCGGTGGCATCATCTCCCGTCAAGCCTAACAGGATCCCAGCTCATTCCCCGGAAAAGACACCCACCAGCCAACGACATGGCAGTGTCCCAGCGAGCCGTACACGATCGCACACAATTGGGTCCCAGGATGGGGATGCTTCCTCATTCCCGAAGGAACCATTTGTGCCCCATCATCATAAACGCCGCAGTCAACTCTTTGACATCTCACCTTCGTCTTCTGACAATGAAGATCCTCGCACCAAGGCACTTTTAAAGGTCCAACGTCGCCGGCAAAGTTCTCGCCGGTTATCCCAAATCAACATCATGGAAGGCCCTTTCTTCCGTCCATTAGATGTGCTCATTTGTGAAGATCATCCCGTCTCTCGGCTGGTCATGGAACGACTGTTCGAAAAACTTCGCTGCCGAACCATCACTGTTACAAATGGCGCGGAAGCTGTCAGATACGCTCTTAGCGAAGTTCAATTTGATATCATCATGACTGAGTATCGACTTCCTCAAGTCAACGGTGTTGACTTTGCTCGAATGGTCCGGGAAACACGCAGTGCCAACAGACATACTCCTATCATTGCTGTGACTGGCTACTTGAAAGACCTCCCGGAAAACCACAATTTCGATGCTTTGATCCAAAAGCCCCCAACTTTGCCCAAACTCACCGAGGCGCTGTCCAAGTGGTGTGTGTGGAAGCCCCCTTCTACGGATTACAGCCCCTCCCAACCTGTTCCTGTTCCGGGCTCCGGTGTTCGGTCCAGTGCCGTAACAACCGAGGATAGTCCCAGTTCCGCATCCTCTGGATTTGTGCTCAACCCCCCCAGCTCTTATCGAGGATCTAGCCGGGATGACTCGCTTAGTAGTAGCATATTTGGTGATATCGAGACCTTTAAGCCAGAGGATGTCCCTGTGATCATCAACCGGAACTCGGATGACTGGGATCAATGTCACGGTGGATTGGGAATATCAGAAGAGCCAGGGCAACACTCAGGAAAGTCAGATCCTAATGTTGTACCTGTTCCCGGCCTCCTTCATGCCGCCTCAGCACCCGCGGCCATGGACGCCAGTGGTTGCATGACGCCCCGAAAGCAACGGTCTAGCGAGGCCATTCGTGCCAAAAGGGAATCGCTCGAGAAAAAGCGGTATGAAGGTGCTGAATCGGGCGATGATGAAGATGAAGAGCTTGGAAATTCCCAAACACGTCGCAGTCCACCCTCACGAAATCATCGGCCCGGCTCCAAGCTCGGAATCGAAATGATGCGGACCAACAGCCGAGGGAGTGTTGTCAGTGGAAGCGAGGAACTGCTAAAGAAAGAGAGGGAGGCGCTCCGAAGCCAAGGCGCGGAATTTGTTGATAACGAAGGTAGCGAGGGGTCTCTGGGCTCGCCTGCCAGCACGAGCTTAGAGGACCGTTTCGAGGCCGTCAGCATCCCGGAAGAATCCGAAGATGAAGAACAGCTCAGTCCTCGTCACTCGCCCTCAGGATCTGGGCCCCTCGCCTTTCAACATCACCGTCCATCTTTAGCCCACCAAGACACGTCCATCTACTCGGGACATTCCCAGCACCGCCAGTCGATCAGCAGTCCACCAATGTTGAACCAGGGCCAAAAGACGCCCCCGTGGGATTTGGCCCAGTGCACTTCCCACCCTGCTGCCCCACCAATCACTCCGGAAGTGAAGATATCAGGTAATGTGCTGACTCCAGAGGCTGGGTCTGGTGCGGACACCGACTGTAGTCCTACACCCGACTCTGAAGCTACGCCACGACCTCTTCATCCTTCCCCCAGCCCTGATCCTGAGCAGACCCCTCGTCCCGCGGAACGCCATCGACCGGACTTGACCTTCACCTTCAAAAGATAGATGTCGATTTCCTTTCTTGGTATCCAAAGGAGCCAGCTTCTGCCTGAATTCTGCATTCTTCAATATGTTTCTATTCTGTCTACATATTGCCGACCACCTACTTTGTCTTTGTAAACTTTCTCTTTGTCTTACCGCTTACCCCCACGGGGGACTTGTTTCCTGTACCCGCATGGATGCATTGTCATATTCACTCCCTTACGTCTCTTATGTCTGAATGTTGTTCTCGGATTCTTTGGAGCAGGGTGTTCCGGTCTGTCTTTTGATTGCATGTTTCTTTTCTTTTTACTAGCCATCATTTTCTTCTGGCGATGGTAGTCTATGTTCCATCTCCGTGACCATGTGATTTGAAATTCAAACATCAGCTGGACGCTGTTTCTTTCCTTTTACACACATATCTATTTCCAAGGCCTCCGTTTTCGTATCTGCGCGTTGTTCGATGTTCCGAGTCCAGTAGTTCGAGACCGCCCATGTACCGAACCCAGGCCACAGAGCCACCGATCCTGGCCTCTCGTTCCCCGATGCCGTTTGCTTCACAGCTGCGATTGGATACCGAAGCCCCAATGATGGTGCCGATCATTGTTTCATGAGCTCGATAGATGCCTGTCAAAAGCCTACCCCACCTCGCGGTAGTACGTGGGAACTGACCTATGAGGGTGTAGAATGGACGCACCGAAGCCACGCGCAAGGCGATCGTGGGAGTTGGGAGGTTTCTATTGGGCATTTGGGGTTATGCAGTGAGTTTTACTCCGTATGAACGCACTTGTCGAGTGGATGGAGTGGATTCTCCATAGGAATGTACGTTTCTGGCCTCCGCACTCCGTGTACAGCATTATGTAGGCCATCATGGTCGCCGAGGCACAACGTCAGGGTGATATCACCGTAGAAAATACCACTCCGGCCATGCAATATATTGATCTATTCTTATAACTGTCCCCCAACCAGCCCACCACACCGGTACGCCCCTGACGCAGGGGACCACCCGGTGGCGGGAGGCGTCCTTGGCGTGATCCCGATAATCGTAGCGTTAAGGGGGAATATAAGCATAAAACCATCCGGGCGTTCTTGATTTCCGAGGTCCGTTTCTGGGATTATGCCTCGGGTTCATTGCCACTTGGTGGATCAGTGCTGGAGCTGTCAGTGGCCAGGACATTTTGCAGGTCGCTGCTTGGCCAAGTTCAGTTGCCAAGCGTGGTTGCCAAGACCCAGTGCACAAAAATGCATTGCGTATGCAGGAAATCTTGATTCTTGAATTGAACCTGAATTGGACATGAATTGGAAAGGGTTGGGTTGAACGGGGTGCACAGGGTTGGACTCTGCATCGGATGGACTTGTTCCCATATCGAGGACTCCGGAGGTGGCAACGAGAGGCCCAACACAACCCCTTTTCCCCTTAATTAACTGCAAAAGAAATTAATTCATATTGTCGCATAACGCCCATCGAGATCATCGTGCAAAGCCCACTTAAAAGCGACAAAAACACATCGAGGCCCAGACTCTGCACCGTGCTGGGACCCCCCTTCTCCACTTGGCTTTGCATCCTCATTTCCCTGTAAAGCGCTTTCTTTTTTTCTTTTTTCCATTTTTCCTTTCTGTTGTCCGTATATCAGTGCCTGAGTATCGAGTTCACCTTGCGTTTTGCGTGTTTGTCGGGTTTGAAAGCAGACATTCCTCGGCGATAAATTCCGCTTGCTCCGGCCCCCGCATTCTGTTTGGCCTGGTGCCATGTCGTCCCCCGTGGAGGAGCGAAGGACCCAAGAGAAGGACAAGGGCAAGGATTCAGATATCTCACCCACGTCCGATGATGGCACCTGCGTGACTGAGCCTGAGCGGACCGACCGCGTAACCGATCACCTAAGGGTCGATACAAACCATCCGGTCGATGATACTCCATTCATGCGCACACCATCGGCCCGGCGAGAAGAGGCTACTCGTTTGGAAGATGATTTGATGCTGTTACAGGCCGAGCGGATGACGTCGCGTTCAACACACCAGCCAGATGATGAACACGACCAGAATTCCATCAGTCGCGCCCGCTCGCGTCGCTCGGAGCCCGTCGATGAGTTCGATGAGGCTACAAACCCGCTGCACGAGAAGGCTGCTATTTACAAACCTCCCGAAAAGCCCAACACTCAAATCGCGGTTTTTGTCAAGAAGCTGCACCAATCGAGCTTCCTCGTGCGCTACTTGACTTATATCCTCCCCGTTGTCCTCATCCTCCTGATCCCGTTGCTGGTCGGCGCTCTCAGGTTTCCTAATGCCAGTGTGGGAGGTGTGGAACTGATGTGGTTTGCAATTTGGTTGGAAATTGTCTGGTTGACTCTCTGGGCTGGACGAGTAAGTACTGATTGGGAAACGACCCCTCCCCCCAGCATGAGCTGTACTAATTTGGGCTTGTTATCTTTTACGATTAGGTTGTTGGAAAGTGTTTGCCTCCAACCGTTGGTCTTCTAGCTAGTATTTTCACCAATAACGCGAAGAAATGGCGCGACATGGCCAAGCAGCTCGAGTTCCATGCAGCCATGTTTTTCTGGTGGCTCGGCGTCGAGATTTCCTTCTTGCCGACGATGAAGAACCACCATGTCAATGGCAATAGGGGGACCAGAGGATGGGAAAACACTCTCAACAAAATCATCATATCCATCTTCGTCTGGACGATCCTGAATTTCATCGAGAAGATTCTCATTCAGCTGATTGCCATTAGCTTCCACATGCGGACTTACGCGGACCGCATTGAGATCAACAAGTTCCAGATTGGTAGCCTGACCAAGTTGTACGACTTTTCTCGGTCTACGCTGAGTGAGAAAGACGATGTTTTCAAGGAGCAGACCGAGGAACCGACTCCCTCGGGAATCAAGACCCCGTTGCACTATGCTGGTTTGGCCCAGCGGAAGGCGAAGGGCGCCTTGAACAAAGTTGGAAATCGGGTGGGAGATGTGGCTGGCGCAGTAGTTGCTGATGTTACTGGCCGTACGGCTACTCGCAGCACTGATGCCTACCAGGTCGTTTTGGCCCTCCTAAGGACCACCGGGGGCTGCCAGGTTCTGGCACGCCGTCTGTATCGCACGTTCGTAAGGGACGGCTTCGAGACGGTCTTCGGTGGTGATTTGAAGGCAGCATTCGATGACGGCGAGGAAGCCGAAGCTGCCTTTACCATGTTTGATCGTGATATGAATGGTGACATCTCCATGGAGGAACTGGAAGCCGTCTGCGTTGATATTGGCCGCGAGCGCAAATCCATCACCGCATCCCTGAAGGACTTGGATTCTGTCGTATCCAAGTTGGATGACGTGTTTATGTTCTTTGTGTTTCTCATTGTGCTCATCGTGTTTTTGTCGCTCATCTCGACCTCGGCTGCAGGTGTCCTCACCTCCGCGGGTTCCGCTATTCTTGCACTCTCTTGGTTGTTCTCTGCTACGGCCCAGGAGTTCCTCCAGTCGGTTGTATTCGTGTTCGTCAAGCATCCCTTCGATGTTGGTGACCGTGTCACGGTCTACGGCAATTCGGGTGATAGTGGTCTTGGCGATGATTACTTTGTGAAGGAGATCACTCTACTTTACACCGAGTTCAAGAAAATGCAAGGCCATGTGGTACAGGCGCCTAACAGCTACCTCAATGGGCTTTTCATTCTGAACCAGCGTCGATCCGGTGCCCTCGCTGAGGCAGTTCCAATCATCATCAAATACGGCACCACCATTGAACAGCTCGACGCCCTGCGGCAGCGACTTTTGGAGTTCGTTCGCAGCGAGAAACGCGATTTCCAAGGCAACATTCTCACTGAAATGCGCGCCGTCACGGAGAACTTCTCGCTCACGCTGAACGTGGTCTTTTTCTACAAGTCCAATTGGCAAAATGAGGGTCTACGTTTGCAGCGCCGCAACAAGTTCATCTGTATGCTCATGGTCGCTCTTCAGGAGATCGGCATCGAGGGCCCACGCATGAACCTCCAGGGTGCCAAGTTCGACATTCCCTTCCACGTCAACTATGGCAAGCAGCGCTCTGCAGACCGACACGATCCCGTCGATGCCGAGGAGGTCCCGATCTCCGAAGAGCCCCACCACCACCTGCCCGAGAACACTGGAGCCAGCAGTGGCAGCGCTGTCCGTCATCCATCGATTCTTCGCAAGGGTATCAACACAGCCAGTGCCCGTGCACGCGGCCCGTCCGTCTCGCAGCGGAAACACGTGGATTTCTCCTTGGGTATGTCTAACATGGCATCCAACGACGTTATGGGAGATGTGTTCGAGGACCGTGGTCTGCGCATCGATGATGTCGTCCGTACTGCCAACCGCGACGCTGCCGAGCGCCGCATCCAGGAAGAAGCTGAGGAGGAGGAGGAGCGTCGGAGTCGCACTTCCTCTTCCCGGCATCGTCGCCCCTCTAACTTGAGCGCCCCCTCCAACAAAGACGACGGTCACCCATCGGCCGACGCTAACAGCTTCCGCAGCGGTCAGTCATCCCTTAGCCGCAACCGGTTCTTCCACCACCGCAGCAGCGTGGGTCAAGATAGGGACGATTTGATGGAGCAGGGCCGCTCTGCAGAGCCCACTCCTCCCCCTCCGGCTGCGGCGCCCAGTTTCAAGGAGCACCCAAATTGAACTGAGCCATGATCACCCTTGATCTTTTGTCCACTGAACATATATCATTCTCATTCTCCCATTCCCCTTTTTCATACACCGTGCTGTGCCCTGTGGGACTTGTCATGATGAGCTATAATCTCTCTTTCTACTATACATATATCCCCATATCGATCTTTAAGCTCCTTTTTTGTTATCCTTTTGGCGGCCTATTGATCATACAGCATTTTGGTGAGGTCTTTGTTATTTCATCTTGAATATTTTACTCTCAATCAAACTTGTCCACTTTCTGCGTTGGATCATTAAAATCATATCCAGATCTATCTTATTCACATCATCTGTGAGAGTAGGTTCTTCGATCACCTTCACCATGACAGCCCACAACCATGGGTATTATCGAGAATTCAGTGTGACACAGCATAGGCTTGATTCCGGACTAATTTCGTTTCAAAAGTCTCACGGCCATTCCAGCCTGCGAGGTTGCATCGGTCAAATCGAGCTTATTGATGGCTGCCTTGAAGGCCGACCCTTCTTGACTGCCCATCGAAATCAAAATCAGAATTTCAACTTTTCCATACAGTCCCAGAGAAGCCTAAGCATAGCCAAAGTTCTACTGATGCCCAGAGATCGCAGAATAACAATCATCAACCATGTCATGTCCGCCGGGGAGCGATAACAACTTCGGCCCGCGTGTGAATCCCCTCTGCCGCTCCTTTGATTTTACTCTTCTCTTCGAGGATACGCTATTCACAATAGTACCGGCAAGTTTATTGGTGGTTACCACAGCTGCTCGTCTCCCGGTGCTTATTCGTGCCTCGGTCAAAGTCACTTCGTATTCTCTGGCCACTGGGAAGCTTGTATGTTGAACTCGACGTTGACCTCATTCACAGTCCCAGAAAGTCGGATTTAACCAGACTGGATATATAGATCATTCTTGGAATATTGCTCCTCCTGCACTTGCTATATCTCATTTTCCGACTCTTAGATCCTCAGCTATATACGATTCTGTCAATGGCAGCAAATGTTCTGGATATAGTTGCTCTCGCAGCATCGATGCTACTCTCATGGCTAGAGGACCAGCGTTCTATCCGGCCGTCAGACCTGCTGATCGTCTACTTCACTGTGAAATGTCTCCTTTCGTTATCACGCGCTCGGACGCTATGGCTACTGTCGACAAATACTCCGAGATCAGCCATTGTGTGGATATTAATCTGCGTTGTCACAGTGGTGGCACTGTTCCTTGAGTCGATGCACAAAACCAGACTTCTGCGCACGACATATCAACAATCAAACAAAGAATTCATCTCAAGCTTTTGGGTTCGAAGCCTCTTTATTTGGGTGATTCCGCTCTTTCGAAGCGGATATTCAACAATCATTTCTGTCCAAGACATGCCTGATGTTGATCATGCGCTGCAAGGCATATCTGCGAGGAAAAGGTTGCAGATTGCATGGGAGACAGGTAAAGTTGGATCATTTGTCTCTTGATCCCAAGCCAATAGGCTAACAGAGCCTTGAATTTAACAGTGTCACCGCAATGCAATCATCGTTTGCTCGGAGCAGCCTGTCGTGCATACCTTCTGCCACTTCTTAGTGCTATAATTCCTCGGCTATGTCTATCTGCGTTCAAATTCTGCCAGCCCTTCTTGATCTCTGCGACATTGACATTTATTTCCACACCAACGACAGCCGAAAACCGAGCATATGGACCTGCCTTGGTTGGGGCTTATGTGCTCACATATTCCGGGATGGCAGTGAGTCCCCAATCCAGCAAGCGCCGCTTGATCACCCGCCGAGATAGCCACGTCACTAACATAAGCTCGAGTTGTCAAACGCAGTGTACTGGCGGCAGGCATTTCGTCTGAGTACCATGTTTCGTGCCGGTTTCATTTCCCTTATCTACAGACAAACCCTAAAGCTAAGGATAAGTGATTTCAAAGATAAGCCTGCGATCACATTGATGGGCACTGACGTTGAGCGCATTGTAGCCACGCTCCATGGACTCCATGAAGTATGGGCATCTCCTTTGGAGGTTGGGGTTGGATTGTTTCTCCTAGAGCGACAACTGGGAGTCGCATGTTTGATCCCGGCAGTCATTTCGCTAAGTAAATGGGGACTACATTGAATCTCTTAGGTGTACACTCTGACTAGCATAGTTGCCGTCGTAGGAACAATTCCAATATCCCAAAGGTCGAACGAAGCTTTTGGCAATTGGATCGAACGCGTACAAGCCAGGTTGAGTATTACAGCTAGCATGTTGCATGACATGAGAGCCGTCAAAATGTTAGGTTTGAGTGAAAAGCTCTTCGATTGCATATCCCAGTTGCGGAGGTTTGAACTGCAAGTCTCTGAAAGATTCCGGTTCCTGCTCATTGGACAAATCATTTTATGTAGGCTGTCAAACTTGCCGAGAGTGTTCATCATAGGACATACTAATATGGGACTCCCGAGTAGCGACCATTCCTCTCACTTTAGCGCCTTTCGCCACATTCGTGATCTTCACCATTATCTCTTTGGCGAAAGAAGGCGAGGCGCTCCTTTCAACTCGGGTGTTCACATCACTCTCTCTCATCTCGTTGATGACCGCGCCCCTGCTGGTTTTTGTTCACGTTCTCCCATCCCTCTATCAGTCTATTGCATGCTTCGATCGAATTGAAAGATATTGCACCAAAGTTCCTTTCGATGTGACAATTGGAGATACAACAAAACACGATATAAGGCTCTCTGAATTGAGCGCAACCCAAACGCCGAACTCTCAAGAATCGGTAGTCGAGTTTCGCAGTGCTAGCTTTGCATGGAGTCAGGAGGGCGCTCCTGCTTTGCGGGATTTGCAGCTCGCTATCAAAGGAAAATCGATCACAGCAATTATCGGACCTGTGGGCAGCGGCAAGTCAACTTTGCTTGAAAGTGCACTTGGCGAGACTGTATTGATCGGGGGATCATTCTCCCCATCTCGCTCACTTGTTGCGTATTGTCCTCAAAGTGCTTGGATCATCAATGACACAATTCGTCAGAACATCATCGGCCCCTTGGAGTTCAATGCTCAATGGTATAAGTTCGTCGTTTGGGCTTGTGCTTTGGAGGGGGATTTTGATGAGATTCCAGAAGGAGACCTATCCAGGGCTGGGAGCTCTGGAGTAAACCTCAGCGGTGGACAAAAGCAAAGGATTGTAAGCATTGTCACATTGAGAAGATTGAAAAAGACCAAAGGCTCTAATTGAAGACAGTCTCTTGCACGGGCGGTATATTCCCGCGCCCCAATCTTGATATTAGATGATGTGTGCAGTGGGCTAGACATCAAGTCCATTTCCACTATATCCTCTCGGCTTTTCGCATCCGATGGCCACTTCAGAAGCTCTGGAAAGACTGTTATTATGGCAACTCATGACTGTAGATCTAGAATATCTGACGTCGTCTAGTGCTAGGCTAACTTGACGGTAGATTGGTCACTTCACTATACAGATGAGATCGTCGTATTGGAAGAGGGAAGGATCACGAATATCACAACATATGAACAGATGTGCTTCCCCTTACTGCAAGACAGTCATTATGAAATCAGCGAAAGTTCATCCAAAAACCGCCTTGACCCTCCTGGAAGGTCGCCCTGGGCAGAGAGCGCCCATCCAATTACTCAATCTCCGACCCTTGAAGCGCCTAATTCGGATTTTTCTCGCAGAGATGGCAACTGGTCGGTCTATGCATTTTATCTTCAATCCGCTGGTTGGAAGATGGCTCTGATCTTGGCAATATCAATTGTGCTTTTTGGGGTTTCGGATAGGGTGACCAGTACGATATCTATGCTACCCAGAAAGCAAAACGGATTCTCTCACTGTTTGCTGACAATCACCTAGCCATATGGCTTCAAAAGTGGTCGGAGGCTAATGAAAAGCATCCGAACCAAAACCTTGGGCTTTACCTTGGAGTTTATTCGGCGCTGTTTGTGATTTCCCTTTTATCGCTTGTCAGCGCTTGCTGGTCAGTCTCTGTTGTTTTGACATGAAGTCATATATTTTTGACCGAAGAGGATACAGGGCATTGTTTATTCGAGTCATAAACAACACAGGGTTGGCATTGCATGGTTGCTTACTTCGATCTATGGTGAAGCAAGTCCTTGCCATCCACGAGTATTTATACTGGTTGGGCTACTAACTTTGAGCTCTAGTGCGCCTTTTAGCTTTTTTCAGAAGGTCGATGCTGGGTTGACCACGAATCGGCAAGTCTTGATTTGATATTCTTCATAAACTCCACGCTGAGCCTTTGCAGTTTCAGCCAGGATATAGAACTCATCGATATGAGCCTTCCTGTTCAAGCAATCAATACGTATATTGGTGAATAGTTCCCAATCGCACTATACGCAGATCTCCATCTACAGAATGATTGACTGGATTTGTAGGATTTGCTAACTGCTGTGTGCAACTTGTCATTCTGTGTACCATGGGGAAGTATCTTACAATAACAGTCCCTATATTAGGAGTTATCTTGTTTTTTGTCCAGGGCTACTATCTTCGCACCTCGAGACAAGTGCGCCTGCTCGACATTGAAGCGAAGTCTCCCCTCTTCAAACTGTTTATCGAAACCATGCAGGGTATATCTGTCATCCGTGCTATGAAATGGACAGGACCGTTTCAAGAGCATTTGGAAGCTTCACTTGATCGATCACAGAAGCCTTTCTATATGCTCTTGTGCATTCAGCAATGGCTACAACTTGTGTTAGACTGTCTTGTGATGTGTCTAGCTACCATTCTTGTCACTTTAGTTATCTCTTTAAAGGGCCAGTTTGCCGCAGGCGCCATCGGCGTAGCCTTGAACTTGATACTGAGCTTTAGCACGGATCTCATGCTCCTTATAAAGTCATGGACTGTACTCGAGACTTCCATCGGGGCTGTCTCTCGCATCCAAGACTTTATTACCAATACACCGTCTGAAGTTCAACCCGAAGCTAGGGTGACTACTCGTCCTACTCACTGGCCTGCTCGTGGGGAAGTTATATTCCGGAACATCGTCGTGGCATATGAGTAAGTCTGTTTTGGTAATTCTTCCCAAGATCACTCCAATCAAACTGACTAGGCTAGCCCGACCGCACCGGCGATTCTGAATGATGTATCCCTCTCCATCAAACCCGGTGAAAGGATTGCCGTCTGTGGCCCATCGGGTAGTGGCAAAACGTCACTGATCCTTGGATTGTTACAGATGGTTGATCTACGAAGTGGAACTATCCAAGTAGATGGCATAGATCTGAAAACTTTGCAATGCACTGAGGTGCGATCTCACATCAATGCTATTCCACAGGAACCCTTTTTCATGCCTGGGAGCCTGAGATTCAACCTAGACCGCTCTTCTGCCACAATCAACCCCGTTTCGGACGCTTGCCTTATTGCGGCGCTTGAAAGGGTAGGATTATGGAAAAGGATTGCCAGCAGCGGCAATGGAGGGCTCAACCAGCTGGTCTCAATATCAAACTGGTCAGGAGGTGAGCGCCAACTCCTTGCGCTGGCGCGAGCATTGGTGATGAAAAGCTCAATCCTGGTGATGGACGAAGCAACTAGCAGGTATGCCACGCGATCCGACTGTTTTATGAATACCAAAGTTGACTCATGCGATGTTCTAGTGTGGACTGGGAAACAGAAGCCAAGATACAGGATATAATTGAGCAAGAGTTTGCATCACACACCGTTATCTCCGTTCTGCATCGTTTGCGCTATGTCGAGCAGTTCGACCGTGTCGTCTTGATGAAGCAGGGTCGTCTGGTCGAGTGTGATCGCCCTCAGACTTTGTTAGCTACACGATCGGAATTTCGGGACTTTTATGATGCTAGGCAATCTGAGTAAACTGAATGGATGATGTTCATACCACTGCCCTGGGAGTGTAGACGCGTTTGATCAAATCTAGGATATAACTAGATATACATATGGGGGGAGGGGGTAAGAATGAGACGAGTACATGAATTCAGAATATGAATATACAAGAACAAATTAAAAAATGAGGATTGAAGTCGCAAAGATCACAATCAGAGGGGATAAATGAGTTGTTGCGGCTGGATATGAGAGGGACGTTGTCGCTGCGTGTTTGATGATTTCCTGTCACGCACAAGCTCAAAGACACTGGCTTCTTTTGTACCCCAACCTCTTCCCTCATCACTCCTCTCTATTCTCATTTCACCTTACATCTTGACCCTACTGACGAGAGACTTCATCATGCGAGGCGAGGTACGTATGAACTTTGTTCTATCTTACCGTCATCATATCAAGCACGCCTCATCTGGCCTGTCATCCACCTGATATACAAGTCTGAACCAGTGAAAGGGACACCGATATTAACTCAACACCAGGTCTGTCACGTACACATTGGTCAGGCAGGTACACAGCTTGGCAATGCCGCCTGGGAATTGTATGTCTGCACTCTGTCTTGTCTTCCTAGTCCATCTGCTAATTGAGCGGAAACACAGGTACCTACTCGAACATGGTCTGCAGCCTGATGGCTGTGTCGATCCCAATGTAACCGATGAGGCTACGAAAAGCGGCTCTTATGAGACTTTCTTTACTGAGACTTCTGCCGGCAAATATGTTCCTCGTTCCATCTTCGTCGATCTTGACCCTTCTGTATGTGGCGGATGGCCAAGCGCTAGACCTGGAGAGAATAATAGCTGACTATTTATGATAGCCCATCGATGAGATTCGCTCGGGTACCTACCGCGATCTTTTCCGTCCGCAGCAGCTGATCAGTGGCAAGGAAGATGCCGCCAATAACTGTACGATTGATTTGGCTTATTGGCTTCCAGAGAAAGCGAGAACTAAGGACCTAACACTCTGCAGATGCTCGTGGTCACTATACAACCGGGAGGGATATTTCTGGTGTGGTAATTGACAGCCTTCGTCATATCGCTGGTACGAAACTTCCATCTTAACGTCGGCCTTCGCGCCCTTAGCTAATATACCCATAGAGAACTGTGATTGCTTGCAGGGATTTCTGATTTTCCACTCCTTTGGTGGTGGCACAGGCTCTGGCTTTGGTTCCCTGCTGCTAGACCATCTGACCAACATGTATGGCCGCAAGTCAAAGCTGGAATTCTCGATCTACCCTTCTCCGCGCACATCGACGGCCGTGGTAGAGCCCTACAACGCCGTTTTGTCCACACACAGCACCATTGAGAATTCCGACTGCACCTTCCTAGTTGATAACGATGCCGTGTATAATATCTGCCGCCGCAACTTGGACATACCGCGTCCTGGCTATGAGCACCTGAACCGTCTTATTGCCCAGGTGGTGAGCTCCATTACGTCCAGCTTGCGATTTGATGGTGCACTCAATGTCGATTTGGCTGAATTCCAGACCAATCTTGTCCCATATCCTCGTATCCACTACCCGCTCATCTCGTATGCGCCAGTGATCGGTAGCCAGTGCAGTTCCCACGAGAGCTTCAAGGTGCAGGATCTAACATTCCAGTGTATGTATGAGACATTCTAATTGGATGGTGGTTCCCTTCTGACATGCCACAGGCTTTGAACCTAACAACCAGATGGTTAACTGTAATCCACGAAAGGGCAAGTACATGGCCGTGGCTCTACTCTACAAGGGAGATGTTGTACCCCATGATTGTACTAGGGCTGTGCACGCCCTCAAGACCAGAGGCAGTTTCAGTCTGGTCGAGTGGTGCCCCACTGGGTTTAAGCTAGGCATCAACTATCAAAAGCCTGTGCGTCGTCCTGACGATGAACTTGCGTGTGTCGATCGTTCGGTCAGTATGTTGTCTAACACGACAGCCATTGCAGAGGCATGGAGCCGCCTTGATCATAACTTTGATCTTATGTATTCCAAGCGTGCATTCGTCCACTGGTATGTTGGCGAGGGCATGGAGGAAGGCGAGTTCTCTGAAGCGCGTGAAGATCTTGCGGCTCTTGAAAAAGACTATCAGGAGGTGGCTGAGGATAGCGGCCCAGAGGAAGGGGTTGAGTACTAACTGGACTTGACTCGTGCCCGTAGCTTGCGTCACGCATTGATATGGGATTCTGTCTGTACATCCCTCACGCTATCTCTGTGAGGCTCTTCCGGCTTCCATGACCTTCCAACTATGTATTCCGTCTGTGGCTAATGAGACGTCCTCGCTGATTGAGGAACTCAGGTAAAGAAGAGTGGGAATGGATCATAGCACACAAAAAAAAAGAGAGAAAACAAACAATGTAATCCCAGTCTGCGTTGCCTTTTGCGCCGATATTGTAGGTCTAAGATCCGAATGCTGTAATTCAAAAAAGAACGCCACCGAAAACTCCATGCCAAATGGCGAATTAAGAATAGTAATACAGGGTGAGTATTGCCTTCACCTATCAGTTGCGACCTCAAGCTCTCGAAGGACTTTCAATGCATGTTCATAGGTCCACATCGTAACAGCACTTGCTGGTGCTGCCTTGAGTAAACTCACTGTCAAACCACGGTACAGGCCACGCACGCCCTGGGTACGGAGGATCATTGCAATGCTTTCGAGGACCCCTTCGTACTCTGGGATATTGCTATGGACATAGCGTGTTCGCGTGGGTCCTTGTACTTGCAAGCGCTTGCGCACCAGATCGAGCGGGAACACACCTGTCTTGGCAAATACGCTGGCCATCACACCGGCAGCAGCATCCCCTGTACCCAAAGGCAGAATATCCCAGGTTGTCATGACTGGGCGAAGTGCCTCATATGCCGTGAAAAAAAGTCCCATGTATGGCACAATTTGGGCCACGGCAGCGGAACAGCCTCGGAAGAACCCTGGGACACCCTCCTGGCGAGCAATATCCACCACCGAGGCACGCAACGAGCTATACACACGGTCAGTGCCTTGGGCGGCAAATCGCGTGCGGAGGAGGTCGAGAGGATATGTTGCGCCTGTGGCGCATCCCCCTGCTACTGCACCAGAGATGAAAGATTCAGCGGGCTGAGGGAGTCGGTAGGTGCCAAGTTGGGCAAGAGCCTGGGTTGTGCCTCGATATACGGTGAATTGAATGGCGCCGTAGCAGACATACATCATTTCGGCGGGAATATTGCCCTTCCATAGGCCCTATGAAATCGACAATCTCGTTAGAATACCGGGATCCACATAAAGCAGCAAGATCATCAGTTCGACATACAGTAATTCCCTCTTGTCTCACAATCGCTTGCATGGTGGACAGCGTCCCCTTATAGATAGGGCCTTTGATACCATTATGAGAAGCAGGGTCTGACAATGAATGGATTTGCAATTGTAGCCGGATCTTGACGACGTCCAGCGGCGCAATACAGAACCGTGAAATCAATCCTGCGATTCCGCCGGCCAGTATGACCTGTCGCTTGGTGCCTTCATCTTTGAGATGCTCGCCCCCGGCCGACATGAGTTGATTCTGGTTTTTTATACAGACTATGGACGTCTGAATATTGGTTATATTAGGTGAGAGAAATTGAAGCGCATGTTTATCCGGCGAGGCTGGTTTGGAATGAGACGAATAGGACAAATCAAAACAAATTATCTGGACATCGAAGCAATTTACGTAACCGGAGAATGATATTGCTGCCTAAGGTGTTTGCATACGGGTAGTTGACCCGACCCACAGCCTCAGGCATCCTTTCAGCCTGAGGCATACGTTACGCCTCAGGCATAAAATTATACTTCAGGCACCCGGATCATCATTTTCGAGCCGAGGTAATTACTTGCAGGTATGGCCCCACCATGCGCCGTTGTCTCCGGAGCTTCTTCAAATACTTCATACGTTCTGCGCTCTGTCTCTGAAACTTCCCATTATCGAAGTTTTCTTCGTAGTTGTGTCGCATGCTCTTGCCCCTCATGCAGCGTCTGCAAACTCCAATCCTCCGGCAGCTGCCACGGGCGTTATTATACAATGGACCGCGCCGCAACTTGACAGCCACCGCTAGCCGGTTCAACGGTGCTCTGGAGCAGGACTCTTATAATAAGCCGGAGCTTGTGACCGCACAGGCCGGGATTCCACTGTCGGTTCCACAGCAATTCAGCAATTCAGATGGCAACCTCCAACACTCCACGTCTGGCGTACCTCAAAGTATCATTGAGAAAGTTGGGAAGCCTGGGTCTTTCTGGGTTGGAAAGGAGGAATTGTATTTGCATATGGATGATCAAAAAACCATCAGACTGCCATACACCTATCTGCGTGATCTATGCCAGTGTGGATCGTGTAAGGATCAGCACTCGAAGCAGCGCTCCTTTCGAACAAGTGACATTCCCAAAGACATTGCTCCAAGCCGGGTCAATTGGAACGGTAAACAGCTGTCGATCACATGGGCGAACGATATTTCAGAGCCGAATACGGCTCACGAATCTACCTGGGATTGCGAGTTCCTAAAAAGGCCCGTTTTCAACACTCATCAACAGCATCAGAGCGCGGATTGCAAGCGATTCTTCTGGGGAAGAGATGAGATGATCAAAATGCAACATTGGGTGTCTTACGAGGATTATACAACAGATGAGTCCAAGTTTGCTACGGCAATGCGGGCATTGCAGCGCCAGGGCCTCATTTTTGTTAAAGACATTCCCAAATCGCGTTCGATGGTTGAAAAGGTTGCCACACGTATGGGACCCCTGCGCAACACATTCTACGGCTCGACTTTCGATGTACGCACCGTCCCGGAGGCGATAAATGTGGCATATACCAACCAATTCCTTGGATTCCACATGGATCTGATGTACATGAACGAGCCACCTGGATACCAGCTCCTCCACTGCCTGGAGAACTCGTGCTCGGGGGGCGAGTCAATGTTTGGAGACACGTTCTATGCTGCCGAAGTCATGAAGTTGCAATACCCAGAAGAGTATAAACTGCTTTGCGAGCAACGTTTAGGGTACGAATACAGGCACGAGAATCACATCTATTATAACGAGAGGCCCGTGTTTGAGCATGATCCCCAGACAAAAGAGCTACGTCATGTTAACTATGCACCTCCCTTTCAATCTCCGCTCCCAACACCCGATGGCAAAGACCACGATGCTAGCTTGGTGAACAAGCTACGGGACTCCCTTGCCAAATTCACTTCTATTATCGATAAAGAGGACCACATCTTCGAACTGAAGCTGAGCCCTGGAGAGTGTGTCATTTTCGATAACCGACGAACTCTCCATGCTCGCCGCCAATTTAACTCTAGCGAAGGATCTCGCTGGTTGGCAGGAGCATATGTTGACACAGACGCTCTGCTCTCCCGCTTCGCCGTCTGTCAACACCAGCAGCCATCTGCCTGGAGACATAACTCTCTGGAAAGCCCCGTGTACCAGCAGGAGAAAAGGGACACACAATAAATATACAAAGCGGAGAACAATAAGTCGAGGACCGAGATACCATCCACAAAGGAGCGAAACCACATCAAACATGACACGAAGTTTGAAAAGGGCAAGGCATGTCAAGTGCTGCAGATTGATCCTGCAAGAATCTCATTCATAGCGAGGATTTTGTGTTCGTTTCTCAAAGCGTTCGAATGCATACATGTATCTACAGTTTCCTATCCGAACTCTGTCTATTTTTCAAGGAGCGCTCACGATCGAAATGAATGTATCTCCATGCGTGCTTGCGCTGTTAAGGACTATAGGCACCACGATAAATGGGCTACGCTTTCAAAAGTAACAACTGAATAGTCAGGACCTGGCCATTGAAAGAGATTCCAACACGAAGACAGGGATGTATGTATCTTTTCATTCGACGCCACGGAGAATGTCGCCGAGAAAGTCTCCGGAGCCATTTCTGAGCCCCTCCCTCCAATGTATATAATTAACCGGTCAGCTCCGTAGGGTAACATCAGTAAGACTGTTCTTCCGAACCCATGAGATCAAGCCTCTGAAATTGCGATAATGGCGACCGTCGCTTTCTCGCAGTATGCCAAAAGCCTCAATCTCTCCTCCAACCACACCTATAGTTATGTATACATCCCATGTTCCGTACCATTCCTCTCCACCGTGTTGTTCTTGCATGGATTTCCATCATCTTGCTACGATTGGCGTCATCAAATACGCTATCTTCAAGGTTGCGGATATGGCATCCTCGCCCCAGATCTACTGGGATATGGAGGGACCAGCAAACCCGCTTCGGCGGAGCAATACAGGACCAAGAGAATGGCAGGGGAAATAGCCGAGATCCTAGCACACGAAAAGCTCGAGAAGGTCCATGCGGTTGCCCACGACACGGGGTGTACTTTGCTTTCTCGTATCGCAGATTACCACCCAAATGTGCTCCTGTCAGCCACATTCTTGGCGGTGCCGTACTCTAGATCTGGCGAGAAGTTCAATCTGCAGGCTGTGAATGATATGACCAAACAGATCTCTGGAAAAGAGCGGTTTGGGTATTTGAGCCTTTTCGTGGATGATGAAGCTGGAGGTCTACTGGATGAACATGTAAGTATCCCTGGTTTCCCTCAACATCTCCATACCTCCGGATCGTTCTCAGGTGCTCATATCGGAACAGTGTAATTCTTTCTTCGGCCTCTTCTACTCTGGAGACCCAGAGGTATGGATCAATCACATCGGCCCAACGGGGGCAATGAAGCGATGGCTTCAAGCTGATCGTCAGGGCAAAATGCCCACTTTCATTACGGAAGAGGTGAGCATTTGACCTGTACATAGTCCTATGAAGGTATATTTGGGCATGGATCTCAAGCAATCGCGTATAGGAACGGATGACCCACCAGAGAATCATGCGCGGTCATTATGGCTCTGCACTGAACTGGTTTCGTGTGCTTGTTTGGAATTTGAATGAACCTGATGAAAAGCAGGCTACGCCAATCAAAATACCGCAGCCGGTGTTGATGGTCACCTCGGCGCCGAGCCCTATCCAACGACCCGGCGTGGAAGCGATGATGCAAGAAATAGCTGATGATTTGACCATCGGGGAGGTTCGGACCCAGGGTCACTGGCTCCAATTGGAAGCAAAAGACGAGGTGAATTCGATTCTGAGAAACTTTTTTGAAAGATGCGATACGGCACCGCGAGTGTGACAATACAGGGTAAGATGAGAGATAATGAAATGAAGATTTTGACTCTCATGAGGGAACTCAACCTTGGGAGGCTTCACACAATCCTATGGATGCCATGGTTTGCATACATCAGCTACGAGGTACATGTGCCTAAGATCATCTTGAATGTAGATTGTGAAACTGCAGCCATATACGCTTTTTATTTGGAATACAAGACAGGTTGATTTGGCGGCGTCAAGTTACTGACAGGGGCTCGTTGAATCACCTGGGCAATCATGAATCTCGAGACTTATCCATGACAATTGATGGGTTATACATTGGCCCTATCCCAACTCAATGGAACGGGATTCAATGTAGCAAAGTGAATGATGTGATACGATCAAGCATACCTATCAACCGTATCAAGACAAAACGTTTATCATTATGTGAAGACTTTTAACATCTAGCCCCAGAGACAGGGGAGTCATGGGTATCGTGCAACGACTAGCCTACCACTCAGGCAGTCACAGTAGGCTTGTTGACCGAGTGCTCACTAAGGAAATCGGGATCGCTGTTGATCTCCTCGCGGACCTATACCACCGAGTTAGTAATGTGATGAAATGAGTTGACTGGGATCAAACACATACAATGTCCAAACCACCCACTAGCTCTCCGTTCACCCACAACTGGGGGAAAGTAGGCCACTCTGCATATTCCTTCAAACCCTGGCGCACATCCTCATCGGCTAGGATATTGAAGAAGCCGTACTTGACACTGCGCTCACGGAGGATACCAACTAGTTGTCGGCTGAATCCACATTGCGGGCTGCTAGGGGTACCTTTCATAAACAACATGACAGATGCTGCTTTGACTAGTTGTTCAAGGCGGGCAAATAGTGCCTCCCGAGACTGCTCGGGTGTCAGGGCGGGGGTAGATGCGACAGCGGTTGCATTGGCCGCGTCCGCGGGAGGAGGCTGAGAAGCAGTAATGGGGCCCTGAGTGGCGGTGGTTGGAACATCCTCACGAGGAACAGCAGAAAGCGGCGGGGGAATGTTGGCCCTCGCACCATCCATCGAACCGGTCGCACCCGCAACGTTTCCGCGTCCGGCGTGGCGCTCAACAGCGTCACGCACCTTCACAGCATCACTCCCACTGATAGACTCCAAAATCTGTCCGCTACGGAGGCACACGACGAATGGCACAGCAGAAACGTCATACTCTTCTGAAATATCGGGCAGTTCCTCGGCATTGATACTGACGAACGAGATGGTGGGCGGGGCAGTGGCGGGGTACTGGGAAGCGAGTGCGGAGAGCACTGCGCCCATCTGCGCGCAGGGAGCAGCCCATGGGGTGTGGAAGTATAAGACGACCAATGCAGCGGGTGACAGGGAGGAAAGATGCGACGAGAAGTCGGCCTCGGAGGTGATTTCGGTGAGTGTCGACATGGTGGGGTGTATGGGCAAGATGGACAAGAGGAACTATAGGAAGAGGCCGAGAGGGCTTTTTGTGAAGAAAAAATCCAAAAGTAGTCAACTGAGGTCAGAAGAGAGAAGAGAAGAAGTGTCGATGGCGTGATAGATTACACAAATAAGCCCCATGCACGGTGATCGCAGATTTACAACCTTCCGGTTATCAGATCGTTCAGCGTCTCTGGCATCTGGGGTCTACCGTAAGCTCGGGTCCCGTGATCAGCTGAGATGGCACGTGACCCTGTCAACTCGAGAAGCTTATCGCGTATCATCACGTGCTACTGCATTTCCTGAATTTCGATGCGGCGAGCTCAACCAGCAAGCTTCAAATCCAGAGACAAAATGGCGAAAGATCGAAAAAGAAAGCTCAGCGCGGGGAGTCCAGATGGACCACAACCTAGCTCGCAGACTTTTGGCGTGGCTGATACCCTGTCCCTTCTCCAAAATGCCAATCACAGCAGCGAAAGTTTGAACGCTAGCCATGTGCCAAAGAAGCGCAAGCGAGTTGATGGCGAGAAAGTCAAATATCCTGATCTCACTTATGCCGAGGGAAAGCTGCAGTCACCAATTAGGATCGCAGATCTACAGGGCTTACTTCTCTATTGCTTCGCCGATGGAATCGCGCCCCAATGGATTTCCATGAAGCATTCTGGACATGTGCGCAAGGTCGTTGTACTGATGGCCCCAGGTCTAGAGATGGGCATGTTTGATGGGACGATCCCCGTGCATCAAGTACCAACAACCAGGGAACAGGAAACACAGGAAGCCAAGTCAAATGCACCAGGAGCCACCGAGGCCTCGCGACAAGACGAACGTGCTGCCGATTACGAACGATGGAAACAGGGCCTCCCGTTGCCTGACCGTTCGAATCGCTTCAACCCCAGATCTTTGACGCGCGACAACCTACCCCAACCACTTCAACCCCTGGCTGATATGTTCCCTCATATCTGGCCTGTCAAGGCGCCAGGTGACAATAAATACAACAAAGTCCATTCGCCATTGCAGGCTATCCTTATGTCTTCTTCACCGAAGCCTAAAGATGATCAGTCTCGTATGAAAGGTGCACGACCTGTCAACGTTGAGAAAGGGTTCGTCGCAAAACGAACACCAATCACGGCTTTCATTACTTCACGGGAAGATCTTGTGGAAAACGAATATCTGGTGCATCCTGCCTTCTTCACTTCTGATGAGGAACGAATCTCCCAAGCGGAGGCTCGCCAAAGAAATGGGCAATCGGTGCAAGATGGATGGGTGGATACTCATGTCCCCAACCTCGAGTCTGGTCAGCCACCTGATTCTGAAATTGAAAGTGGCAGTGTCACTGCCGGTCGGGAAGTTTTTGCCCTTGACTGCGAGATGTGTATCACCGAGGGCGGTCAATCGGAACTCACCCGTATTAGCATGGTCGGCTGGGATGGCGAGGTAGTTCTGGACGAGCTGGTGAAGCCCCCACGGCCTGTGATCAATTATCTCACACGTTTTTCTGGAATCACCCCAGAGATGCTGGAGCCAGTCACAACCACGCTTAGCGATATTCAACAACGGCTCTTGGCTATTCTTACCCCCCGTGCGATCCTTGTGGGACACTCTCTCAACTCCGACCTCACTGCACTCAAACTTGTGCACCCCTTCATTGTTGACACAAGTATCATTTACCCGCACCCGCGTGGTCCGCCACTCAAATCCAGCCTGAAATGGCTCACCCAAAAATATCAAAACAAGCAGATTCAGAACGGAATGGCGGGTCACGACTCAATCGAAGATGCTCGAGCTGTTCTTGAACTGGTGAAGTTAAAGTGTGAAAAAGGTGAGCGCTGGGGTACGAGTGATGTCTCCAACGAGAGCATTTTCCGTCGCTTATCGCGATCCACACGGCCAAATCATGTCCCTCGTCCTGGTGAAGAACGAACAGGCGCTGTGGTCGACTGGGGTAATCCAGAACGTGGGTTCGGTGCCCAAGCAACTGTGTCGATTGGCTGTCGGGATGACGATGAGGTCGTCAGCGGCGTCTCTGCTGTAATCAATGGTGATGAATCCAATCCCTCTATTCCTGGGGGTGGTGTTGATTTTGCCTGGGCTCGCATTCGTGATCTCGAGTATCTTCGCGGCTGGTGCAGCCGTTTTCCTGACCCGAACAATGCCAACGAATCCACGACTGTTATCCCTCCCCCAGAGGAAACCACCCCAACGACCAGTACTGGCGATGGCGGGTCGACCAATCTTCCGCCGACTGACGTCTTGGCTGATACCGTTTCTCGGACTGTGTCCCACATTTCACGTATTTACAACTCCCTACCCCCTGCACACTTTTCATCGTTTATTCTGGAACGGGCGATCCACGTGAAGTGAGTCGTTTACAGTCCATCCACAAGATGCATCGGGAAGAATTCCGATCTGGAAAGCCATGGGATCAATTGACATATAAATGGACCGATGTTGAAGAGCAGGCTCTGAAGAAGGCATGTGAACGTGCTCGGGAAGGTTGTGGATTCATGTGTGTCAAATAATCTGGCGAAAGCTAGACAGGACCAGACAGATCAATGATCGACTGTTTCCCCCAAATCGAGCTGCCTACGCATGGTTTTCAATGCCACGGAGACTGAGATGATGGTTGGGACGCTCCATTCACTTCCATTCCATGGTCAATCTCATGGACGGTGGAATGCATTAGATCAACTACCTAGGTAGAAAGAACAATTAAAACAATTCAAAAACATCATACAAGTTCATCATTCATATCATGTTTTGCTATCACCCAGTCACCCGGTCCGTAGTAACTCCAGTAAATGCTAAACGCTTGTGGTCCTTCTGTCTTGCGTGATGAACAATATTGCCGTTTTCCATACCAGTCATATCCCATGGTCCTTCGCAACCTTGATTGATGAATGTGCTGCGACACTGAATCTTTAAACAAAGATGGGGGAGTTCCAAGGTTGCCATCGGGGTGAACATAACGTAGGGCGACATCATCTCCGACGGGGGAATTAGGAACTGGAATCGGTGGGGCCGAAGATGCAAGACTTCAACTTCCCCCCAAATATCTTCACCACCATAAAGCCAGCCTTGATGAATCCATTCACCCGAGCAAACGCGGCCTGGCACTTGGTTGGTCTTGCGTCTGAACTCCCGAACATCGATGATGACGGTGCTCGCATTGTACCAAGGTGCAACGCTTTCAACATTCCCAAGACAAATGGCCCTATGGAACGAGTTGAAGACATCGATTTACCGGGAGACTTGAAAGATCAAGTCCTAGTATTTAAATACAAGGGAAAATATCATGCGATTGACCATGTGAGTACGACTCGGACTATGTGGACGGAATTGAGCTCATTCTTTAAGCAATGCCCTCACTCGTCGTTCCCGCTTTCACAGGGCAACCTTTTTGATATTGAAGACTTTGGGATTGTGCTTAGCGCAGGAATCACATGTCCTAAACACGGTTGGTCCTTCGATCTCTTCTCTGGGCGGGCAGATCGCGGGAACTATTCACTCAAAGTGTGGGAGGTGCAGTTGCGCGATTTGTCGACGCCCGGGAGCACCGACCAGGAGGTTTGGGTGAGGCGCAAACAAAGAATCGGTTGAGATTCACCTCCTATGGGGTATGCTAAGCCACTCGACAGCACTTTCGAGTGTGTACGAGTAAGATTCGAGTTGGAGGCTGAGACCTACGTTCCCGATAACGAACCAAGTTTCGCATCCGTCCTCGGGTGTTTCGACCTGTGCTCAGGGCTAGTGCGCCAACGAGCCCATATCCAAATACCCAGCTGGATTGGCACTGGACACATCACTGGGTCGGTGTTGACTTTGGCAGGGTGTCTCCAAGATGAAAGACGGGCGGACGGAAATAGAGATCAAGATGTGGGTGGCATAGGTCCATAACGTTTGCTACGTACATATAGGTATTGGGGTATTTTGGCACTGTTTTAAGTTCATTTTGAGAGCAATGGAAAAGTGTTTCATCACCTACGTTGTCTTATAAGATGAAAATTTGTCACCTAGGTACTGTGGACAACTCACTTAGAGCGCAACAATTAACTCCTTGGTCCTACCCCTTCGTTCGAATATCCATCTCCACACTAGATGCCACCGAGTATGTCTTATAAGCACCACTTCTGGTACCTTTCGGTGAGGATGGATCCAGGAAAAAGGCAAGAATGGCAATTGAGTCCACTGTTCCTCAGAAGCAAGCTCCAGAATCCTCAAGAATGAAGCTCACATTCCATCCTTGGCCTGTCAAACAACAGACCCCTGGCGGGTGTTCCATACGTCCGCCACATTCTTAAAATTCCTCTGTGCTGGTTAGTCACCTGGTGCCTGGTGCATGTCTTTTACAAAAGCACTCCCTGTGCCAGGGAAAACCCCCTTCTTGCTCTCCCGAGGACTTCCTTACTGTCGAAAATGCTCCTTTCAACCATTGGATTCGGTGTGCTCTGGTTGGGTACTGTCAACGCGAACAATCAAGATGGCTCACCTTCGCAATACGACTTTGTTATTGTTGGGGGAGGTACCAGTGGACTCGTCGTTGCTAACAGGCTTTCTGAGATGCGAGGTTTCACTGTGGCCGTCATAGAAGCCGGGGACTCCGTTCTCAATAATTCCAATGTTTCTACCGTTACGGGGTACGGAAAGGCGTTTGGAACCGATATCGACTGGACTTATCACACCGAAGACCAAAAACATGCGGGAGGATCGAAGCAGATTATACGGGCCGGAAAGGCCGTTGGGGGCACAAGCACTATCAACGGTAATCGGCACAATCTACGAGATCTAGTGTATCTCTGAACAGTCGGGCGTCCTCTCACACTGCTTCTTCACATAGGAATGTCATACACCCGAGCGCAGAAAGTCCAAATTGATTGCTGGGAGCAAGTTGGAAACAAGGGTTGGAACTGGAACAGCCTTTTTCCATACTATAAGAAATCCGAACAATTTCAGGTACCCACGCCAGACCAAATTAACCATGGTGCCGACTACTACATTGACCATCACGGGCAGAATGGCCCACTCAAAGTCGGCTGGCCTATAAGCATGACGAACAGCAGCTTGCTACCCAAACTTGACGAAACGTTCCAGCAGCTAGGTCTTCCGTACAACCGGGATGCCAATGGTGGGAGCATGGTAGGACTAACAGTCCATCCCAACACCGTCGATAGGGAGGCCAACGTTCGCCACGATGCAGCCCGAGCTTACTATTGGCCTTACCAAAATCGTTCCAATCTCAAAATTATATCAAACGCATACGCGAACAAGATCATCTGGGGACAGGATTCGGGCAGCGATGCAGTCGCGAAAGGGGTTGAGATTACGGGTGTCGATGGGGTTGAGACGATCTACGCTACGAAGGAGGTCATCTTATCGGCTGGGTCCCTTAAATCACCAATGCTCTTGGAGCTGTCTGGCATTGGAAATCCTGATATTCTCGGCCAGTACGACATTCCTGTCAAAGTGAATATCTCCACCGTTGGGGAGAACTTGCAGGATCAGACGAACAACGGATTCTCTTATGAAGGGAATGCGCTCTGGCTGGGTTCGCCGACTTTCTCGGCCTTGCCATCAGCGAAGCAGATCTTTGGAGGGAATATATCTGCAATTGCCTCTGTTGTCAATTCGAGCCTCGTGGATTATGCAAAATCTGTCTCAGATTACTCCAATGGCGCCGTCCAGGAAGCAAATGTATTGGCTGCATTTCAACTTCAATACGATTTGATCTTTAAATCGCAAGTTCCATATGCGGAGATAGTTTTGCTTCCTATCGCGCGCTCTTTCTCCAGTGAATACTGGCCTCTCCTTCCATTCTCGAGGGGCAGTGTGCACATTAAGTCCGCCGAAGGCTCTCATTCACCTGCCATCAATCCTAATTATTTTTCCTTCGAACAAGATCTGCACGCCCATGCCGATGTGGCTCGGTATATCCGCAAGGCATTCAGTACTGCGCCTCTCAGCAATCTTGTGGGGGAGGAACTTGCACCAGGACGGGTACTCGTTCCGGAAAATGGGTCGGATTCTACCTGGGAGACTTGGGTTAAGTCAAAATGTGAGTGACGTGGGGGTCCATAATATGCATAGAAAGTTTTGTTAACCTTCTGTTAGATCGATCGAATTTCCACCCTATTGGCACTGCAAGCATGTTACCACGAGACAAAGGTGGCGTTGTCTCCCACGATCTGAAGGTCTATGGGACGAAGAATGTCCGTGTTATCGACGCTTCCGTCTTGCCCTTCCAAGTTTGTGGCCACCTGACGAGTACTCTATATGCTGTGGCCGAGCGGGCATCAGATCTAATCAAAAGTCGATATATATTCTGAGGAAGATCAACCCTTTCCCGCACAATAGGGAAAGTTTTCCTGATTTTGTTGTCACTGCTATCCGGTCCTCACGTCTGGATACGTGGATTTTCTTCTGAACATAAATTTACCTAGGTATACGTCTAAATGAGCCCTATTCATATGTTCATCTCTCTATGCAAACAGGGCTATTGTTTGTCCCGTAGCACTATACAATAGCAACAAGGGATGTTCGCCAAAACATGGCAGTCATTGAATCCATTTGGTTCGCTTATGGATTTCACGCACTTACCTAGTATCCAAGGTCCTGGCCGCTTTGATCAGGACGCGGCTGTCAGCTGCCAGGTCGATCTACTAGAGAAAGAGTAAAAATACGATACAAAGAAGAAGGCAGGTGACAGTCGATGGGCACAGCGGTGATATCGTTGAACATGCTATCTTCATCCCCATATAGGAGACGAGAAGAAGAAAAGGCAATACCTGACACGAGAATAAGTCAAAGGACTTAGCAGGCTGTGTTGAGCCCCGTATTGGATTTTTCTTTGATCTCCTCTGGTACAAGACTAGAAATTGATTTGAGCATGACATACCTCATAGCCCAGTTATTCCACCCGTTTGCTTCATCAGACTATTATCAATCACCTAAGATAATCGGAATCCACCTATTTACATGCAAAGATATACGTCGGGGAAGGGGGCAGGCGCTTCTTTTGGAACAGCAATGCAACTAAAATAAGAATAGAATCACACAAGCCAAAACAAACCCCCCGAGGGATTAGATTGCATGATCATCCCCGACGTCACATTTTCAAGGATGTAGCAGAAGGATTCCAGACCCTCCACCAACTTTCCCCTATTCTCCACCCTCTTGTTGGCACGGATATATTTCAGAGCCAGAGGCATACTGACAATAATTGTAAGACTGCTTGTTACTATAGTTAGTAGAAATGTTACGTGGTTGATAATGGGAGAGACTTCAGCGCGAAAGACAGAGCCACCAATGATCCCTCCTATTCCGCCAGCACCGACACTCAGCGCACGTATGATAGCTCGCCTCCGCTAGCCACGGACATTATCTGATCGCCAAGCGAGAGTGCATGGGGGGTTTGATGATCTCGGGGTGTTTACAATGAAAGCACCCGCCAGTCGACTCGCTATATGAGACTTGAAGTCGAGGAATCTGTAGCCCTAGCCCTGTTATCATGTATAACAACAGGGTAGGCCATGGGGTATAATAATGGGGGAGCTTACCAATGATAGAATATGCGCAGTCGAAGATCACAAATAGCGATTGAAGGCGTAATCTGTCTGACATCCCGCCCGTGATCACCATCCATAAACATCCCAGAATGTATAGCGGGACAGTCAAGCAATGCGATACCACGAATCAGAACCCTAAGCCCTTACACAGGGGCATAGGCACCTAAAAAATAGCCGACTGCATAGTTTGAACACTGTAGTGGTTATGGAACGGAGGCCTAGATCAGCCAGTTGGGAAAATTCATACGACAGAATTCCGGTGAACGTGGAAACCGGAGTCCCGATGCAGTAGAATAGAGCCACACGCCGGTGAAGTTCGTACCGAAGATACTAGGCACCAAGTCATCATGTACAACGATCCAGGAAACACGCCTACCTCGAATAATTCTAGGGGCAGACGTAGGGGACTCAGGTCCTACCATTGTCGAACGAAAGCCAGACAAATTTGGGTTATACCCCAGAGCAAAGCAATTGACGTGAAGTACGTTCGAGCACTCATCTTGCGAAGTGGGACGATAGTAATTGGCTGAAAACTTGTATATGTGATGAACATCATCGGCTAGCTGGAGAGCAATGACCCTACCAAAAGCTCTGGAGATCCTGGTAATAATTGCAACACCCATGGCGAAAAGTTGGGTTGATGAACAGAAGCTGGAAATCGTAAAACCTTGTGGCTTTTCTCTTTCTTCTGGAGACCTGTGTCAAAATCGGGCCATTTATGCATGCTACCTGAATGGGCGTACCCCATAGATGCCAATATATTCTGACCGTTCTTTCCTAGGATTCTTTCTTCTCTTCTGCCACACCGAGGGGTCCATGTGCAAGTGTTTCGAGTCCTACCTACATGTACATGTACCTACCTGTTCCTGGACCTTATCTAATCAGGGTAGCGACGGGTTCCATGGTTGACTTGAATGAAAGTGCAGGTGTCGCTGGACGAGATGACCTCACCTCCACTTTTCTCGCGCATCACTTGTTATCCATTTGACCTAACCGAGAGAAACATTAACCGCCATATTCTCAAGCGATCAGCATGGGTGGAAAAAAGCCAGCTAAGCAAACCCTCCCCTCACTACAAGGTGATACCACGAATCGAATGATACCCAACACCTTCGCGTTATCATCATCACCTCCACGTAACGCCAAACGGCGTCGACTAAACCCTCCAGAACCCAGGTCACCGAGAACACGGTCTGAGAAACGAATACAACAGGCACAAGATCCTAAACTTCCTGGCGTATTACGTCAACACACCCGAGCTCAGTCCCTCTACTCCCAGTCTACAGAGCCATCGGAGGTTGAGCAAAAGAGCAATCTTGAGAGCGCAGCCCTCAAAGTCACCAATTACACACCTCAGAACCGTGGAGACCATGAGAACCTGCTACAGAGATCTTTACAGGCGTTCCTTGATCACCTCCCAGATGCCGGCCGGAGTGGCATTGCGAAGGATATTATTGATCTACAAGATGATGACGCCATTTATCAATACTTTCGCAGTCTGTATACCGGTCTGAGAACGCGTAGTGAGTTCTCATATACAATTTCAAACAAGCTCTTACTGACAAGCTCACTGGGAATAGTGCGCTCCCGCTCCAAGCCGCCTTCGGTCGCAAGTATCCCGACTGAGCAGCGGGACTCACATGCCGAGCGGATTTCGACAAGTTTGGACCAGCCTGTGTCGCGTACGATGGAGTTCAGAGAAGGATTGCTTCAACGTGATGGGTACCGCTGCGTTTTGACTGGGGACATGGAGTTCAGTCACTGGGAAAGTCTCGATTGCCCGGAAGATGTTATAGATCTAGGCAAAACGGAAGGGGCGCATATCATCCCCTTTTCGTATGCAGCCTGGGATCCTAGACGGGTATGTTATCGGATCCTTATCAAGGCCGAAGTACTAACGGGTTAAGAACAACCTCTTACCAGACGTATCGCGCGCATGGGAGGTTCTCTGGCGCTGTTTCCCTAGTATGAGGGCGATCGGCTTTAACCACGAGGACATCAACAGTCTATGTAATGGTCTTACGCTTACAAACTGGGTTCACGAACACTTTGGCGCATTCCGAATCGCCTTTGAATGCACTGTGAGTGTACTCCCACATGTGGAATGAGTTTGCTTCATCCTCTGCTAACCAAAATCTCGAAGGGTGCTGAGAATAAATATAAAGTCCACACATTCAAAGGGGTCAGCGATAAGTATAAGGCGCACTTTCCGCTGGAGGTTCGTTTTATAAACAAGGATACAGATAATGATCGAAGTTTGCCAAGTCCTATACTGCTCGATTGTCACTTCCGGTTGGCCAAGATCCTGAATGCTTCTGGAATGGCAGCAGCATTTGACTTTGACTTTGAAGAGTGGGAAGAGGTTAAGGTCAGGGCGGGTGGTCAGCTACCTGAGGATGGTGATATTGATATTAGTCAAGCTTTATGTGTTGGTCTTGAACTATGTGGTTATGCTATTAGAGGGATTTAGCTAAGGACCCAATGCTCGCCTCGCTCCGCTTCGACCTAATTTGGGGTTGAGAACTACTATTTGCACACCCATTTAAACCCTTTTGGGTAGACGTCCGCAATGGACTTTAAACAATATAAACATACCAATACTTAGCAGATACATAAGTAATGCAGATTTTTCTAGTATTTCTAGGTATTCAGATTACCCCCTAAATTGACTATAGGTGCCTGAATTGACTGAATTGACTGAATTGACTATAGATGAGATTAAGAAATTTAAGATTTATAAAATTTATAAAATTTAAGAAAAATGTAAATTGATAGAAAGATGCACTGACTTCTCTCTATATAAAAAAATATATATTTACACATTAATTCTCTATCACCTATTGAACCCCCGTATTAGGCTAGATCAGGGCCGGCGCCGAGATCTTCCGCGGTAAGCATATAGACTTAAACATGTGTAAAGAACAGACATTAATCAGCAGGTTTATAAGCGCTAAGACTGTATTTATGCATATAAATAGGCTTTAATAGGGGCCTCATAGGCCCCCATAATGGGCCATAGGCTTGGTTAGGCTTCGAAGGTAGGGCTTCGAACGTAGGGCACAACCAGGCCCATTGCGGAGGTCTAAGGGTAAGCTCAAAGATCGTCCTGGTAAACTCGGTTGGGGTTTCAAATGTTGGCTTGGCAGCACGTGTTTGGAGACTTAAACTTTCCCTCCTCTCTTCTCCACTCCCCTCAAATTTCACGCGAACATCAGTTCAACATGGACGAGCTCCAAAATAGCCTTGGCACTTACCCAGACTGGGGATATGTCATTTATCGCACTACCTACTCTGCTGAATCGGAAACTCTATTCCCAGTCGCTATTAGGTACATTGAAGCCTGTATTAAGAGATCATTCCTCCGAGATCACAAAGAAGATCCTACAAATAAACCCAACGAAATTTGCGCCAAATACCGGTCGACTATTGTGCAAGATCCCGCGGAATTCAATGGGGCGTCTCTCGAGGCAATTCGCGCTCATTTTGAAGCGTGGGTGGAATCTCAAGGCATGCGTGACCGCTGGAGTAAATGGCGAATGTGTATGATTATTGATGAAGAATCTCTGCAAACGCTGAAAGGTACATCAGCAGAGGCCCTTCAAAATGAGAGCCCATACCATTCCGATGATGAGCTACGATGTGTAAAGGTTCTTGAAGCATTTCCGGAAACAGATCAGTATAACACCTTTCCGGGGTGGATGAGATGTTGGACACGGTGTCTTTGGGATCTCTGGATGATGATGGGAGATGCTAGTGAGATGAGGCAGTTATTTGACGGCATTGATGATTTTCCATTTGAGGGGGTGTACTGCGGATAATTCAAAGCTGTTTCGGTCTGTGGCATTAGAGATATGTGATTCTCAGGTTATGGAAAATATTGTTCGATGGGCAGTTAAATAAATAAGAAACACATTTTTCATTTATTGATCGCGACAATATATGATTACGACATAAGGCCTATCCCATAGGGGTGGCCTAACCTAGGCTAGGTTAGGCTGATAGTACGAAACATACCGGTATTTAAAGCGTTTTATTCGCGGAAGCCTAAGTGGGGTACCCTTAGGTTAGGCAAAACCTATACCCTAGGTTACGCCGTTAATTTTCATTATACCTATTTAAAAACTTATAAGGTTATATATAATATAAATCTCTATCTAAACACTAATTTTTATAATTATAACCTAGCGGGAAGTAAAGGAAATCTCGAAAGTTAAATAGTAGCTATTCGGAAGTTTAAGTAAGGCGGAGCGGGTAAGCTTATTAGACTAAAACCGGCTAAATAGTATTTTAGGGTTCACCTTATAATTTAACTCCGTTCGCGCTAAAACTTCTATAGAGCCTTCTTTAAGTTATTAAATATACGTCGTTTAAATCTTAGACTTAGAACCCTTATTAAAAGGGTAGTAGCTCGAACTAAAGTTAAAAATCGTACTTTAGGTAGGGCTAATTAGATCGCCGACTAGTAGCTTCTAATTAGAACTCTCTAAGTTTAATATAGAATCCCTAACGCTATAAGGCCTTAAAGTATATTAACTTCTTAGTATCGCTTAGTTATATAAGTATCTTACTTTAGTCTAACTTTTAGACTTAGAACCTTTTTAGAAAGTATAAAATATATAAACTAAGTTAGTAAATTCTTATAGTATATAAAATAAGATTAAATTTATTAAAGATATAGAGGTATAATATAGTATATAGGGTTTAATAATAGGTTTAAATGATACTAGGAATAGGATCTCTTATAGAAGTATTAAATTATCTAAAGATCTAGATAATATCTGCCTTTTCCTGCTATTTATGCCCCTTTGTGTGCCGAGGATCGGAGTCCTTAATTTGGCCCCTAAAGATGAGCTTTTCGGTAGAAAAGACAAAAGAGGCGTAGCGTTGATAATCCTACGGATAAGAGAATCCTGCCTTAGGCATAGTTCTTAACACGCCCCCTTAACGTGTAGCCGTTATATATTATAAGATCATGTTATTAGGGACTAAGATAAATAAGGTTTCTTAGTCAAAAGGTATAGCTTTTAGACTATAGGAAGGTACAAAACTAGTAGTTTTATACTACGAAAGATATAGTTTTTGCACTACGAAAGATATAGTTTTTGTACTACGAAAGATATAGGGGTTTATTCTACCGAAAGTCTATATATTTTAGTGTTAAGGTTTAAACCTACGATAAACTCTATAAATTTAGGAGCCCCGAGGGGCTTTATTAGTCTATCTATAATATTTTCGGTCCCTTTTATATATATAAGCTTGATTTTCCCTCTTTTAACTTACTCGCGGATCTAGTGCTAGTATATATCGATATATTTTAAACGTCCTAAAATAGTAGAGTTCTTTATTATCGTGATCGTAGATTAGCTATCGCTATATAAAGGGATAGGGGGGAGGTATATACTCCCTTAGTAAAAGTTAAGATCTTTTAGTAGTTTTCGTAACTAAATTACCTCTCCGCTAGTAATTAAGAGGGCTATATATTTAGCTTCGGCGTTTAATTTTACTATACTAGTCTACTTTTAAGATGAGACCGACTACGGGCACACTGTTTTTACTACCGGCACACTATTGACTAACCCGTTTTGGGATATTTCCCGCTGGCCATAATTTATTCATAGGCTGTCGTATTTAATATGGTACTCCCTTAGTATTTCGGATAGTACCCGAATCTTATCAGGGCACCCTATCGCGAATGTAGAATCTTGCACGCCATCTATACTATTATGCAAAAATGAAGCTATTCCTAGATGCTGATTTGATCAAGTTTTTTTCTACTGAAAAGGGGTTTGGTGCAAAAATGAGGCTATTCCCAGATGCTGATTTGATTAAGTTTTTTTCTACTGAAAAGGGGTTTGGTGCAAAAATGAGGCTATTCCTAGATGCTGATTTGATCAAGTTTTTTTCTACTGAAAAGGGGTTTGGTGCAAAAATGAAGCTATTCCCAGATGCTGATTTGATTAAGTTTTTTTCTACTGAAAAGGGGTTTGGTGTAAAAATAAGGCTATTCCTAGATGCTAATTTGATTAAGTTTTTTTCTACTGAAAAGGGGTTTGGTGTAAAAATGAAGCTATTCCTAGATACTGATTTGATTAAGTTTTTTTCTACTAAAAAGGGGTTTGGTGTAGAAATGAAGCTATTCCTAGATACTGATTTGATCGAGTTTTTTTCTACCGAAAAAGGGGGTTTGGTGATATAGGGTTTGACTAGTTATGTGATCATAAAATAGCCTCTGTTTTGGGAGATATGCTTAATCGATAGATCTTAGCCTACCGCGCTCCTAACCTCTAGTGCTCCTATCTATACCTTATTTTTATACCTTTCTACTTCTTTATAGCTATAGACCCCCCCGAAATCGTCTAAATTGAGCCCCCTCGAGCCCCCGAGCTAGAGCTATCCCTTGCCGATACTATACCCCTATTTAACTCCACTACACCCGGAACCACTAAAGAGCTAGTAATAGATTTTATAAATAATTAGGCTATACCACTTAGCTTCGTCCTCTCTACTAAGACCTCGAATCCTCGTATAGTCTATTTCTAGTGTACTAAGAGGCGAGAGTATCGTAACGATCGCTCGCCTAAGTAGAGGCTTTATAGGGCTTAGAATTATAATACTAACTACCCCTTTTATAGTACTCTTACCCTCTCGGGAAATAGGGTTTAGTGTATTAGAATCGTAGATCCTAGTTATAATTATAGTATTATTAATATAGCTACCTCGATTATCGCCCGTAGGCGAGAATTACGACTTATCTCTCTATTTCTTAATACTTAACTTACGTAGAGTACTACGAACCGTCTTATCCTTACCGGTATCTAGCTTCTTACTAAGGAACGAGGCGAGCTATCCTACCTTCGACCCCGGGATATTATTAACTACCGGGCTAAGCTTAGTCTTACTAAGCTTTAAGGTTATACCCCGGTATAAACCCTTTTAATAGACCTTCCGAAGGATAGTAGTTAGATTATACGATATAAAGTTAATATATATAATAACTCGCTTAGTTATCTCTTTTTAATATATTTAATTAGCCTCGAGTTACTATAGGCCTATCTATATATTATATAGATAGACTATATATATAAGATTAATAAGTGAAAGATATCTCTACTTAATATTATCGGAGTATCTCTAGTTAGTAAGACTTTTTACGTTATCTAGGCCTTTATAAGTAATAAGCGATAGGCTATATACCGTAAAGTACTATACTAGCTACGTAATATTTATATAGCTATTAGTACTAATAATAGTATCCTAACTATCTCTCGCTTAATAACTAAGTTTATCCCCGAAATTATTATAGCTCCTATTTTAGGAGTTAATCTTAATTATAATAGTTATACTACTATCACTTAAAGTTAGCTAAAGAGTGATTATCTTAAGAGCTTTTTACTAAGTACGTTAAATATTACTCTATCCTTAGTTCTATCTACGGGGGTTAAATAATCTTATTATAGTCCCTAGACTATT